ATTCCATGCGCCAGAACCCCCTAGCCTGTCCAACCTACTCTCGCTCAGCAAATTCCGGAAATCTTATAAGGGCCCCTAGACGGACTTACAGACTTCTTGATAAGACTACTACTCCCGGATTGTTCATGTGCCCAAATAATATATACTTTAGGCCCAATGTACCTATATATATATATATATACATACATATATAGGAAGTTTTTTAAGGCTATATATATATATATAGGAAGTATTCTAAGGTCAAAGTATATAACATATGAGTACATGGACCCTTAGGGACTGTGATTTTTGCGCTTGCTTCGACCCCAAGCCCGATTGAGAATGACTGCGACCCTTAGGGTTTAGGGTTTAGGGTTTTTAGGGGATTTGGGGTTTTAGGGTTTAGGGTTTTTACGGTTTTTAGGGTTTAGGGTTTAGGGTTTTTAGGGTTTAGGGAGTCTAACTCCAAACGCTAAGCCCTGAACCCTCCCAAAGGCTCCACGTAGCTTTATAGTAGATACTTAGGCCATTAAAGGGGGTCCCTATATAGGTACTTTAAGGCTTAAGTATCTACTATACAGGTAAACCCTAAACCCTAAACCCTTAGACCCTAAACCCTCAACCCTCACATGGAGCCTTAGGGCCTGTATTCAGTGGTTCGATGGCCCAGGCTTGGACTTTGATCCACTTGCCCCAAGCTGATGCTGCTGCAATCTCCATTCATCGAGGCTGAACCGCATGGCTCCAAGAAGTTAACATAACACTCAACACATGCTTCCTTGAAAGGGGTAAGGGTTCTGTAAGGGTTACTATATGGGGTATATCGGTGTTCAGGGCGTACAAGATTTGTAAGGGTGGAAGGCAATAGAACACAATTAACACTGTTCGTCGGGCTGTGATCAATATCTCCTGCTCCGTAGTGCAGGCTACAGTCAGCAGCGGAATCTAAAGACCCTGAGACTCCAAGCATGCAACTACTACGTACATTTGGGGTCTAAACCCTATAAATGATACTTGGAGATATTTGGAGCCTTAGGGGAATGGCTTCTTTACCCAAAAACCCTAAACCCTAAAGCCCTAAATCCTAAACCCTAAAACCCCTGCAGTGTGGAGAAAGGGGCAATTGCACTTTAAAACAACCCTAAAACCTCCCAAACGCTAAACTAGGCCCTGAAAGAGACGGGCTCATGGGATCTCTTTGGTTGAACTGTATTCTCTGGTACCAAGCAATGCTTCAACTGTATGGTGTTTCGGGCTCCTGAACTTATGGGAGTTTCCGAAAAGTAGGGTTACCTTATCCCCCATGTTCAGAAACTCCCGTATGTAGTTTCGGGCCCCTGAACTTATCTCAGCCCCCATGACCACAAGAAACCACATGAACTCCATAAACCTGCTTAGAAGACCCTGAAGAAATCCTACCCTTCTGGTGAGCCAGTTCGCGCGGCTACGTAGGGTCCGATAACAAAACAAAAGGTCTTTCGATACGGTAAGTCACTCCGCACTCGGGGCCCCAATCCATACTTTACCTTGTTTGGTTTGTATATCCTAACACTGAAATGGTTATCCACAAGCAGTGCTAGAATGCCGGGTCTAGGAATGTTTAGAGGGGGATTTGGAGGGCGGATTTCTCGGGGCTTAGGCTGGACCACTAAACCGTGCATGTAGACCCCTGATCAAAGAACACGGTTCCGTTACTCAGGATGTTAAGGGCATCCTACTAACCGGCTTGTGGGACTAAGATGCGGGTGCAGGATTAGAGTAAAGGATTAAAAGGGTTTAGGGTGTCTTGGTTTGGCGGTGTAGGAATTAGGGGTTTAGACTTCAGATCAATATAATTGGCATTGGAATCTAACCTCCAAGCCACATTCTAGCATATTCCGAGCATGAAGGCCCATGTATGAAAACAAACCGAGGGATCTTTCTCCAGATGTTGCCACCCAAAGGCCTAGTAGTCGAGTAGGTAACCTTTAACCTTTTTGGGTTGTATAGTCCCTACATAATCCCTATATAAGCCAAAAGGTCAACCTTTAGTTCCCCATGATACCTGACAAGTAGGTAGGGGTACCTTATTTTGGGGGTCCTCATAATCATAATCCTACTAATTTAGGGTACTATATTGGGGTCCCCTATTTTCAGATGGGTTTCAGACTTGGGATTTGCGGCTTGAAGCTAAGGCTGTCGGGTTTCGGAGAGTCTCTGACTGTCGTCTTCTTGCACTCGAGTTTGGGCTTCGAGTGTTTGCTGAATTTGTTTAGGGGTTCAGGGTTTAGGGGTTTAGGGTTTAGGGGTTTTAGGTTTAGGGTTCAGGGTTTAGGGCTTAGGGTTCAGGGTTTAGAGTCTAGAGTCTAGAGTTGGTTCAATAAGGTCGAGTCTGTTGACGATATAATGCTACTGGTTCGTCAGCGCATTTGGTGCGTTGTTGTTCAGGGTTTTGGCTAAGTTACCATGAGGCGCACCACTAAGCATCGTAGATAGTCCAGTACCTTAGCAAGAAGCCGGCTAAAAGGACTCCCACCAGCACCAAACAGGATTCCCGGTACCCTCATAGGACTCCTTGAGAATTTCCCCTACCCAAACCCTAAACCCTAAGCTCTATAAACCCAAGCCCTAAGCCCACCAGTTCAGTGACGTCGGAGGCTTCTTGATTTTGTCGCACGCAAGTCCAGATTCTCAGACTCGTGACATGCTGGGTGCTAGGGCCTTAGGGAGCTTGATCTAAGTTACCATAATGGGGTGCACCCTAAACCGTAAACCCAAAACCACAATAATTCATGGGGCTAGCGTTGAGGGTTCCAGAATAGGGGCCTACGTAATAAGGCTTCCTTATTTGGGTAATTTCAACTAAACTCCTCGACAGCCTCTGCAAGAACTCAATAAACCGTCAACGCTTCGCTCGGCTCGAAGATTTTGTTGCAGGGCATAGTATGCAACCAGTGCATGCAGGTCATGCATGTGACATGAAAATCCTGCTCGATTTTTTGCCGGACACATACCATTCCAAGCTTGTACGAACATCTGCAGGCGCGACGAAGGGGAATGTAGCCGCACAGACTCGCAGACTTCAATATCTAGACCGGACCCTGTGTCCGAGCTTCGATAGCTTTGCAAGCTTAGTTGGCAGCCGCTTCCATGATGATGTCGCCTTGACCTCAGACTGTACTGGAACTGTGGGTTTTGACTTAATATAGGGGCCTCAAAGGTTACCTACACTATTCTGCGGGCTCCTTGCTATTATAGTATCATATACCCAAAACCCTATTCCAATTAGTAAGGCCCTATATTAGGCGGTTGTTGCTTTCGGCGTTAGTAGGGGGGAGCCACAGTTCAGTCTTGAGGGTTTTCTATAGTCTCCTTCAAGTTATTCTTCATGTTTGTTCATACAAAGCCCAAGAGGGTATTTGAACATTTTTTAATTATGGTTCTGAGGGGAGGTATAGTTTTAGGGCACGGAATACGCCAAGAAGGGCACGGCTGGAGAAGCAGGCTTCGGTACCAGTCTAGGGATCGTGAGCTTTGCATGAGACACTACTTTGAACCCCAAACCCTAGAAGCCATAAACCCTAAACCCTATCTCTACTTGCTCAGTTCTACCATCCTCCAAGCAGTCGAGGATGTTGGCTCAACATTGCGCATAAGGCTGCATAACTGGGCTGTAGTATAGGTAGCCAGAATGATTACTCATGTGCTCCCTTAGGATTCCTTATCGTAAGTCAGTTCTACTGTAATATGTTCATAGGGATCCTTAGGGGTGTAGGGGGGAGGGGTGTAGGGGACTATATTTCCTTAAATAGGCCTTATTATGGGCCTTAAGGCCCCCTACCCCCCCTCCCCCTACACCCCTAAGGATCCCTATGATATGTTCCAGAAACCCATTCGAGTTAGTGAGCCTTAGCAGGCGCTCATGGTTGAGTTGTGGAACTTGTCGGCTTCTTTGGGCAAGATAGCACGACTGCCCTAAACTTGTTCTGGGTTCAGACATAAAGGGAACTCCAGAAAGTTGGAATATGGTTTCATGGTAGGATACCCTATAATGTACCATAGAAGGGTTAGGATAATCATATTCCAACTTTCTGGCTTCTACCTTATAGGGTTTAGGATCTCGGTTTATGGATCTCCTTCCCTGAATCCCCACTCCAAGTGAGCCCTGATGAGGGTTTAGGGTTTAGGGACGCTGAAGCACTGAACACAGGGCTGCGCAGTCTCTAAAACCCATGATCTCTCGATGGACTTCAGCGGATACTGTAGGTTTAGGAGTCCAGGTATGATCCGCACTGTATTCCTTTTCAGTAAAAGGAAGAGGGCTTACTAGTCAGGGGTTTACAGTGTTCCTTGACCGCTAGATCTAGTGCGCCAGACCCACATCATGCTGTCATGGCATATTCCTGAAGAAGATTCCAACAAAAGGTGTATTGTTCCCGGAAATTCCTCTGAACCCTTAACCTGGTCAAGGGCTTTTCGGGCGTTACTCAGAGGATCCTGCGCCGCCTTGGTACTGGGTTCTCGTTGGAGAACTTGGCGTAAAGTAACATGACAACGAGGCCATTATCAATACTGTAGACCCCATTGTGGTAACTTAAACTAAGCCCTTTAGCAAGAACCCAGGCTAAGTAGGGGCATTAGCCAGGTATGTATTGCTGAAATATGTTGAAACAGCTTATAACTTCAACTAAGGTAATTTCATTGAAGTTGCCTAATTATGACGTCCCGTGATCCTCCATTGTAAGATCAGATCCCTCGAGGTTGGGTGTGGAGTTTGAGCTTATGGGTTCGTGAAACGCCCCAGCTACCTCTTATTTTTTGCCTACTCACGGGAAGGATCCGAGGCATTCAGCAAATGGAGCTAGCGAGATACATAATCAGGATGAGTACAACACCATGTGTACTTGATTCTGCAAAACCACAACATAGTAACATAGTTCCCCAGGAATCAATACCCAAGCCGCATGGGCAGGGCCAACGGTGCGCCGCCACCGCCACCTCCGCCGCCACCACCCCCTGGCCCTCCCCCCCCGGATGTGCCCATGGTCGCAGCACCGGCAGCCGCTGCCCCAGCGGATGCAGCCGTGCCAGAAACCACCCCGGCGGCAGTCGCGGCGGACGCCGCGCCAGGGGATGCACAGGCCAGACGCTCAGGGTTCTATAGGGCTCCGATTTTCTGGCAAGAACCAGCTCGAGGTTCCTGAGTAGGAACCTTTTTGCAATTTACTTTTGTTTTGGGGTCCCTTATGAAAACCGAATAGTAGGGAAAATGGTATCCTTGTAATAAAGCGGCTACTCAGCAACCTGGGATCTCAAACTTTTGAGGCTACCGTTTTCAACCAGAAAGGCCAAAAGTCGAAGATTATCCTACAAATCAAAAACGAGGCAGTATGGGAGTTTTCGAAAATAGGGGATCCTAATATAGTACCTTTAATAGTAGGACCCTTATTATAAGGTCCCCAAAATATGGTACCCCTAATTTTCGGAAACTCCCATATGGGAGTCTGAGTGGTTAGTATTGGTAGTCCCAATGCTTTCAGACGGTAGAAGCGACAGTACTGGTTTAGGGTTGAGGGATTTAGGGGTATAGGGTTTAGGGTTTAGGGCTTTCGGGTTTACGGTTTAGGGATGTTTGGGGTTTAGGATTTAGGGGTTTAGGGTTTAGGGATGTTTAGGGTTTGGGGTTGCTGCTGCTTCGTAGACAGGAGTCGGACATTGAGATTGCCTGCCGCAGCCTTACCTACAGTCTGTAGTTCCTCTTGTGTTAATCAAAGGGGAAAAGGAGGGACCCTTTCTGGGGACCCCTACCCTATAAATTGGGTATATAGTAGCTATATGAAGGGTATATACCTAGGGGTCCTTTTTGAGGGTCCCTCCTTCTACCCTTGGTTTTCAGTGGTTGTTCTTACGAAAAGGTTTGCCATAAACGTGATTAGCAGTTCCCTTCTTGGGTTACCTTATGGCATCCTACATAAAAGATTGGCTAAACAGAAAAGGAACCACATTTTAGACTATAGTGTAGGTAAGTAACGTTATAAGGACCTGAACCACTTCGGGTGTAAGTTCTAAACCCTAAACCCTAAACCCTAAAACCCTAAACCCTAAAACCCTAAACCCTAAACCCTAAAACAATAGGTATGGCTATAGTTCGGTTGCTTGTCGCCCCACTTAGTCAGGGGTCTATGTTTATGTCTTAATTACTCGTTTTCAGCCCTACACCTGAAGATCCCTTGTGGAGCCTGTATAGAATCCTATGTGTATATATATATATATGTATATATATATATATATATATGTATATATTTATATATATGTGTATATATATATGTATATATATATATATATATATATCTATCTATCTATACATATATATATATATATAGGTAGGTAGTTCTCCAAATTAGGGTCCCCTTTTAGTACGGCACCCCTCGCAAAAAGAACCCTGAAAGGGACCCGAATTTTGAGAACTAGCCATATGCACTGGTTTGTACAAACACCTGGTGAAGCCTTCAGAGGACCCTGCAGCCCTAAACCGGCTTGTGTATAATGTAGCGGCCTTGAAAATTAGAATAGGGTTGGGGTAAGTATAGTATTTTATGGTTATGATTATAATAGAACACCCCCAAAACCCTACTCTAGTTACTAAGGCCCTCATATTATACACAAGCTTTCGCACAGAAAGCCTGAACTAAAGCAGGCTGCGCCAGCCCAGCCCGCGGCGCCCGCTGCCGCACCCGAGCAGGCTTTTGCGGGGCTGGGGCCTAGGGTGTAGGAATTGGGGGTGTCGGTGCTAGGGGCTTTTCGGGTGCAGAAGGGGTGTAGGGCAGGGTTTAAAGTTTCTTCCAAGTCCGTTGTTCAAGGGTCATGGCGTTGATGGCTGTTGGCTCAAAGATTTTCAGCGTAATTACCTGAATTAATCAAGCAACCTTACTTGTTTGTGAGGTGTTCAAGGGTCGTGGCATTGATGGTTTCTGGCTGAAGGTTTTTTAGCTTGCTTGAACCAATCATAATCAACCAGGCCCTACTTGCGTATGAGCCGTATATATTTCCAGATTTGGTGATTTGGTTGAAGCCCGGGACCCCACAGCAGTAGCTTCTGGCAGCCTGACGTCGGTGCAAAGGGATGTTTCCTGGTTGACATTCGTTGCGGCTTTTGGATTAGAGGTGGAGCTCAAGCCTAAACACAATCACAAGCAGCAAAGCCAAAAACCCAAAGCCCCAACACCACCCCCCCGAACAAGCCAGAAACCCTGAGCACTAAACGAAACATCTAGACTCTAAGCTTTGGAGCTTAGGGAATGTAGGAATGAACTACCCCAGACAGCCTACCATTCAGTAATAATTAGATATCAAATCATAACAAGCAGCCCTACATAAAAACGATTGGTTTTATAGGGCCCAGGTAGGGTCCAGAGACGTTCCGGGTCCTAGGATTGGGGGATTTTACGTGGCGGTTAATCATAGATGCTGAGGACAGCACAGTACGGTAATCCCCTAAACCCTAAACCCATTGCAGACAAGAGCCAGCTTTCGGATTTGGGTAGCAGCCACATAGTATAGAAGCCATAAACTCTACGGGCTCTAACCCTAGGGCTCCAAGTATGCAAATAGTAGCTACTTTGGGGTCTGAAGTCTACAAATAGTGCCTACTTTGGGCTATTTGGAGCCCCAGGGTAAGGCTCACATTCGATCCTAGAAGCCCGAATTGTCGAGGCTGCAGATACCGCTGCGCCCATGGATCAGGCTGGGTGTATCGTTTCTGTACTGCTCTTAGGACTCTTTGCTAGGGCCCAAAAAAATCACATAAGCAAAGTTTGGATAGGGATATCCCATATAAACCCCCTTAAAAGGAAGCCCAATAAGGTAGGGATATCCCGGTAAAATGCTTATGCTTATGTGCCTTTGTGGGTCCCTATTTGCTTATTTCTCTCATGATATACTTCCAGGGGACGAATAAGAATATGATTTTCATTTTGGTTCTAAGGTCAGCTAACTTTGGGGGTTCAGGGTTTGGGTTTCGGTTGAGGGTCAGCATCTGGGAATCTAGGGTTGAGGGTTTGGGGCTATAGTTATGGGTTGTGGGCTCTAGGGCTTCAATTATGTAGTGGCTTCCGGTATGGGGGATGTGAGCCAATGTGAGTCGTAATTGCTCAGTTTTCTGTGAATATATTTGATTTTTTGCTCCGGTGTAGGGATCAATACCTTGGGTACGGCCCCCACTCAGTAACAGTTGGATAATGTTCATAGTAGACATATATAAGGCCGTTAATTGTAGCCCTATTCCAGACTGTTACTGTATGGGGGCCGTACCCAATCAATACCCATGACATCGCATTACATCGATGAACACCTGGATCAAAAATCAAGAGGCCAGGGTGCATTTTTCCTCTGCTCCTCAACCCATATTCAGGATCCTCTTCGGCCTCATTAGGGCCAGGGTTTAGGTATTAGGATTTAGGGTTCCGGGAATAGGGTTTAGGGATTAGGGTATGGGTGCAGGCTTCCTATAACGCTTAGTCAGTGAGTCAGGCACTCCAGAAGTTCAGTCTTTTGTTTAAGGCCCGTACTCCTGTGAGCATCACTTCCGCATTGACTGAGTCTCTTATATAGAGACACAGAGATGTGGAGAAATAGAGATAGAAAGATGCACAGATCTGGGTATGATATTACAGTCTTGTCGTCTTGTAGTCATATGAGTCATATCGGTTTGTGGAATATTAGAAGCACAGAGATACAGACACAAAGCCCTAAACCCTAATTGAACCCGCACTCTGATCGAGATATAGGTAACAGTAAACACACGACGGCCCAACTAAACCACAAACCCTTAAACCCTAAACCCCTAAACCCTAAACCCCCAAACCCTACACCTTAAACCCTAAACACTCAGGGAACCCCAAGTGTCCAAAGGACCCAATATTTAGGTACTCGGTTTCGAGTAGTAGTTATGTAGGTTAGAATTTTGGAGAGTATGTCGTGATTGTTAAGTACTTCGGGAAGACTCTGAGGGTAAAAGGAGGGACCCTTAATAAGGACCTCTAGGTATATACCCTTAATATAGCTATTATATACCCATTGTACAGCCCATTAGAGGGTAGGGGTCCCCATTAAGGGTCCCTCTTTTTCCCCTTTGGAAGACGAAGCTGAGCCAGGATCCTCCCCCAGCGGCCGAAACACCCGGCGTGCCTGCGCCACCGCCAGTGTCGCAGGTCGGCGGGTCCAGAGAGCCCCTAGGGAGGTTTTAAGGGTTTTAGGGTTTAGGGGTTTCGGGGTTTAGGGTTTAGGGGGTTTTAGGGGTTTAGGGGTTAGGGGTTTTTAGAGTTTTAGCGTTTTAGGGGTTTGGGGGTTTAGGGGCTTTACGGTTCAGGGGCTTTCGGGGTTTATGGGTTTTTAGTGTTTTTTTTATGGGTTTTAAGGGGTTCAGGGGTTTTTAGGGCTTTGGGGTTTAGGGGCTTTGGGGGTTTAGGGGTTTAGGGTTCTGGGGTTTAGGGGGTTTTAGGGCTTTAGGGCCAGGGTTTAGGGGTTTAGGGCTTTAGGGTGTAAGGGTTTAGGCGTTTAGGGTTTAGGGGCCCCTACTTGGAGGTTCATGGGTAGCTACAAGTGGGTTTTATAGGGGTCCTTTTAAAGGGATCTATGGGGATTCTATAAGGGTAAAGGGTTTAGGGTTCATGGGTAGCTATAATTGAGGTTATCCCCTATTATTGGTTATAAGTATAGCTATCCTACTTATAACCCTACTTATAACTACCCATGAACCTCCAAGTAGGGCTCGGGGTTTAGGGGTCAGGGTTTACAGCAATCCCCATAAGGTTGGAAACAGGATTAAGACCATATAGTGCTTGGGTTCCCTACATGTTACTCTCAAGGATCGAGGCTATTGGGTTTCCGACTTTTGGGCTTCTACTCTAGGGGGTTTGGGTTAAGGGTTTAGGGCTAGGGGGTTCAGGTTTATTTGTTTTTTTTAGGGTTTAGGGTGTAGCTTTACCTATAGCCTCCGTTGTAGTTACCTTTTTTGTGTTACCTTCCGGGATCCAAGACACTGGTATGAAGTTGGTTAAGCAAAAACAGGAACTTGGAGACTATAGGTAGCCCCTGGGGCTTGGGTATTACTTATAGAATGTGGGCCTTATGATGGGTCTAGAGTCATAGGTTCGGTTTAATCAGTTTTGTTTAAATACCCCAAGGCTCCATGTACCTATATAGTAGATACTTAAGCCTTAAAGTACCTATCTATCGGGACCCCTTTAAGGCCTAAGTATCTACTATAAAGCTACATGGAGCCATGGGGATACTTTCGGGCTTCATTGAAAACCTGCGGTCTCAAGCCTGCTGCTTCAGGGGTTAGGCCCTCCTCGTAGGATCATGACCCCTAAACCCTAAACCCTAGCATTCTGTAGTGATGCAGGGTGACAGTAGAAGCCCTCGATAGTATGAGCAGCGCTTCGGTGGATTCGGGGTTTCAGTACCTGCAACGGACGGTTTTGTTGAGGGTTTAGGATTGCTAACGTATATCTTGAGACGTTCAGGCTTTCTGGCCTTCTTGAGATGTACCCTGCGGCTCGTAAGAGGTAAAGTTTGGATCCAACAGCCTACTGTTTTGTAGTTTAATAGCGTAGCGCAGAACTCGGCTAATGCATCTGCAGGTAACCTCTAAAGCACCAGCCTGAAGCCCTGAAGCCTTTTACCTGGAACTGCAAACCCGTTACCAGCCCAAACCACCAAGCCCGGAACCACATAACAACTAAGCAACAACAAGAAAAACGATACATTTCAAAGGCCTTGCGGAACCTTTTCGAACCCGTAGGAGGACCCTATAGCCACCTCTTCTGGGACACCGACTCCTACATAGGCTTTGAATTCAAGCGCTCGAAGCCTTGCGGTATCTTCCCAGGATGCGCCGCCCCCGCCTCCTCCAGAGCCACCAAAGGACCTGGGTCTATTTTGCAAACAGATTCCAAGAAGTCGCCGGGATCGCATATTCGGCGTATTCGCTTCTGGTGTACAGGGGCTTGAGGGATGTCTGATGGGGTTGTCATACTTCATGCGGAGGTTGCATTAGTTGTAGTCTAGGATGCCCAGTAGTACCCTTCTTCCCTTTTTGTAGTCCTAGGTTCCTTATAAGGTTACCCAATACCAAAACGGGAGCCCTTTCTATTCCTAGCTTGCTGGGCATCCTAGTAGTGGCTTATCATGTTTAAGGCCTGTAGGTCTGGTTTCGCAGGAGGGACAGGACATCTGCGCCTGCAGGTTGTAGGGTTTAGGGGTTTAGGGATTAGGGTTTAGGGTGCAAGCTTAGATGGTATGGTTATTTAGTCCAGAAGCCTCAAATACTTGGGCCTTTACAGCCTAGATGAACCCAGGGATTTACCTAAGATTCTGCTTGAACCCCGAAAGCCCTGAACCCTAACCCTTCAACCACAACCACCCAGAGCCTCCAAAGCCCCTTAATTAAGGAATATACCTTAAAGCATAATAGGGGCCCTTATATGATTTAAGGCATATTCCTTAATTAAGGGGTTTTGGAGGCTCTGGGCAGTTGCTGTCTTCCTCGCAAAGCCCGCTTCTTAGCACGTCGCTCACAAGACCGGTGATCGCCTAGACCTTCCAAAATCCCTCAATTAAAGAATATACTGTAAATCTTATTAGGGATCCTACTATGATTTAAGGTATATTCCTTAATTAAGGGATTTTGGAAGGTCTGGGTGATTAGGGTTTGGGTTTCATTTAAGGGTGGAGGGTTTCGGGTTTAGGGTTCAGTGATTTGGGATTTGGGTTTTCGTGTTTAATGTTTAAGGTTCGTGGTTAGGGGTTTCGCACCCAAGGCGGTGTAAAGACTTCTTCGGAATTGTTCTGCCCTTTGGGCTACTTGTGTGCAAAGGGATGAAGAAGCTGTTTTATGTTGGTGTTTTGCTTGTTGTGTCGGCTGCATTGCAGGAGCTTGAAGAGAATGCCACCGACATCACAGGCAGCTCTTTCGCTTTTGAGACTTGCAGTGTCACTGTCGGCTGCACCTATAAAGATAGCGAAAGCCTCGTCATGTCCGTGTTGGGTGCTATTGATGGGGTTCTTACTTGGACTGTAGTTTGCATCTATATATATATATATATATATATATACATACATGTATATGTACGTGCATTTGGTATAGGTATATGTAGATGTGGATGTGGATGTAGATGTACATGCATGTCTGGTGCAGTCATGTATTGTACTGTATTGTAATATGATGCAAGACCGTAAGACTGTTAGAATGTATCAAGAATGTAAGAATTTGAGAAAGTAGGAATGTGAGTAGTTATGTAAGTTTATAAGTATGTGTGTGTGTACGTATGTATGTATGCATGTATGTATGTGGATGTATGAGTGTGTGTATGTATGTACGCACGTATGTATGCATGTATGTATACATGCATGCATGTGTGCGCACACATATGTAAGTACGTACGTAGGTAATTGTGTGGGTGTGTGCATATGTAAGCATGCAAGCACAGACTTACACGCATGTATACTGTACAGGCAGTTGTACTTAAGAAAGTTCAGTTTGGTGGACAGATAGGTAGGTAGGTACATGGGGGTTTCCGAAAATAGGGGACTCTAATGTGGTACCCGAACTAGTAGCATCCTTACTGTAAGGACCCCCAAAATAAGGTACCCCTAATTGTCGGAAACTCCAAGCCCTTTAAAGAAACCCTTGTAACCCTTATAGTAGCCCTTTAAAGGAACCCGAAGGTATAGATAGAGAGATATGGGCTTGTCTGGGAGCATGAGGGACTAGGGAGTCGAAACTGGACGAGCTCTGAGCAAAGAAGAGAAACGTTACTTGGAGTAGGGTTATAGGGGTCCTGTAAAGGGATGTATAGGGATCCCTTAAGGGTATAGGGTTTAGGGTTCATGGGTAGTTGCAAGTGGGGTTATAGGTCCACTGATATGGGTTGTAAGTATATAGGTATCCTACTTATTACCCTACATACTGACTTTTAGCTACCCATGAACCTCCAAGTAGGGCTGCACAGAAATACAATGGAATTTCATTTATCAAACAATGGAACTTGGTTGGTCTAGAGAGGGACTACATAGCTGTAAGCAGCAAGGACAAGGACGAATCAGCAAGGAACCAACACAATGAGACGCATGTAGAAGAAGCCGCAAACCCTAAACCCTGGACGCTAAACCCTCAACCCCAAACCCTGAACCTTAGACCTTGAAGCCTGAGCCTTGAATCTGAAACCCTGGCGCACAAGTGCCTTGTAAGTGCTGACCTAGGGGCAGATGCAAAAAGGAGCTTACCACACAACAAAAAAACTGTACCCTGACTTGAGACCTGAAGCCCTAACCCCCAAACTCTAAAATCCCGAAAACCCCAAACGCCCTAATGTAGGAACCTAATTAAGAAACCCTGGGCCTATAGCCCTGAAATAGTAGGATTCATATAAGGAGCCCTAATAAAGGCCCAAGGTTTCTTAATCAGATTCCTACATGATTATAGTACCCTTATAGATCCCTTATAGTAATCCTTATAGACTCCTTAAAGGAAGCCTCATAAAGGCCCAAGGTTTCTTAATCAGGCTTTAGGGTTTAGGGTTTAGGGGTTTAGGGTTTAGGGTTCCTACATTACGCCAACTCTGCTCGCCCCCCTGCAGGTAAAACGATCTCCGCGCAGGCCTGCTTGGCGCCGGAAGGGTGCTACTGTTGATGGCATATGTCTTGCATTACCTTAATGGCCCTGAACTATGGGAATTATGGTATACTCGTTGTTATGGGTAATGCAGGATTTATATCACCTACCGTACCTAAAGAATGGGGTTTAAGATGGGTGCCGTAATAATTAGAATAGGGTTTTGGGGCCCATTATACTATCATTATAATAAGGAACCCCCAAAATAGTATAGGTAATTGTTAAGGCCCCTACATTACCTAAGATAGTATGTACTTTGGCCTTAAACGTAGTCCCTATAGTGGTGCTTTGGGGCCAAAGTAAATACTATTTGGGTACATGGACCCTTAGGGTGAAGGATGGTCGGCTTAGAGTACGGGTTTCTGTGGGGTGCCTACCAGATTTCACAGGGGGGTCTGTAGGAATTCCAATCGGATTGAATTCGAGGGTTTTGGTCTTTAGGCTTTCGAGCCTGTGGGGTTGGGGGATGTCAGAAAAGCATGAGGGGTTTAAGGTTTGGGACGCAGTCTCGTGGCTGGTTTCCGCGTAAATGTGGTGAATTCGCAGGTGGTTAGAGTTCCTAGATGTTACTGGTAGAAGGTAAAAGCTCGTCTTCAACCCGCATAAACCTTATACCAAGAATTGGAAAGTTATCTCCCTAAACCCAAAACCCTAGGCCGTAGTATGAGAACTGGAACTGTGTTTCGGGGTTCCTTATTATATGGGTTTAGGGTTTAGGGTATCGCCTATTATTTCAGCCAGGCAGCACTCGGGATTGAGCCTGTCGCAGGTCGGCTTTAACACAGAGGACACGACGCTGAATGTGGTGCCGGCACATAGACTCTCGGATGCAGTCGAAGGGATCCTTCGGGAGGGGTTTCCATGGCGGGAATAAAGGCGTAGCAGTCGAGTAATAGCCTTTAACCTTTTTTGGGTAGTATAGTCCCTATATAACCCCTATATAATCAAAAAGGTTAACCTTTAGTTCCCCATGATACCCGACAAGTAGGAAGATTAGTGCAATGTAGGGGCCTTAATCATCATAATAGGGTTTGGGGGTATATTACTAAGCTATAGTGATCATAAGGAACCCCAAACACCATTCTGCTTACGAAGGCCCCTACCGTAATCCTCTCAAGCTCTAAGGACCCCTAGTACTCTCCCAAAGGGTCCAAAGTACTTGTATAGTAGAATGTAGGGATTCTATATAAGGAATTACTATTATGATTTGGGGAAGTATCCCCCGTAACTGGACATAGGACATTTTGGGTCTTCCTCAAGCGCCTCGGGTAGTATACGGTTCCCCACGGGTCTACGTTCTCATGCACTATGTACTTTGGCCATGCCCTAAACCATAAAGTAGTCCCTGCTTGAGAGTTTGAGGCGACGAATGTACTATATGGGTAGTTGTCAAGACTAGGGTCCCTTTTTGGACACCCTAATTATTAGGTGCCGTATTAGATTAGGGACCCAAAAAATAGCCACAATTTGGACAACCGCCCATATGGGAACATGAACCCTACGGGTTCCTTTGTAGCCTGCATCCTCGGGGACCTCATCCGTATTCTGGTGAACCCCAACCGCAGGTACTGTTCCCTTACAACGTAAGCCCTAGGATGCCCAGTAGTACCCTTATTCCCTTTTTGTAGTCCTAGGCTCCTTATCAAGGTACCCAATACCAAAAATGGAGCCCTTCTTATTCCTAGGTTGCTGGCATCCCAGGGCTGGTATATAACGAATGCAACTGTCACCAAAAAGGAGCAGGCCTCTAGGAATTGAAAGGACCAGACGACCCTTAAAAGTAGGGGGCCCTACCCGTGTACTATGAGACCCGACATGGTATGTGAACCTTAAACCCTTTAGGGCTTATTTCGTCCCTCAGCTACAATACAAATCCTAAACCCCATCATACCCTAAACCGCCTTTAGGGCGCATTTCGACCCGGAGGTAGAATGCAAAGAAACGGGCCAAACAACTCCCCAGGTGGAGCCCTCCTCATGATGCTGACGGATGGTGGCATGCAGTGCTCTGGCCCACGTTTTTTTGTTAAATACGCGCCTTCATTAACGAGTTCAGGGTTTCGGATTTAGAGGGTTTTAGGGCTTAGGGTTTAGGGTTTGTCTGATGGTGGTTGTGCTAGGTAGTCATGCAGGACCATTGGGGGAGTATGATAGTTAATGGTTCAGGCCTTCCTTCGTTTGCTGCTTTTGTAAGGGTTCGGGGGGTTCGGAAAGCTTCTATCAAGGGTTGTCGAGATTTCTGTGGTTGCACATGAGGTTGATGTTTTCGGGTCTAAGGTTCTTCCCGGCCCTGTACAGGTGTTTTGCCGTTTGATCGTTTTCTGATTCAAAGTTTGGCGAGGTTCTTATACATTCGGTTTGCAGACCTCCGTCAAAAGCACTGCGGGGTGTGTTAACCTCTACTTGTCTACACCTCGAACCCTAACCTAAACCCCATAAAGCTTAAGTCAGGACTTCGGCTTTTTTGCTGTAGTTGCCTGTGACGGCAGGTGTTGGCGACTTTTTTGAGTTTGCTCCAGCGCAAGCCCAATCGAGTCTGACGTCCTGCGAGAGAAAATTATTGCACGCAAGAAAAACTACCTTAGATTTTAAACCTTGAAACCTGCCAGCCGTGAATGCCTTAAAACCCTAGATCATTAATCTTCGAGAAGCGACCGCCCTGTCTCCGATACCTGTGGAGTCAAAGACGGCAACGTATTACATATATGAGACAATAAAATGGAGGATAACCTCACAGATGTGGGCTGAGGGGGTTTAGAGTTTAGGCTCAAGGGCTTGTGGTTTCGGGGGGAGGAGGGGGGGAAGAGAGCCCGAACCCGACCCAGGTACCTCCTCGCCGGAGCTCGCGCGAACGTGGGCATCAAGGTGCCGAAGTAAAGCAGCATTATCCCTAGCAGAAGGATTGACGTCGCCTTGAACTTCAACCCCTAAACCCGAAACTCTAAAACGTTCGACCGTTTGAAATTCCAAAGGGTTCATGTACCCATATAGAGATACATGAGCCCCAAAGTACCTATATAGAACCTACATTAAGGCCAATGTATATACTATATGAGTACATGGACCCTTAGGGAGTCTTACAGCCCGAAAACCCAAAAGCACACCAGAAAAAGGGCCCCGGAGAAGGGAACCGAGAAGCCCAGGGTTTGATCAGTGGTTTGAAAGGATTTAGGGTTTTGAAATTTCGGGTTTAAGTTATAGGCGTCTTTACTTGAAAGGTTTGAGGTTTCGAAGTTTAGGGTTTAGGGTTTGGGGTCTCAGAAACCCAGGGTTCAGGTCCAATAATATAGGGGCCTTCATAGGCACACATACTATCTTGGGACTCCTTATGGCATTTAGTTACAGCATAATGTAACCCCATACCCTGTTCTAGTCATGAAGGCCCCTATCGTAGGTAGAGGCTTGCATAAACGGTTTGGAAATTGGGGGGGGGGGGGGGGGGTAGGGTTTAGTGTTCGGGTCTAGGCAGGGTTTGCAGGTTTAGGGCTTGGCATCCGTGGTGTCAGGTTTACCTATACTATTGTCACAATTTCCTGGTTTGGGCCTGGTTTGGGATCCCATGATAGGGGCAACGAGCAAAGTGCTCAATAAAAGGAATCACAATCCCTTAGAAGCTGAGTGGATACATTTTAGACTTTTTGAGATAATATTACCTACTATAAGACTAAAAGTATACAGTTTTGGGGGCTTAAGAACTCAGCAACTAAGATCTAAACCCGATTTTTAAGGTTCAGGGATGTTTAGGTTTCAGGACCCCTAAACCCTAGACCCTGAGCATTAAACGCAAAGCCCTTAGCCCGATAAGCCCTAAACCCCTAACCTCTAAAACCCCCTAAACCCTAAACCCCTTCAAATTGCCTATCAACCTAAACCCCTGTTTAAACCTAAACCCTGAATCCCTAAATCCCCAAGCAACTAAACCTTAAAAACCTATAAACCTAAACCCCTATAAACCAAAACCCTTATTTAAACCTAAACACCTAAAACCCTATTGAAACCTAAACCCCTATTGAAACCAAAACCCCTATTCAAACTTAAACCCTGAAATTCCCTAAACCCCTAGCCCTTAAACCCACGAAACCCTAAACCCTAAACCCTCAGCCCTATATCCCCTAAGCCCTAAACCCCCCAACAAAAACTCGGGGAGGCGGGGCGCTACACCTGCCTATAAACCCTGAACCCCTATAAACCTAAACCTTGAATCCCTAACCCTAACCCCCGGGGAGGCGGGGCGCTACCTCTTCGAAGTGAAGATCTTGGAGGTCCTGGATCCACAGGACTCCCAAGGCCCAGGGCTTGGGGGCTTAGGGTTTAGGGTTTATGGGTTTAGGGTTTAGGCTTTAGGGTTTAGGGGTTTAGGGGTTAAGGGTTTAGGGTTTAGGGTTTAGGATTCCTACTGTTGATGATATAAAGGGATCTATAAGGGTACCTTTAAGGGGTTCCTTTGAGGGATCTGTAGGGTTTGAGGGTTCAGGGTTTAGGGTGATGATAAAACTCCTGCATCACCTTAAGGACCCTAGACTATGGGAATTATATGGAATTATGGAATTATGGTATATCCCTTATTATGGGTAATGCAGGATTTATATCATCAACCGTATGGTCTCCTTAGGAAGTCTTTTTATATTTTGTTAATAGAAAGCCCAAGAGAACATTCAACATATTATGTTCGTTATGGTTCTAACGGGGGGCGTAGATTCTGGGGATGGGGGGTTGGGGGTTTCAGGCTTTAGGGTTCAGGGGCTATAGGATTCTGGGATTTAGGGGTTCGGGGTTCAGGCTCTAGAGTTCAGGGTTTAGGATTTTAGGGTTTAGGGGTTTACGGTTTAGGACTCCAGGCTTTCGGGAGTGGGGGTTGAGGCTTTAGGCTTCAGGGGTTGCTGGTTCAGGCTTTAGGGTTCGGGGGGGTAGGATTCTGGGATTTAGGGATTGGGGTTGGGGGTTAGGGATTTGGGATTCTGGGGTTTAGGGATTTAGGGGTTAAGGGTTGGGGCTAGGTCTCTGAGGTTGGCGGTTCAGGGTTTAGGGGTTGACCGTTTAGCAGTTTTGGGTTGTTCAGGGTTTAGGGGTTTAGGGTTTAGCGTTCAAAGTTCACAATTCAGGGGTTCGGGGTTTTGCCGTTTAGGGTTACTAAATAGGTCGGAATACTAAGACCTTGTGGGGATTTTGCGGGGCTGTGGTTGAGGGCGTGGGATTTAATATACTCGTCGAAATGATAACCCGTCATGTTATAAGTTTACGTGTATTTTTCTCTATGATGTACACCCAAACCCTGCAGTGTTGAGGCTCTATGTAATCTCGGTTTGTTGTTTCCACCTCTTGCATGTTGGGTTAGTAAGCCTAGTTGTGGATATGCTGCTTCCTGACAAAACTTCATATAGTCCGGAGATAAGAGACGAGGCTTGCAACAGCGCACCCCCAAACCCAAAAGCCCTTTACTTACATAAAGGATCATGGGACTTAGTAAGTATGGTTATAAGTGCCTTAATTGGGGTTATAAGCAATTATAAGTGTAGTTACCCTAGTATTAACCCCAGTTGCTAAGTCCCATGATCCTCCAAGTATAAGTCCCTAGAACCCCAACTAGGGTACCTTTAACCCCAATTACTAAGTCGCCTGATCCTTCAAGTATATAACGTCCGCACCCAGCTCACTAAAGCTATGACCCCTGCATTCCGACGCCGTCGAACACTAGAACCTTAAGGCTCAAAATAGCCCAAAAGCCTTATATGGTACATGGGTGGTTGTCAAAATTAGGGTCCCTTTTTGGGTACCCTAAACATTAGGTGCCGTACTATATTAGGGGCCCAGAAAGGGACCATAATTTTGACAACCACCCATATGAGTCCTTCGAGCCTTAGGGTAAAAATCTACAAGCCTCAACTTCAAACTCTGCAACCCTCACCCCTAGGGTCCAAAGGACCCAGTAATCAGGTACTCGGTTTTAGGGTAGTAGTTATGTAGGTTTAGGATTTCGGAGAGCATATGATTATTAGGTACTTGGACCCTTAGGGTCAGCTCTCAAGGCCCTAAACCCTGAACCCTAGACCTCAAAAGTCTGAATGCTTGAACTAAAGTCTCCTCAGGAATTACTTTTTACATTTTCGTTCATATAAAACTTAAGAGAATATTTTAAAAAGTCTTGTAATTATTATGGTTCTGAGGGAGGTATAGTGAATAGATGCGACCTTACGTACATTTCTTAGAGCTAAACTCTGCCTTCCAGAGCCTGCAGTTCCAGCTGTTGGATCCCAAAGCCGCGGGGTAGTTGTCGACATAATCATTAGGGTCCCTTTTTGGGTCCTTAAAATATTACGGCAACTCATATTTAAGGAACCCCAAAAAGGGACCCTAATTTTGACAACTACCCATACACTTAAATCCTCCTACACCCTCTAAAACCTAAACGAAACCCTGAACCCAACCTGAAATCCCAAAGCCTTACGACCGCAAAGCCTAAGCCCTAATACTTTGAACCCCTTGTTCGGGTTTGGGGTCTCCGAATGCCAAGAATTTCGTAAAGACAACTCCAACAGTGCAACATATTTCTATTGTAACCTAGTATTTCCCCTGGCAGAACCTCGTTCTAGGCATCACGGCCCCTTGTTGTAAATCTATACGATTTCAACCCTATAAAATTTTGCTTGAATCCTATGTTAAGCAGGAAAGAAGTCTGTAAAGCCTTTCCTGTTTGGGAGGCCCCCACGCGCGAGTGGTGCAGCCCAAGAACTTGCTGCGTCTAGGCCGACGCGTTAGGGTGCTTGTTTTCAATATGTTGGGTGTGAAGATCTGTGTGGCTGCGTCCCGGGCTCTTTTTTGTACGGTTTCATAGAGCTTGAATTTGACTTTTTGCTTTAGATAGGCTACGTCTCATAATGGTTTCAGCTCGTGATTCCAAGTATCTACTAGGTTGAACCTTGTCTTGCGGTGCTGTCCTACACCCGTTTTGGTGTCAAGTACATCGTCAGAGGGTTGCAGGATTGTTCCTGCAGCGTGAGTTAACCTACCTAAACCCCGAACCCCACCTCAACAAAAACAAGCAAACCAACAAGTACACTGAATCCCGGATAGAACCCTTTGCACAAAGCCCAGTTAGGGTTTAGGATTCATCATTGCAGTCTGTCAGACAGGTAGTTAGCTTGCTTTAGGTATCGTTCCTGCTCTCCCCTAAACTGCTTGCACACCCCACACCTCCGGTTGTCTTGGCGTTGAGGGCCGGGGTGCTTTAGGGTATTGGGTCGTGGATTATGAGCTGAAGATTCCGTGTTGCAGATTGAACCCAGACCTTCCAAAATCCCTTAACTAAGGAATACACCTTAAATCATATTAGGGATCCTACTATGATTTAAGGTATATATTCCTTAATTAAGCGATTTTGGAAGGTCTGGGATGTTGTGTCGAGGATTTCGAGTTCTCGGGATGAGGTACTGGAGTTAAGCTGGGCTCTGTGTGGGCTCGAGGTTTACCGTTTAGGGCTGCCGGTGTCTTCTGCTGGATTCTCATATGTGGTGTAGACATTCGGCTTTGGGCTTGCGGTTTGGGGTTTAGGGTTCAGGGGTTCAGGGTCTAGGACCTTAGGGTTCAAGGGTATATACACCCTGCGATTTTGCTCTGTATCAGTAGCACAGCTGCAAACATCGTGCCCCATGCATTGGGTACTTTCCTCATACGTAGTAGTAGTAGTAGTAGTAGTAGTAGTAGTAGTAGTAGTAGTAGTAGCAGTAGTAGTAGTACTAGTAGTAGTACTAGTACTAGTACTACTAGTAGTACTACTAGTAGTACTAGTACTAGTACTAGTACTAGCCTTTCGCGCAACAATGGCCCTGGTCTTGCAGCGCTGGCAGTCGAAGGGTTGAGGGGCTTAGTGACCCAAGCCAGCTGGAACGCGAGGTTCTGGGCACAGGAGATAAAATACTTTAGCCTTTAAAGCCTTTAAAATACTCCTTCAGGGTGCTTAAGTCATAGATTTCTACTGTGCTCAGTGAAGCTTAGGATCCACTCCAGGACCCCTCAAGGGCCCTTTACCAGAGCCCTCACGCTCTTTTATAGTGGGTTTTTAAAGTATATTAGCGGGTAGTTGGGAGTCTCGGTTTGTTTCAGCCTTTTGGGGGGCTCTGGGCTCGAAAGCTCGTTTCATTATCAAGGAAATCTGCTGGGGTTTAGGGTTTAGGACCGAGGTATGATAGGGCTTAGAGTTTAGGATTTAGTATGGTTTAGGGTTCAGGTTTAGGGTTTAGGATGGTTTAGGATACAGGTTTAGGGTTTAGCATGGTTTAGGGTTCAGGTTTAGGGTTTAGGATGGTTTAGGGTTGAGGGCTGAGGGCTCTGACCCGATGCAGGTTTCGCCACCAGCAGTTCCAGCTTACTGCTAGGCGAGACAGAGGCCGGTTCTGCAGGGTTGGGACTGGAAATAGGTACTTGGAGGTTCATGGGTAGTTATAAGTGGGGGGTTTATAGGGGTCCTTTAAAGGGATGTATAGGGATTCTATAAGGGTATAGGGTTTAGGGTTCATGGGTAGTTATAAGTGGGGTCATAAGTCCCCTAATATGGGTTACATCTATAGCTATCCTACTTACAACCCTGTTTATAACCACCCATGAACCTCCAAGTACAGGGCAGTATCTCAGATAGCCTGGTAGTAGTGGTCCGAGGTTTGGTTTGGCCATACCCCGTTTGTAGTCCCTACATATCATTCTGTGCTCGAGAGCGCGCACCACTCCGCATTCCGAGAGTGCACACGATAAATCGGACTCAAGCATTGAATCCAGACCGAGACTGAGAGAATGTTCACTGTCTGCCGCCGCGTCGGCAGCTGCCAGATAACCTCATGATTAGCTTAGGTACCCGGGTTTAGGATAGAAGATTTGTAACATACTGGGGAGAGTGTCTGGTGAGTGGGACTTGGACTCCCAGGATTATCTTAAAGGTCAATGTTTACATATTCAATTCGGGTGCCATCGGGGTCTTGTTAAAAACGCCAGATGAACCCTAAACCGTATGAGTCAAAAATCTTAAGCCCTCAACCCTAAAACTGCAGAACACCACCAGTCTTTAAAACATCCTGTCTCCTCAAACACCCCGAAATCCAGACTGCTGTAGCCTGCTAGGATTTTCTCAGTTTTCTGAGGGTTTAGGGTATATCCAGAAACTTGTAGATGCTGTAGCTCCCTCGGGATTTAGGGTTTAGGGTCTAGGTTTTTTTTATAGTGCTGTAGCTCTATCAGTTGCCTTATTTCGCAGTACCGGGTGAGGACCATAGGAGAGCGCTATGGGTCCATGTTCCCATATGGTATATACTTTGGCCTTGTAGTCTTACAGTAGTCCCTATACAGGTACAGTAGGGCCAAAGTATATACCATTTGGGGATGTGGACCGGTAAACCCCAAAACTCTTAAATCTTTGTGGTACCCTTAAAGGTACCCTTGACGGAACTTGGAGGTTCATGTGTAGTTATAAGTAGGGTTTTAATTAGGATAACTATAGATATAACCCATATTAGGGGACTTAGAACCCTACTTATAACTACCCATGAACCTCCAAGAACCCTTTGCAGACAACTAGACCCCAATCACAAGAACTGTCGATACGAAGCCCTAAGACTTAAGCACAATTGGGCACTTTGGACCTATTCGGCTTTGGGGTTTAGAGTTTAGGATTTCCAGGCCTTCATATTAGGGTTAGTAGAATCGTGGATGTTATTTAGTATTATGTAACTTTCATGTTCGGGCCATTTTATCGGGTTAGTACTTCGTGTATCACGGGGATTTATATATTGGTGTTATTCTACTAGCTAGGGTTACATATCATAGGAGGGCCATAATATTATAGGTTATTAATAGTTGTTATATTCGGGCTGTTATATTAGCTAACTATTTTGGTGCTACCATTATATTAGAGTTACTACGTAGGACTGTTGGGTGTTGGTGCTCCGAGCTTGTCGAAGGATTCGGTTTGCTTTGACTCGGAGGGCTTCTTCACGCAGAGCAAGACCGCCGAGGGATTAGGGTTTAGGACTTGGGATTTTCATCAGGTTTGGGATTGAGGTCGTATTCGGGTTCTTTTTTGAGTTTAGAGCTTGGATATTTCATCGGATTTGTGATTGAGGCTCATATAGTATATACATTGGCCTTAATGTAGTCCCAATTTGGGTACTTTGGGGCGCCATGTATCTCTATATGGGTACATGGACCCTTAGGGATTGGTACGGCCCAGTACCTGCTCCGAGCAGCTATCGCCTTGAAGTGTATACCCAATGCCCACAGGGGACCATAGGCTACACCCAGAGAGCCCAATACCCCTTAATCAGGAATATGGCTTAAACTATATTGGGCTTAATATTGTGATTTAGGCTATCTTGGTTAAGGGACATTGGGCTCTCTGGGCAGGTACGGTTCAGGGCTCGGTGCTTAAACCCTTCTATTCGCGACTAATCGAGGAGTTTGCTTTGGACCCTCTTCGGGTCCCTGGTGTGGTTTTCAAGTTTCACAGCTTTGCAGTCTAATCCCTGAACCCTAAACCCTTGTACAGTTTCTTGTGAACACATATGCACATAGCGCATGAAATGACTCCATGGGACGTTCATGATGCACGTAGGGCCTTTGTTGGATACTATGATCCCGATCTGATCTCGGGGTCGTGTTTAGCTTGTGTAGGATACTGGGCAAGTGAGCCTAAGATGCCCTCACTTTTGAGGCCTAAACCCTAAACCCTAAACCCCTAAACCCTAAACCCCAAACCCCTGAGAGGTGTCGAGGGCTTGTAAGGCCATACCTCGAGAATCCTCGAGACTTCTTGAACTCGTAAGGCCCTGCAGTTTCCCCCTGTTCTTGAAATGAGAGTTTCCGAAAATGGGGGGGGGGGTACTTACTTTGAGGTCCTTATAATAAGGATCCTACTATTTAGGGTACTATATTAGGAGTAGGAGGCCCTATTTGCGGAAACTCCCAGATTGCTAACTGACATACCTGCTCAGAATCCTTTACGTCCTCACGTGGCAAAGTCACTCTCAAGAAATCCTAAGAAATCATTTAGCCCATGCACATGGGCGACGTCGGTGTCGTTGGCGATTGTGACGGGCCCCGCAGCTGCCCCGTTTGCAATTCAGCATATCGCTTGCAATTGGTCTATCAATTTGTGGGTCCAGCTGGCTTACTCTCCTGCGGCTTGCCCAGCGAGCCAATTCAAGAAAGCGCAAGGCAAGAGGCCAGGCAGTGGTTGATGACATTTGCTCCCGTGCTTTCCCATGGAGAACAAACATGCAGCTGGTCTCCGCTTGACCGAAGTCAAGAATGCCCAACTGCGACGACTGGGACCCGTCTGAGAGCTTGCGATGGGTGCCTTTTGCATCACTTTTTGCTGGCCAACCCTAAACCTAAACCTTAAACCTCTAAACCCTAAACCCCTAAACCCTAAACCCTAAGCCGCTAAACCCTAAACCCCTAAACCACCAGCCACTGCAACCCCAATAACAACACCACAGCAAAGTGCGGACAGACGCCAACTGCAAGTCCCTGGGAGGTATGGCTTTGGGACATTTTATGTTTTCCCTTATTGGGCTTAAGAGGATCATATTTACTAACATTTTTCAAAAGCTTTGAAAGCCCCACCTAGCCTGTAGGTAGAGGGTGCACACGTATAAGTTTGGGGTTAACTTCAAAAGCACATTGGTGCTTTACAAAGGTGTACGAACAACAATATAAGTGAGCATGGGTATTGGACAACCAAAACAAACTAAACCCCCATCGTAAATCTTTGGTTCAGACTTTAGAGTGTTTCAAGATGTGTTGTGGTGTTCCAAGCCCAAAATCCAAAATCCTGTGTAAGCCCCAAACCTTAAGAGAGGTAATGGGGGGATTCCAATCAAAGCCTAAGGCCAAAGCCACAAATCGCCCAACACGAATCCTTTAGTATCAGCCTTATAAACCTTAGTCCTCATGCACAAGATCCATGAATATAAACCCTAATCCCAAAACCCGAAGTCGTGTATTGCGGGTTCCGGTCGCCCATCTACTCTGTCCAGACTCTTGGGCTCGAAGCGATTGCTATCTGGATCTTTTTAGGTTGTGGTTTTCGGCTCAGGGCCACGAGGTTTTTAATATGGGAGCCTTAATAATTTCAGGAGGGTTTGGGGGCACTTTACATACTATAGTTGGTGTTGACGAAGTGTCAAATGTCAAGCCTTTCACATCCGGGTTTAGGGCTGGGACATGTAGCTTTTGCTCAATAGCCCATCAGACGGGTCCAACATAATGTAATATATATATATATATACATACACACACAGATGTATAATATGTAGATATACGATACCCTGAATGCCCCATGTTTTTTGACTTCGCAGGACCCGCGTCCAGGCCACGCAGCGCTTTGGACGCGACCAGGTGTCTGCTTGGTACAGGGTTTTCCTTGCCCCTAGCTGCAATATTATTCGGGGATAGGCGGGTGTTATGAGGCTTACCCGAACCCACCAAAAGAAAAGTAAGCAAAATAACGGCCCCACACCTACGAAAGGTTATTGTTCTACATACTCTGGGGGTCCAAGTAAGTTTTTTACCCTACGGCTCGAACGGCTCATGTTTACTACCTAGTAGTCGAGTAGGAAACCTTTAACCTTTTTTGGTATCATAGTCCCTATGTAATCTCTATATAACCAAAAAGGTTAACCTTTAGTTCCCCATGATACCCGACAAGTCCTAAGGCTCTAAGGACTCATATATTAAGGCTTTTGGGCCCAACGACCATACTATATAAGGCTTTTGGGCTATTTTGAGCCTTAGGGAAGTAGGACCACGTTTTGTTTCACATAAACTCTCCAAGCAGGCTCCCCGGCTCCCCGTGTTGGGCCGCACGAACCTCCGGCTATAGCATCCCAAACCCGAAGTTCGCATCATGGGAATTAGGATTTAGGGTTTAGGGGTTCAGGGTTTAGGGTTTAGTAGGGTTACGGGTTAACCTACACTTATAAGACCTATCTAAACCCCTAGTAGATTCGGTCTAGAAAGGCAAGAATGCGATTCCCTCCGCAGCACTTCCTTAGTTGTACACTTCTCGATTAAGCGTCCTTTGCGGTTCTATTCTATTTACGAGGAGTCGCAGACAACCTATTCGCAGAGCTTAGGGCTACCCTAGTACAAGCACGAACTGAGAGGCTACTTGGAGGGTCGGGGACTTAGTAAGTAGTTATTTTAAAGATTTATAAGTACCATAACCCCAACTAGGGCCCTATTAAGGTACAACAATTACTTACTAAGTCCCTCGACCCTCCAAGTAATGACCAAAGCGGCAACCCATGGAAACCAGCCGTAAGGTCCATGATCCCAAATAGTATATACTTCGGCCTTAAAGTAGTCCCTATATACTTTGGGGCCAAAGCATATACTATTTGGGCACATGGACCCCTACGGTTGATGATATAAATCCTGCATGACCCATAATAAGGAATATACCATAATTCCCATAGTTTAGGATCCTTAAGGTAATGCAGGATTTATATCATCAACAGTAGGGCAGCATACCATGTGGAATCCATTCCGCACCCTGGAACTGAAAGCCTCGGGATGTATTGAAGCAAGATACTCTACTCCCCTAGGTTCCTCAGTAGTACCCATGTGCGCTTTTCTTTCTGGGCTCCAGGATTAAACCAGAACAGTAGGAAAAAAGGCTACCCTGGATATTCGGAGGCTACTGGAGAACCTAGGGCAACCCCTAAACTTGAAACCTAAACCCCTAAACCCTTGTAAACCCTGAACCCCTAAACCTATATAAACCCTAAACCCCCAAAACCCTTATAAACCCTAGACCCCCAAAACCCTAAACCCCTAGACCCTAAACCCCTAAAACCTAAACCCTTTATCCCCTAAAACCGTGGCTCGTTGGAGGTCCTTGGCTTGCTCCTGAACTTGGACGCGGGCAGCGCAAACGTCTTGAGCTGAGCCGGCTGCGGCTTTCGAGTTTGAGTTCGTGATACCATTCAGGGATGGAGCTATACACACCGACAGAAGCATCTTATGTAAATAAATATATATATATATATATATATATATATATATACATATATATATGTATATATAATATATAGGTATCTATTTATTTATTTATATACATACTTATGATTATACACATGTGTTCGTATGTGTACCGATTTCTGTGGCAGGGTCTTGTGATCTATATAAAGGTTTGCTGCACACTTGTGAATGTGTGATTGCTGATTCACAAGTGGCATACTAGGAAGACAACGCCTGCTTGATATACAGTAAACCATAGAGGACTTCCTGTTAGGATCTTCCTGTCTAGATCTGGAACTATCCTTCATTGAGGAGTACTGGGCTGTCAGGTAGCTCACCTGCAACATGGGAGTTTCCGAAAATAGGGGACCTAATATAGTACCCTATATACTAGGATCATTTTTATAAGGACCCCCACACTAAGGTACCCCTAGTTTTTCGGACCTTAATAATAAGGATCCTGTCATTTAGGGTACTATATTGGGATCCCCTATTTTTCGGAAACTCTCACATCGCTGCAGGTCCTACCGTCGCAAGCCCAATGCCCCAAACCACACAAGACGATGGCCGAATGTAGCCTGAACAAACGAGAGGTACTACGGTTGATGATATAAACCCTGCATGACCTTAAGGACCCTAGACTATGGGAATTATGGATATACCTTATCATGGGCAATGCAAGATTTATATCACCAACAGCCTCCGCAAGAGTTCATCCGTTAAAGTACCGACACGGTTTAGGGTCTAGGGTGTACTACGACGGTGTCTGGAGTTTTGGATTACTGTGGCAATGCTGTTCATCCGAGTCATGCGAGATCCTCCCGAACTGCCGCTTCCGGCACACTCAGCGTGAACCTAACATTGAAGCCTGAATAATTATCCATATTATTCCTTAGGGCTCCGCATTTTAAGTATACTATAAAGGAGCCCACAACCCTATTCTAATCATCAAGGCCCCAATATTCAACCCTTGTAGTAGCCCTGACAGTAAGCTTTATATCCCCCTTCAAAAGGAACCCTTTAAAGGAACCCTACTCTATTTATGAAGGCCCCTATATTACGTAACCTACTTCAGATCCCCAAACTACTGAGCTTCAGGACAACAAGACCCAAACCGGAAAGCCAAATACAGCAACATCCATGCCGTAGTCAGGGTATACTGTTTAGCGGTGGTAGTCATATCTTGCAGAGCTCTTGAAGCATCTAGGCCAGACTTCACCCTACAAAACAACCTACTATGATACCCTAAGGGTCCATGTACCCGATAGTCGCCGATAGTATATATATTTTGGCCCCAAAGCACCTCTGCAGGGATTACATACTTTCAGGCCAAATTTTCTACAACAACTGGATGAGTACATGGACCCTTAGGGTAATCCTGATAATCAACCCCAAAAACCCCAAACCCTAATGGACCCTGATGTTACTTGGAGGTTCACGCGTAGTTATAATATTATAAGTAGGGTTGTAAGTAGGATAACTTTAGTTATAACCCATCTTAGGGGACCTATAACCGCGCTTATAACTTACCCATGAACCCTAAACCCTATACCCTGACAGAACCCCTATAAATCCCGTTAAAGGACCCCTCTAAATCCCACTTATAACTACCCATGAACCTCCAAGTAGCTCTCAGGAGCCTGAAAACCAAAGCTCCCGACCCGCTCAGGCCAACACGGTGAGCTTCTTCCGTGACGGCGTTCGGGCAGCTCTGGCTGGAAAGTCGAAGGGTTCCTTTAAGGGTTCCTCTAAGGGTTCCTTTAAGGGTTACTATAAAGGTTATACTATACGATTTTAGGGTTCTTAGTAATCTGTCTGGTTCTTAGTAGGGAATGGAGGAGTGGGGTATTGGGACGATTATAGAGGACTTTAAGGGACCATCATAGGGATCCATTCCGACATTCAATACTAATGACCAGGGAGAACAGATAAAGGGTGCTCAGGTTATAAGGTTGCCAACTCGTAAGGTTGAGGGCATTTAGGGTATGAGGTTTTGCTTTTTGTTTTTTAAGGATTCGGGGTGTTTCGAGCTTGTCCTTCTTCGGGCTTCTAGGTTTACGGTTTTTAGGATTGAGGAAACCCTAAACCCTAAACCGTAAACTTGAGGTTGAGGGCTTGCTCGGGCTTTTTGGGTTGAGGGTGGCAAAAAGGCTAGTGCAGCGGGGGAAGTTGCAGCATCTATGGCGCACGTCCGGCAGAGAGTATTTACTACATGATTGGAGGGCTCTGACTTCAGATTTTTATCTTGTGAGCACACTACTTATCTGCCCTCAAGTAAGATGTTGAATGCTTGGGCTGTATACGCGGTTGAGAAGTGCAGGGCCAGGTCCCGAATACGTTAGAAGTCTCGGAGTGGTGTTGCTATACTTATCATCCACACATCTGATCTGCCTTCTGGGACGGATGCTAAGCATAAGAGCCGAGCCGAAACAGTAGTGATAGTTAGTTAATAGCGATGGCACCCGGACCTTCATCTACCTGAGTGTCCTGGTATGCACACATGTTGCATGGGCTATCGATGCGGTAGTCAAAACATCTAAGCAATCTGTATATCTACCTTAACCTACCAAACCCTACTTTTGTGCAGGGCCCCTATAAACTCCGTATTGGGGTTCAGAATAAGAGCCTACATAAAATTAGGGTTTGGTAGGCTAAGGTACAGCAACACCATCATTTAGATTGGGTTCAGATCGCTATGTTGTCAGACTTTGCTCCTGCCTGAACCCTAGTTTGCTGGGCCCAGCCCGCAACCCCAAACCCTAAACCTAGGCCGAAGCCCATATCCGAAACTAACTCCTTCCTAGACCCCCAACGTACCCTCTAATATGCCCCACATCCCCACTGTTCAGGGCCATAAGCACTTTACAAAGGGCCCTGGGGTCCTGGGTCAACACCCGCTTTAAGATGCAAGAGTGCTCCCCTTGGACACTCTTGTGATTTAGCAAGTGCTTTAACCCTGAATAACCACCTTTTTAAGGAGTTGTATCAGGAAGTCATAATAAGGAGCCCTTAAACGGTATAGGTTCTTTAGGGTCCAGGCAGGGGTAGAGGGGACTTTAAGGAACACTTAAACCTGCTAAGTAAAGCCTCAAGCCTACACCCTATAATCCTTGTTCCTTAAACCTTAAAACGCAAAAAGAAGTGAAACCCTAAGGTATCCCAGCCGATGCCTTTGCCAGAGGCAGCAAAATGCACCTTTCCGCGCGGTGTTTCAGGGCTACCCCTGCTTTCCCAAACTCAGCATAGGAATAGGTTTAGTGGGCTTACTTGGGGGTTCAAGGGTAGTTATAAGTGGAGTTACAAGTCCCCTAACATAGGTTACAACTATGGTTATCCTAATTGTAGCCCCCAATATAACCACCCATGAACCTCCAGGGTTTCTAGGGCTTTCGGAGGTTCGGGATTGGAGTTTACGGTTCGGCGGTACTGCAAGTGTGGGTATTCTGCATCTCCATGACATTTGTCTTGCTTACTTCGAGCACATCCTTTCCATTTCAATAACTTGCATTGATTGTCATTGTGTTGGACAAACTGATTTAGTTAATATACTAAACCCCAAATCCCCAATAAACACTGTTGACCGTGCCTCAATTTACTAAGGACATGGTCGAAAGCAAGCTGATGTTCGACATCAGCGCGATTGAAAGCGAGCCCAGTGGAATGCAGTGACGGGGGTGGGGACGATACAGGGGGCTTCGAAAAGCCTGTTAGTGGGCGACGAGCGCAGTTCGAGCAGTTCTCATCCAAGAGATTTTGAGTCTGCTGACTTCCGACGACGCTGCGGCGGCTGCTACTGCCCCGCAGAGGCCTCGCGAGCCCGATGCGAGCGGCTAGGTCTCTTTAGCTCCGACCCGCAGACGAGGAACGATGCAAACCAAGCTTGAGGTTGTGACAGGACAAATTTAGGGTTTAGGGAGGGACCCTTGAGCTACTAGGTTGGATCCACTTGTAAACCTTCAACCTAGAAAGGCCAGGTTACAAGCACCAAACGCTAAGCCCTTCAAACCCTCAACTCCAGAGCAGTAAGGACCTTCAAAACCTGAATCCTAAAGCATAAACCCTAAACCCTAACTTCTAAACCCTTAAATCCTGAAGCCTAAACCCTAAACCATAGCTCCTAAACTCTTAAATCCTAAAATCCTGAATCCTGAAGCCTAAACCCTAAACCCTAACTTCTAAACCCTTAAATCCTGAATCCTGAGGCCCTGATTTACCAAGTCTTTGGGGCCCTTGGGTTTCAGCCCACATCTCGGCATTGGGTTCTACTGCAGGGTTTGGGATGGAGGACATGTGCCTTGTGTTTCCTACTTGGAGGTTCATGGGTAGTTCAAGTAGGCTGATAAGTAGGACAACTATAGTTATAACCCATGTTAGGGGACTCATAGTGAACTTCCAAGTAAGGATTGGAGAACTAGTTTGATTCAGGCTTTTGTGCACCGAGACCTTGCAACTGTCTGGGAAGGCGAGTATATGGTGGCAAAATTCCGTATGGTTCCCCAAGAGATCAGAAGGTTTCCGAGTTTTTGATCCTTACTTATAGCAAAGTTTAGGATCAGGGCCCAGGGTTTTCTCAGCCACAAGCCTGGGTGCTGGCTTTGGGGTTTGGATGTGTGGGGGAGTTAGTTTGAGGGGTTTAGGGGTATCGGGTTTGGGAGTTTAGATTAGGATGTGTGTAGAGATTTGATTCTAGGGTTCGGGGGTTCATGGCATCGCCGCTTGTATCGGCGGTCCTTCATCGAGGGCTTAGTGCTGAGGGTAGAGGGTTGAGGGTTTACGTGCAGGTTCAGGAGTATTGAAAAGTGGGGTGAAAAGTCCCTTAATATGGGTTATAGCTATAGTTATCCTAGTTATAACCCTACTTGTACCTTTCCGTGAACCTCCAAGAAAGGGTTCCGGGTTTAAGGTTCAAGGTTTACTTAGTAGCTGAGTGGATGCACTTTACACTTTTTATTTTGGGATAATATTACCCACAATAAAACTAAAAGTGTACATGTTTGGGGGGCTTATGAACTCAGCTCCTTGGTTTAGGATGCGGGAGTGTAGCAGGCGCTGAAGGGCAAGACGCTCTTCCCGGCGGTGACCTTCAGGTGCGACGGGTACTTGGAGGTTCATATGTAGTTAGTTAAAGGGGTCTATAGGGATGCTTCCTGGGTATAGGATTTAGGTTTCATGGGTAGCTAGAAGTAGGGTTCCAAGCCCCCTAATAAAGGTTACAAGTGTAGCTATCCTAGTCATAGCCCTACTTATAACTACCCATGAACCTCCAAGCAGAGCTGCATGAGAGTTTCTGTACAGGAGCGACTCTCATGCTTAGTAGCTGAGTAGGTAACGTTTGACCTTATGTGTTAATCTTGGTTGGGCTAGGGTACTCAGCCCCTCAGAATGTAATATATAGGAGTTAACGACAAAAAGTGTACTCCTTAAGGCTCATTAATAGTATACTCATAGTTTCGTATACTCCCTGTCGAAGTTATTTATAAATTCTAGACCTCAAACCTTAAACCCCATAAGCTGCCCTACACCTTAAACGCTAAACCCTAAGCGGCCAGGAATGTAACTTTGAGCTTCAACTTTGGGCCAACGCCGAAGTTTCGCTCTCAGAAGGGCGAAGGGTGGTACAGCGGGTTTGGGGCTGGGGCCCTGGGTGGGTGCTTTGAGGGGTCTTTTGGGGAGTTTTTGTTCTCATCCTGTGCTATGAGGCGTTGCCTGTTGAGCGTTTGAGGCAGTTTGGAGTTGAGCTTACTGGAGGTTTCTAGGTTGAGGGTTACACAGAGCTCCTAGGCAAGAGAGATGTCAGTTAAATGTTATACTTTGAAAAAGGGGCCTCAATTCCTTTTTGTGTTTTATAGTATAGTGGGCCCCAAAACCCTATTCCAATCATTAAGGCCCCTATATCAAGGTGCTCACACAGGAGGATATCAGGGTTGCCCAGAGAGCTCACTACCCCTTAATTAAGGAGTGTGGCTTAAATCATAGTATGAAGCCCTACCTATATAATTTAAGCCATATTCCTTAATTAAGGGGTATTGGGCTCTCTGGGTGCAGAGTGGCCCGGATTTAGAAGGTACTTTCTGGGCGTTTTGGGGGTTTTGGGGAGTTTGGGCTGGCGGGAATCCAATGCAGAGCTTCCCAGACCCTCGGGAGGATCTAGAAAGGGTATATTCCTTAATTAAGGGATTTTGGAAGGTCTGGGACTTAGTAGGGTTCCTTAAAGGGCTTCTGGAGGGTTTAGGGATTAGGGATCAATAAGGGAAATAGATCCCCCAATTTTTGGCCCTATACTACTAGGGGTAGGTTATATGAACCCCCATTAAGGGATCTACTTTTTGGATGCTCCCGGGGGTCTGGATTGCGGGTCTACAGCATGCGGTTCTGGCGAAACCGCAGGTTCGGCAACTTGCCGGCTTGGGTGTTAAGGCGTTAAAGTTTAGAAGGGGCGCCCACCCTGTAATAGTGGTATAATAGGAATATAATAGGGCCCTAGTATAACCCTTATAGTCACTATTACAGGGTGGGGGCAGCTTCTAAGTTACAGTTCGATATCAAGGGGGTTGGTGGAGGGTGGCGGGGCCGAGATGTATGGGGTGGCGTCGACCCAGCAACAGTCGACATGGCAGTAGTACCCTTTTGCCCTTGTTGTTTGGGCTCTCGTTATTCAAGCAGAATAGTAGGAAAACGGGTAGCTTTATTTAAACGGGGCTACTCAGGAATCTAGTCTAGTATAGTTGGGCTGCACGCCACCTTCACGTAGAGGCTGGTTGTGTGCAAATTGCTTCCCCAGATCCCGAGTATGAGCTGGGTAACTCGAACCGCTAAACCCTGAACCCTGAATATTAGGGACCCATCAAGGACATAAGCATTTGATAGGGATATCCCGACCTTATTGGGCTTCCTTACCAAGGGCCGAATAATGTAGGGGGTCACAGTTGGGTTGTAAATGTTGTAAGTAAAGCAACCTCCAAGTAGACCCGGCAAGCACCAAGCAACACAACAAACAACTATTACAAAAACCATCAAGAACCTAGTCAAGAACAAACCCTGGACCCTGCAGATGTTTCCATGTTTCTATAACGCCCTACGACGTCCGTTTAAAACACTGCAAGACCTTCAGACCCGCTAGTGACAGTAAAAGCCCTGTTGGGCAAGGGCCGAGCTGCCTTTCAAGTGCCACATGCTCGGCAAAGCTGCTGATCAGGACGTTTAGGGCTTAGGGCTGAGAGCCTAAACCCGAAAACCCTAAAACCCTAAATCCTGAGGTTCATCCGGATAAAACGTTATTTAGGGGATCTTTCTCCATGGTCCAGGGGTTCTCGGGCTTCGGTTTTAGGCTTTCTGCCGGGTTTGGGTAGTTTGGGGTTTCGGCGTTAGGAATTGTTGGGTGCAGAGACTTGGGCTGTCGGAATTGAATCTCAAAGGGGGCTGGGAGAAGGGTTTGGGTTTCAGGCATGAGCCCCGAAATCCAGCTGCCTATCTGGCGGGTTCGTGGTCCTTATAGACCCAATCAAACACCAAAGCACCCGAGATCGCGAGGGTTAAATCTTTGTTCGTAGCGCCAAACCCATGAAATATTACCCAGACTCCGCTCAAACTACTATAGGGGCCTTTTGATTTGAATCGGTATTGGGGTATAGTATACTATTATATATTGGTAATTACTCAGGCCCGTATATTAGCCGTCTGTGGTATGGTCTGACGCTAGGCAAGCTTGAGCTATGATACCTTAGAGCTTTCGTTAAAGCTTGAACCTAGACCCTCCATCTACCCTCCGAAAGACCCTAAATGCCCATCAGTTGCGTATAGATACTGTAACTACGCGATTTGCGGCTAGAAGCAAGTATAGCTGTAATTTCCTAATTTCTTCTTGGAGCCCATTTACCTATCTCCTAACCTAACCCTAAACCCTAAACCTTTAAACCCCTAAACCCCTAACCCCTAAACCCCTAAACCCTTAAACCCCTAAACCCTTAAAACCCTAAACCCCTAAACCCCTAAACCCCTAAACCCTAACCCTTAAACCCTTAAACCCTGAACCCTCATTGACTGCTTGTTGGTTAGCCTCCTGAGGGACCCTCGGCCATGTCTGGCAAGCGAGGCACCTGGGGCAGCGACTGATGGGGCAGTGGCTAAACCCTAAACCCTAGACCCGTAAACCCTAAACCCTAAAACCCGAAGCGAAGCTCGGCAGAGCCCCGAGGACGTGGAAGTACTTCCTGGAAAGCAGCCGAAGGATGGTAAGTTCGAGGCAATGGGAGAGTTTAGGGTTTCCGGGTTTAAGGGTTTAGTATATAAGTAGAGCCGGTCCGCAGGAATTCAGGGTCTATGGTTTAGGCGTTTAAGGGGGTTTTCGGGTTTAATGGTTTAGGGTTTAGGGTTAACGGGTTTAGGGTTCAAGGGTTTAGGGTTTACGGGTTTGAGGGGTTTGGGATTTAGAGAGAGTGTCAGGGGCCGTTCTTGGAGGTGTATGGGTACCTGGACCCAAAAAGCATGTAGAATAATAGCCAATTATGGGTATGGATGGGTATTGGGGGCCATGATTTTACATCCTTTTGGTGGTTTAGGTAGTTAGAAGTACAAGTTTCCGGGTCGCGGGGAGACTTCCCAGCGCTTCCAACACCCCTTAATCAAGCAAAGTACGCCCGCAGTTAGATGCTCTTGAATAGGGCTTGGGGCCCCTTTATAGTACAGTATTGGTAACTGTTCAGGCTCCTATAGCATAGAACTTCGTCAGATACTTCATGGAACAAATATTGCTCCGTTAGGCGGATTTGGTCTCTGGGTTAAGTGGGAGTTTCCGAAAATAGGGAACCCTAATATAGTACCCCAAATAGTAGCATCCTTATTACAAGGACCCTAAAATAAGGTACCCCCTAATTTTCGGAAACTCCCAAGTTGGTCTTGGAATCAAACTGCGCAACCCTGCGCACCGAATAGGACTTAAACCTTCGGCCCTCGACCTAAACCCTACGCAAGAGATTTAGGTTCAGGGCTTATTATGGGTGGCGCAGGATTTAGGGGCTTAGGGTTTAGGGGTTTCGTGCTTAGTGTTGTTTTACCTGTACCAGTCATCAACAATTCCTCCAGGATGATGTGGTTTGGGAGTCTTTGAGAAGTCTTAGGAGAAGGTTAGGGCTGTTGGCATTGGCATCATCTACAAGTGCTCCCCAGCATAACTTTGGCATAGCTATAGTTGCGGGACCTCTTCCTGCGTCCGAAAGCGTTCCTGCAAGTTTTGTCTTTTATAGCCTACCTCACGCTGACGTGAACTGGAGCATGGAGCCCGCTCATCACAAGCCCAATCTACTCGCAGCTGGAAGAGGAAACAGGCAGCAAAACGTGCCCGTATCGGAAAACTATTGCGATGGCTGGGCAGAAAGAGAGGACTCGTGAAGACTGTAAACCCTGCAGAACCCGTGTGGGGGTTTCCGAGAAATAGGGGTACCTTATTTTGGGCTCCTTATAATAAGGAGCCTATTGTTTAAGATGCTATGTTAGGGTTCCCTATGTTCGGAAACTCCCATGTAGAACCCGTTATATTCAAAACACAAAGAGACACCACGGCATTCCAGAAGCACAGAAAACCTTGCAGAAGCCTATGAAACCTCAACAGTTTTCAGGCCCTTCTTCTTCCATAAGGCAATGAGTCCGGATACGAACGTGCCTACTGCACACGTGAATTCAACTCGGAAAAAAGTTTTCAGGCCCATACAACTGAAAAAGCAGATTACCCCACAAAACTCGCGAGAAGCCAATGGAGTCCTTTTCTCAAGCCCCACGAAGCCCTGTCAGCTCCAATGAGAACCCTACGACCCGATAAACCCTAGAACCCTATAAACCTCCGTGCCTTGGAGCTGCAGTAACCCGGTAACCATATGAAATTCGGAACATTAGAGGTCAGGTGCACTAATCCTATAACCCTGTGACACTCCGTACCTTAGAGCTGCAGTTTGCCAGGTGATTTTCCCGGTGCTCCTGCCGGAAGAAGGCTCCTTCGATTGGGCGCCTTGGATGCTTTAGGGTGTTGTCAGATTTCGATATCCGTGGATTATGTGGGATTCGGTAAGGACCATGGATTTTAGGTTGTGGGATTAGGGTTTGGGGTTTCAATCCTTGAATAAGCGTTCTTTCAGATTCAGGGTTCTCAGTAGGCTCCCAAAACATCTCCTTCCCATGCGGCTTAAAACCCGAGCCGGTCTAGCGTTTGAGGTTCTAGGCTCTTGTGACTCTAGAGCAGTAGTATAGTAGGCCTTCATATCCTATCTTCAAGAAGGGATTCTAGAGTAGTAGTATAGTAGGCCTTCATATCCTATCTTCAAGAAGGGATTGTGCAGCGGCTCACTTGTTATAAGAGATGCACGTGGGGTTTCAACGGGTACTGAGCTGTTAATCGGGCCAGCTATAATAACTGCTATAACAAGGTTGATAACTTATGGTTTGTGGTGTCGGGGGTGTTGCCTTTTTGGGGTCTAGGCGGGTAGAACTTGGGGGGTCGGGGGACTTAGTAAGTAGTTAGTAAGTAGACTTATAAATACCCTAGAAGGGACCCTAATTGGGGTTATGGTACTTATAAGTCCCTAAAATAACTACTTACTAAGTCCCCCTAAACCCTAAACCCTTATAGAATCCCTATAGATCCCTTTAAAGGGGCCCTTAAACCCCTTATAGTTACTAAGTCCCCCGACCCTCCAAGAAGGATTCTACAAGGGTTTATATCTCAGGGTCCGTCTCCGGCTCTATGTTCGGCTCTGGGCCTCTGGGCCTGGGGGCTTTTATCCGTAGTAATGTAGGAACCTGATTAAGAAGCCCTGGGCCTTTCTTAGGGGTTCCTTTAAAGGGGTCTATAAGGGCTACTATAAGGGATCTATAAAAGGTACCATAATAAGGTAGGAACCTGATGCAGGAACCTTGGGCCTATAGACCCAAAATAGTAGGATTCCTATACTAATAAAGGCCCCAGGTTTCTTAATCAGGTTCCTACATGAGCTGAGTAGGTAACCTTTAACCATGTGGGGCTTATATAATCCTACCATGATTGAAGAGGTTAGCATGCTTTGGGCTAGGGTTTTGGGCTAGGGTACTGAGCCCCTAAGGTAAAAGCCCGAAAGTTGGAATATGATTATCCTAACCCTTCTATGGTAATTTATAGGGTATCCTACCATGAAACCATATTCCAACTTTCTGGAGTTCCCTGTAAGACTCTCTCCTTGATGAACTTGCGGCCTTCCGGCTATCTGTCATGCGAACACACACGTGTATTTCTCTTCCTTCCTGTCCTGTATGCATGCGAAAAGCCCTAAACCTAAACTCCTAAGGTCTTAAGCCGAAACCAGGATCCAAAGATGCAAAGGCGTTTGGGTAGCTCGGGATAAATCTGTCAGCCTGACTTCTTTAGACCTGGAACTTGAGAGTGATTTGTGGTATCCCCCAAGACTCCAATATGCCTCAATCAAGGAATTTACCATAAATTACCGTAGGAACCCTAATGACAATAATAATAATAATAGTATGATTTAAGGAATATTCCTGGGTAAGGGACGGTAAGGGATGTTGAAGTCTCAGGTATCCTTGGTTTCGGGAGTAAGTTGCCGCTCAGGTGGACCTTTTCCTCCAGCAGCATCCGGACTTCACAGTGCGGCGCCCAAAAATGCATCCCCAAACCATTAATCCCTAAGGCTCTAAGGGCTCAAATATTAAGGATTTTGGGCCCAAAGACCATACTACATAAAGCTTTCGGGCTATTTTGAGCCTTAGGGAACCCTAATTCACTTCCCAAACCCCGAACCCTTAACCTTGACTCACAAACCCCCAAACCCCAAGCCCTACATAAACCCGAACCCTGCACTTAACCCTCCAAAAATGCAGGCTAGCATTCGCGCCTAAAGTCTTGTTAGGATGTCACCCAGCTTGAAGGTGACATGGACCAGCGGATCCAAACCCAGCAATTAGGTGTTGGTTCCATAGCTGTAGGGCCCGCACAGTCCCTATCATAGGTAGTAGATTTGAAACACATACCAAGCCCTGTTCCAATTATTCAGGTTTTCATGTTGCATATACATGGGGCTTTCTGTTTGATATGGTGGCTCATCGGGTGCACGGGATTTACGACGTGGTCGTACCATTCCAGCCTCGGTCTGCGAGGCACCAAACCACGACGGATCACGACTCCCGCTGAATTGACTTCAAGGTGACTGGGCAAGGGCTCGCCCCGGAACATGGCACCCCCAAACTCCTGTTGGACCCATGTGCCCAAGCAAGGCAGAAATACGTGTACTGGGTACAGGGAACTACCGAAAGCATTGGTGCACTCCCAAGCTATGGACGAATGGGCCCTTGGAGTGCTGGCCTACGAGCTCCTGGGCGGAGTCGCCATTTGGTGCAGAAGCTTCTTCCGTGGAAGAGCTTGGGGCTGAGCAACGGAGCCGAGTTCAGCCTCAAAATGTTGAGTTTCGCATGGATTCGGTATGGCGCTGTGTCACGGCATCTTAGGTTTTGATTTTTGATTTGAGGGATGGACAGACGTGAGCGTTCCTGTAGATGAAAAGCTTAGTCCCAAACGACTTGCAGGAGGAGCTGAGGGCTTATGTAGGGCTTTTAGGGCTTTAGAGCTTGTGCTTCTAGAGTGGGGTTTAGGGTTTGGGGTTCAGGGCTCTTCGGCGTGAGCCTTTGGGGGTGCAGGGGCACAGGCTTCTAATCTTCTAATCGATTGCGTAGGAGATGGGATGTCAAACCTCAAGCCACAAGCCAGGCGTTCCTCGCAGCACAGCACGGGCTCCGCTGTCAGACAAGCTCAAGTCTACCCAAGAAGCCTGTGAAGCGATCTCAACCTAATACCCCCACACCACCTACCTGCTTTTGAGGACTTATGCTAAGGAAGTCGAAACAATGCACGCCCCCTCCCCTTCCAACGAAAAGTTAGGTTTTTATAGGGTTCAGGAATCCTGTCGACTTCTGTAACTACCCCACATGACATAGAGATACATGCGCCCCAAAGTACCCAAATAGGGACTACATCAAGGCCAATGTACCTACTATGTGAGTACATGGACCCTTAGGGTTACGGAAGTCAGAGTAACTCCAAAACGGCAGCGCGAATAGGCCCTAAACCCTAAGCCCCAAATCCGAATACCCAAGCCCTCTAAACCCTAAGCTATGAAGCCAGGTCCCCCAAACTGTGAAGACCCGAAATGCCCTTTAATGTACCCCACGTGCCATAAGGACTAATGTACCCCACGTGCCATAAGGACTTTGTTGAAGGTCCCTTTGGGGGTCCTGGAACTCCTAAATCCCTAAACCCTTAAACGGCTTAAACCCTAAACCCTAAACCCCTAAACCCTAAAACCCCCTTTTTAGCCAGGTTCCGCAAGTGTAAAGACCGCTTCCGAAGTCTGCTGCGACCAGGAGCTTAGTGACCGAATGATCCTCGAGAGCCTTGGAGCAAACGGGTGTTGGAAGTTTTGGGGCTTTAACCAGGTTGGATTTTGGGACATTTTTTAGTTTCCTTATTTGGGTTTATAAGGGACCCTATATATAAATCTTTTTCAGGGTGTTTAAAAGCCAACCCAGTTAAGGGGTTTCGGGTTTAGGGGTTTATGATTTCGGTTTTGTGGGTTTAGGGGTTTGGGGTTTCCGTTTTAGGTATTAGGCGTTTGGATCTTTAACACTTTATGGTTTGGGGGTTTAACGTTAGAGTGTTGTTTTATAGGGCTTATATGTCGGCCTGGGAGTCTAATGAAGGCTTGTTCATACATAGGTTTTAGAGTTCAGACTTTGTAGGTTTACGGTTTCACTTTTTTCGGTTGGGCTTCATATGCTTTGTTGGAGTTCAGGGTTTTGGACTAGGGTTTGGGCCAAAACAGGTTGGGGGCTCTGAAATTTCAGCATGCAGGTTTTAGCAGGCTTGACCGGGCATCTGTCACAGGGTGTAGGGTTCAGCGAAGTTGTGCAAAGTATAGATCATCTTGCGGATTGGGGCGACTGCTTAAACCCGAACCCTATATGGCCCAAAGGACCCAGTAATATCCCGAAGCACGACAAAGCCCTGAAAACGATTACAGTTGGAACCGTGTGTACTATAGAGGCCTGAATCATTATCGATACTATTTTGGGGGCTCCTTATTATAAGTATAGTATAATGGGCCCCAAAACCCATTCTAATGATTCAGGCCCCTGCCTATCTTAGTGTGGCGGGTTTCCAGCCGGTTCAGTCCATGAGGCGGCTCTGACCATGGCAACAGCTCGCTGCACTTCGCGATGCCGGCTGCGCTGGGGGTTTAGGGTTTAAGGGGTTCATGGTTTAGGGGTTTTTAGGGTTTAGGGGTTTTAGGGCTTAAGGGGTTCATGGTTTAGGGGTTTAGGGTTTTAAGGTTTAGGGTTTAGGGGCTTTTAGGGTTTAGGGTTTCATCGCAGTCTTCGAGGAGCCCATTCAGCCAAAGGTCACCCCCAAAGCTCCACAACCAAGGAAGATTGGGAGTCAGAGCCGTTGGGAGCGGCTGCGCCACAAGGGGATATTGGGGAAGGCCTTACCTTCCAAGCATACCAAAGGATTCCTTCAACTGAAACGATAACGGCCATTCCGTCGAGCCAACCCAGACCTTCCAAAATCCCTTAATTAAGGAATATACCTTAAATTATAATAGAGTCCCTAATATGATTTAAGGTATATTCCTTAATTAAGGGATTTTGGAGGGTCTGGGAACCCTGATGCCTCGGGTGGGAGCCTTGATGGGTGCTGTCAAGCGATGCATTCGCGAGCTGGCACGGATTGTTCCTTTCAGGGCATACACTAGATAAGAACGCACAAAAGCCGCAAAGTACGCGTCCGCAGGGTGAGCCTTAGAGCCTGTGGGTGGTACTGGTTTCGAAACCCTAAGCCTTCAATCCCAAAGCACTGAATACCGCAACCATGCTAGAAGCCAAGTTGGTGCGAGAAGAGCGGCATCCAGCGGAACCGTGGCTACCGGTGGAGGCCGGATCTAATTATAGAGGATGGGGGACCGATCGGAGGACTTCGTGAACCACATGTGATGTATGTGTCCCTTCTGTACATACATACGCCTTGTACAAATACATACTTATACTTATGCCGACAACGTCATATCAAATAAAATAAAATAGTTACACTGCTAACACTTTAAATATACATATATACATACACATAGCCGTACATCCATCTCTCTCTCTCTCTCTCTCTCTCTCTCTCTCTCTCTCTCTCTCTTCAGAGGATTTTTTGTGGAGGGCGCAGCTCGAGCTTTGAATCTAGGTTTACCTGCGGTTATCAGGTGTAGGGACACCCGACATCTTCAGGGACACCTGACATCTTGATTTTCCAATTTTTCCTTTGAAGGTCAGACAAACAGACCCGAAAGCCCAAGCCAACACCTTGTTAAACTTGGATTACCTTTTGATTTTGGAACCTTGAACCCTACACCCTAAGCCCAGAAGGTAGGTCCATCACTCCTTGCATTACCCTAAAGCTCAAAATGGCACGACAGCCTTATATAATGTGGTCTTTGGGCCCAAAAGCCTTAAAGTGTGAGACCTTAGAGTCTCAGGGTTAAGGACACCTACTTGATGGACAAAAACCTGCATTACTCATTATAAGAAATATACCATAGTTCCTGTAGTTTAGAGTCCTTAGGGTCATGCAGGATTTTGTCCATCAACAGTAGTGTACTTGGCCATCAGATAGGCAAATCGACTTCTCGGGCTCAAGACACTCTGCTCCAACGCCAAAACCATGCAAAGGAATAGCATATTTTATATGTATAATAGAAATATATATATATATATATACATATATATATATATAATATGCATATACATATTATAGTGTATTGACTATTGGCCCTATAAAGTAGAATGGAGTTTGTAGTGATTGCGCAGGCTTCTGTAGTAGCTCCTGACTGCAGAATTCTCTGTAAGCAAATAATACTGAAAATGTCATGTACCTCTGTGAACCTTGAGCCGTAGGCTTTAAAACTCCAACATCTGCACCCGAAGCCAAGCTCCAACTCATACAGGACATCCAATGATCGTCCGGACATGCAGATGAATGTGCCCGAGCTAGACAACCTGAGCATCCGCAGAGCGCTAAGGACGCCCATAGGGTTTAGGGATCTGTTAAAACGAGGCTTGAAGGTTTGGAGTACTCAGGGTTTATGAGTCTCTGGGTCTGTGGTCTAGGCCCTGCCTCAACCCTTCAACCCGAAGCCTTAATCCCAAACCGTTGAGCGCTTGTACCCCATACCTGAACCTCTGCACGCTAAGCCCTTTAAATCTGTAAATCCCGTGCAAGCTCGATAGACCCCTCTTGGTGAATCCGGCCTGCTTCCATGCAGGTTGGTAGTCCGCCTTAGTGAGGGTCGGAATTCATCAGCTGTTTTGTGCTTTTGGGGTTTAAGGTTTGGGGGTGTTGAATTTTCGGACTTTAGGGTTCAGGGCTTTGGGGTGGTTAATCGTTTTTCCCTGGGCCAACCAAGAATTATGGTAGAGGTTTTGTCTATTGAGCTGCGAGAGAGATGGCACCCCCCACTATGACATCTTAAATTACGTGCGCGCTCAAGTTTCCTGAACCAAATAAACCATTACAAGCAATGTACAAGTATATACATTCGAAACTAGCGGCTTCTCAACCTGAATTTCGGTTCGGGCTAGGGCCAGTCAACCCAAGAACCCGAAACCCCGAATCCTCATTCCCTAACCTTAAACGCTTGCAGCTGAAATTAAAAGTAGACACACAATGCTCCCTGACCAAATTTTCTTCGACCTCAATGCCTTTCACCTGCAATCTGCCAAGACCCTGGATGGTTGTATTTGTTCTAGGTTACAGCATTGGTTTATCCAGTAGACAACTTATTCTAAAAACATGCTGCGACCGGGTATGTTAGATGGCACAACCTTGCTTTCATCAGGTAACTTCTGTTCGAAAGCTTCTTGACTCATCACTCATGCCACCTGCAAAGTTGAGGGGCTTCCAGTTCAACATGAGGACACAGTGCCGGGACGGCTTCTTCGGCAAAAGACTCTACATTCTCCACATGCTAGTGTAGCCAAGCAGGCGACCGAAAGAACAAACTTGACACCCGCCACCAGGCGTTACCAGACTTTCCCCGAAGCGTCAAGCACCGAAAGCCAAACCCGACATGGTCAAACAGCATTGCCGTAGAACGAGTAAACACAGTTTAGGAACATGGGTGTCGTACCAGATCTGCGAACGACATGTCTTGGATTTGTGTTTGCTTTACGACATGCTATGTGGCTTGGATCCTCAACCCTTAAAACGGTATGCTGTGCGCAGGAGCATTGCGCCTGCGCAAAGAAGGCCCGAACGGTAGAATGCTGCTGATCATCCAACATGACTTACAGCTTCAGGCGCTTAGTCATGTTGTACTGGTTTTCTAGAACCGGGCTATAGGTTTGCACGAGGCCTACGTTTGCACGAGGCCTACGGTTCAACTAGCGACGGCAAACTACTGTCTGATGGGCTTTTCTTCAAAGTCCGGTCGGTTCTCCCTGCGGGTTTTCGATGCAACGGCGTCAACAGCCATCATGTGTCAATGCAGTTCCTACCTAACCTTCCTACCTGACCAAGTTGTCCAAGGATCGTACCAGGATTCCAAAGCAAAAAGCATCCTCCCAATGAAACTACTCTCCTACTGACGATGATTGATCCGGTGGCGAAGTTGTCTCGCTAAACCCAGTATTCTAACATCAACCTGCGGTCAAGCCCTCCTTGTTTTTTTTCAGAAGAACCCTTAAGTCCCTTAAGTTAATCTTATTTAACCCCGACCCTTAACCGGCAGATGAGAATCAGCAAGTTTTAGTTTAGTGTGTGCTTTGTTCCTGGATTCCTGCTTTGGTGAGTGGTTTCTTTCATTGGGGTCTCCGAGTAGTTCGAGATTCAGTGCGAACCCCGTTAAAATTATCCGCAACGATGCGGTCTCGTTGGAACTCTAAAATACGAAAGGTTGCAACGCAAGCGCTGAACTCCAAAAGTCCCTTAAAAATCTGTCGCCGCGAGTAGTACCCTCACATCCCAAACCTAAGACCCCCAAACCCTCCAGCTCCTTCTAGAATCCCTCTTAAGAAGTCTCACAACACCTTTCCAACCCTCGGGAGTTTGGCCCCAAAGGTATAGGAATCCCCACGATATTTCGAACCCTAAACTCTGAGGTTTAGGGTTTAGGGTGTTGTGTTTAGGGATTCCGAAACCCTAAACTCTAAGCCCTCGGCCCTAAACCCTCGAACCCTACACTAGAAGTCAAAAAGTTGGAGACCCAATAGCTTCGATCCTTAATACTAATAAAGACGTAATCCCAGCACTATTTGGCTTTAATCCGGTGTCCCCCCTCATGGGCTTTGCTCTAAACCCGGGACAAAAAAGCGGACCTTAAAGCAGCCGAAAGGAAATACCATTTGAGTACAGGGACCCTTAGGGTTGAACTGAAAGACTCCAAACCCGAAACCTTGGATAACAAAAACGCCCTGGGCCTCAGCGTAGCCGACAGAACTCTAAACCCTGAGCCTTGAAGTCGTAAACCCTAAACCCGGGACAATAAAAAGGTACCTTAACGCATCCGACAGGAATTTCTTGGTCGTCGAGCTGAAGTCGAACTTGCTGGCAGCGGAGCGCAAGGAGTTGGTCCTTCGGTCTGGGGTGTTGGGTTGAGTCGTATGAAGTACGTACTGTAGTAGCTGGGTAGGTAACCTTTAGCCTTTGGGGGTTTGTATAATCCTACCATGATTCCGTCGGTCTGGGGGAGTCGGGTTGCCGAGTAGGTAACCTTTAACCTTTTTTTTGGGTAGTATAGAGCCTGTATAAACCCTATATAACCAAAAAGGTTAACCTGTAGTTCCCGATGATACCCGACAAGTAGGGTTGAGTCGTTTTAGCTCATACCCTACCCGTCTGCTAGGATAGCTAGCTTTATGGTTAGGATCTGTTGCATAGAAAAAGTAGATGCCCCAGAAAAGGGGTAGGGTATGAGCCTACAGGTATGCTCAAAAATAGTGTTATATAGGTATAGGTTAAGGCATAGATGTACGAAGAGATAAAGGTATAGGTAACATTGGATGACACATGCAGTAGTTCATTTGAGTACACATGTATGTACATGCAATATGACATATGTCACGTTTGTGTCCGAAGCCCTTGACAAACCCAGGCATGAAGGGGTTTAGTCTTTAGCCCTTGAACATCCCGATCATGCAGGAGCTCATATCGCGCTTTGCGGCCCCTCACTTCAAGCGGCTGGCGCAGGCAAGCGACGGTCGTGGTGACAGTGAGTCAGAACATGTGCCGAAATAGGCTTCTGTTAAGGGATCCTCTAAGGGTTCCCATAAGGATTCCTATAAAGGTTCTATAATTTATACTTACTTAGCCAATGGGAGAACTTTAAACTTTTTGGCCTTATATATCTAATCTACCTCAGAAAGTTTGAACTTTTTTTGGCCCTGGTTAAAGAAGAACAGAGTATAGGGTTTTAGGATTTAAGATCCATGCTATAAGTACTTTGGCACCAATGTACCTTTTAAAGGGACTACTTTAAGGCCACTGTATATACGTACATGGACGCTTAGGGGAACCTTTCCTGAATCTTACTCTGTATGGGGTTCAGAGTGTAGGGTTTACCCCCAGACCTTCCAAAATCCCTTAATTAAGGAATATACCTTAAATTATAATAGAGTCCCTAATATGATTTAAGGTATATTCCTTAATTAAGGGATTTTGGAGGGTCTGGGCCCTAAACCCCCTACCCTGAACCCTAAACCGGCCTTGAACTCCCTCTCTCTCGCATTCGGTAGTCCGGTGCGACCTTAGCCTTAAGCACTAAATCCGGTTTAGGGTTTAGGGAATCCTTAGCCTTAGGCTACAGGGTACACAGTGCAGGCTTATGACTTCTCATCGACCCAGGAGATTTTGTGCCGACAAGACTTTACTCGGAGTTTCATGGGTGGTACGGCGGATGGGTAAAATCCTGCATTACCTTAAGTATATAGGGCCATGCAGGATTTTGTCTATCAACAGTAGAAGTGTTGTAGTAACTATAAGTAGAACCCATACATTGCGGGGCTTATAACCCTACTGAGATGCAACATTGGCATCTGCATCATTGCTTCTCCCTCATTTGCTTGCTGCACTCCGGCAGTCTCGATGTTTGCAGCAATGGCGGCTGCAGCTGCTCCTTTGCCAGCTACTATAGGGGCCTTAATCTTTGCAATAAGACTGGGTGGTACATTATACTATAATTATCATAAGGAACCGCCAAAACCCTTTTCTAGTTATTATTTAAGGCCCCTATATGACAGCGACAGCTGCGCTTCCACCAGGTGTGACAGGGCTGCCGGCGACAGCTTTTCCGTCCAGCATGTTCAGGACACCTCCGGCCACGCTTCCGCGCCAGCCTCCGGCCAGTGCCAAGGGTAGGACCAAAGCCAAGGCAGAGCCTGAACGCCGGCACCGAAAGACCACTTCAGACCAGATTCGCGATTCACACCAAGTACAACAGCTTGAAATTGTTGCCACGAGATGACAAAGAGAAGATGCTCGAGATGATGGACCCGGTTCAGGTCAATGTCTCCCAACACGAGTTGCTGATGGAGGATGGCGTTGAGCCTCTCGGTTGGAGGTTTAGGGGTGTATGGTTTAGGGTACCAATACTATCCCAACTGCGCATGTAAGTGGCATGGAGTCGGTGTTCTGGCGTGGTTCTTTCAATGCGGAAGCCGGCCTATAGGGTTTAAGGTTGAGGCGTTGAAGGTTTTTCGTGGTCACGTGGCGAAACCTGATATGTCCGAGTAATCGGAAATAGGATTCCGTGTATCTTTCCTACGGACTTAGACAATCATGCACCGCGATACCTCCTTTTTATCAAATACTCGGGCTGCTATATCAGCTGACGACATCGGGCTGGTACTTGGAAGTTCTTCAAGTTTTCTTAGATGCTCCCCGACAGTTGGCTTGGAGGCTCCCCAAGCGACAAACCCACGGGTTCTTGTTTCAAGGCCGGATCATTGAATTGTGGTTCGTGGACTCCTATATTCATAGGGATCCTTAGGGGTGTAGGGGACTATATTTCCTTAAATAGGCCTTATTAGTCCTTATTATGGGCCTTAAGGCCCCCTACCCCCCCTCCCCCTACACCCCTAAGGATCCCTATGATATATAAACTGCAAATAAATCAAGGAATGTTCGGGATTCGTATCGAGTAAAATTTCTATGTAATCATTCAGGCCTCTTCGGAGATCAGACGCGTATACCGTGCTAAATGGCAGGCGTAAAGTACATGTGAAGCACCACAGCCTAGATCTATAGAGCCGCAAGACCTAGACCTCCAAGCCCTGAAACCTAAAAGCTCCAAACCCTGGCCGTAATGTCTGAGGTTGAAAAGCCCCCAACCACACGTCGAACTGCAGCCACCAGTCTCCGATTCAGGATTTGGGTTTTTCCGGCGAGCAATATTATTCCCAAGGTCGCTTCTTCTAAATACTATAAGATCCTAACCGACTCAATATCATTCCCTAGGGTCGCTTGTTTCCAACTAGTCTAAGATGCTAACCAGCTCCCCAAGTTTTCCTCCACAGGTGATGGTCGGCGATCCGACAGCGGACTTCAAGAAGCGCACGCAGGACAAAGGGTTTGGGAATTCAATGAATCCTACAAGTACCGAAATACCAGATAAGGTTCCGCAACAGGAGTTATGAACATGCTTTGTGTGGTTAGTACCCCTCGCCATGTAGGTGCGTACTTAGAACTTAGGTTTCCCGGGTAGACACCAACAGAGAGGCAACCCATGTACTACCATTACTATGGAATTAGCTTCCAAGCGGTACTCCTTACAGTGGTTCTAGGGACCGAAGTTTGTGTCCTTTTCAAATCAAGCATTTCCGTTCCGTAAGCCCTAACGCCTTGAACCGTGAGCCTTGCACCCGTATCACTACAGGCCTCATGTAAAACCGTCTGCAAAGATTCTGACAATGTTAATTCCTACGTAGACCCTAGCAAACCTACATGTCTCAGGCTCCTGTGTTATATGACTTTCTTATCTAAGTCCCAAACAACGTAGGTTCTCTAGGACTCAAAATAAATTTGGGAAATGCAGATTAAAATTCTTAGGCAGCGTTCAAAAGCTTGCAAAGAACTTGAAGATGCGACCTAAAACGAAGGGTGCCCGAAAAGCCCATTACAGCCATCCGCAACGAGGAGCTCCTCTTGAAGCAAAAACAGGAGAAGGCCTTATCTGGGTTGTCCTTTGGGATCTTTTTCAATTTTCCCTACTATTGTGTAGAGAACCATAATAGCACATGATTTTCAATGGGCTTAAAGGTTAACGCAGTTATGCTCCCTGCTTTGGAAGGGTCTTGGCTGAGGGGGTGCACTTTTAGGGGGAGGGGTGTTATTTCCCACTCTTCGTAGGGTCCTCATTGTCAGGACAATATGGACTGTGTAGATACCCTGCAAAAGGGTAGGCATGGGTAGGCCATAGCAGTTGCAAGGAGCGGCAAGTTCCCGCAGACGCTGTGACGCCATATCCTGGACCCCTGAATTCGAGGGGTATCCCGCCCCTTATCATGACGAAGGTAGCAAACTACCACTACCACGACGACCGACGACGAGCGAGTCCACGACCAAGACAACGACGACGACTACTACCACCCCTGCTGCTAGTTCGACTTGCTTGCACTTCGGTCTTGATCCAAGTCAGGTTGAAGTGTTAAAGGGGCAAAGGAGGGACCCTTAATGGGGACCCCTACCCTATAATGGGCTACATAATGGGTACATAATAAATTAAGGGTATATGCCTAGGGGTCCTTATTAAGGGTCCTTCCTTTTACCCTTGGAAAGTTGTGTTCGAGGGTTCAGGTCGGTCTACAGATGAAACACCTTGTGTTTCGTGGCCTTGTCGGACTCGTGTCGGGACCAGTGCGCAGCCTTGTCCTTTTTCATGGTCCCCCAAAAGAATAAACAGACCGGCTAGTAGACCTTCTTAAATAATTCCTACTAAGGGATATAGGTATAGGGCTCTGTCTGTTATTTCTAAAAGGACAAGGGTGCCAGTGCGTCCCCTTCACAACCCGTATCCTTGACTCCCCAGTCTTACCTGCAACACCAAACCCAGCAAAATAGTAGATTATGACCCATTTGAAGATGGGATCCCCAAAAAAGCCCTACACGCCCTGAGCCGCAGGTGAATGCCGAGTTCGAGCAGCAGCAGGTTCGCATTGACAGTGGAATGGTTGAGCCTGCTGATATCACACTACTAAGAGTTTGGGGTCCCTAAACTTTTCTTTTCCTCTAGTACGTATCCAAAGATGAAGAAAGTAAGGATTCCACTATTTAGCGTAGTAGTTGAGCGGATACACTTTACACTTGTGGGGTAAATGATCCCCACTATTGAAACTGAAAGTGTGCACTTTTTGAGGCTTATGAACTCAGCAGCTAAGTCAGTATCTCCTAGTCTGTGAAACTCCTGTTTGTTTCTTACACCCGGAGGCCTAAAGCAACCCAAGCTGTGCTCGCCGTCAGCCTGCATTCCCAAACCTACTTGCAGGTTCATGGGTAGTTATACGTGGGTTGTACGTCCCCTAATATGGGTTATATCTATAGTTATCCTACTTATAGCCCTACTTCTATCTACTCTCCAAGTATACCTGGCTGACCAGTAAGGGTTTGGTGCCTAGTATACCCTGAGGGTCCATGTACTCATAGAGTATATACATTGGCCTTAATGTAGTCCCTATTTGGGTACTTTGGGGCCCATGTATCTCTATATGGGTACATGGACCCTTAGGGACAGTGTCGGGTTCCGGGTTTGGTGGGCTTTGGTTTGGGGGGTCTGAAGGTTGCCGGATTTGGAGCGAATTGCTACCATGTTTCAGGCTCAAGGCTTACGGTTCCCCAAGATTATACAGTGGAGTATAGCCCACCCCTCGTCCAGCTATTTTATATGTGTCCCCAGCATTCGAGTTTAAGAGTGCTTGCCTGACAGAGTTGAGGGTAAAAGCCTATGCTGGAAAATTCCCGTTTACGTTCACCCAAAGGGTCCTAGGTACTGTTATGGGGAATACCTCCCCAAATCATAATAGTAGTTCCTAATATAGAAACCCTACATTCTACCATATAGGCACTTTGGACCCTTTGGGTCAGGGTTTTGGTAACAAGTCCTTGTCACCCTATACTTGGGAGGATGGGCCGACTTAGCATGCAAGCTTTTTGGTGCCCTGATTAGGATATATATATATATATATATATATATATATACCTATAGTTACACTTACCTTACATCTGGGCCTACTTGGGTAATTAGTCGTAAGTTCCCTAATATGGCTTACAGCTCTAGTTATCCTACTGATCATCCTACTTATAACTACCCATGAACCCTAAACCCGATACCCTTATCGAATCCTTATAACTCCCCTTAAACGAACCCTTATAACTACCCATGAACCTCCACGTGTATACCGAGACCTTCCGAAATCCCACAATTAAGGAATATACCTTAAACAAACCATATTAGGGACCCTGATTGAATTTTAAGGTATATCTTAATTACTGTAAGGAATATACCTTAATTTTGGAAAGCCTGGGTAGGGTTTGGGACTTCACGACTTCTGTTCAAGGCTTTGGCCTTTGGGTTTAGCATTTAGGTGTTAAGGATCTAGGGAGACGGCATCACGTCACTGCTGTCCAGGCATTTGTGCAACACATATGTATATATATATATGTTTGTAACAGAGGGAGAGAGAGAGATAGAGAGAGACTCACATACATACTACGAGTGGGTGCATGCATACATGCATGCCTGTACTTGTATGTACACATTCATGCTTGCATGTATGCCTGTATGCATATATGCAACTTTTATGCATATGCATGCGTATTTCTAGCCCTACTAGCCCTTTTAGACCTCTTGCTTTCCTACGTACTTATCTTCATCACGGCCACAAGCCCGACATCCAAAGCCTTCAGATCATAAGCCGCCCAGAAAACCCCCACAGAGCCCAATACCCCTTAATTAACGAATGTAGCTTAAGTCATCATATGAAGCCCAATATAATTTAAGCCCTATTCCTTAGTTAAGGGGTATGGGGCTCTCTGGGCCCCTGACGAGGCGGAGGAAATCCGAAAACATCTTGCCGACAAGCGAGAGAAGGCGGGTTCAGGGTTCCCGGGCTGGGAGCAGCTTTTTGGTGAACAAGGTGGCTTTCTTAATGGGGACCCTACCCTATAATGGGCTATATAATGGATATATAATAGCTATATTTTCAGGGTATATATCTATAGGGGTCCTGATTAAGGGTCCCTTTAGGTGCAGCCTTGTCCGTTTTCATGGTCCCCCCAAAAGAATAAACAGACCGGCTAGGAGACCTTCTTAAATATTCCTACTAAGGGATATAGGTATAGGGCTCTGTCTATTATTTCTAAACGGACAAGGGTTGGTTGGGAGCGGGAGAGGGGGAGGTGTTGGGTTGTGGGTTTAAAACTCAGGGTTTAGGGCTAAACATTGTGGGGGTGAGCAGGGTTGTAAGGGCATGGGAATATCGAGAATATCGGAAAATCAACCGAAGGGTATTTGTAAAGAGTATATATACTTCTGGGGCCCAAATATCTCGTAAGTAGCTCTTATATCGGTACGTGGACATTTCGGTGAAAAAGGATGGTAGCGACACGCGACACGTGAAAGGGACCCCGATCTTTCAGGAACTCGCCCAAGGCCATAAGTCCTAGACACCACAGAACGCCCGATCGCAAAAAAACGCACTAACTGCTGCAGGGACTGGTTCGAAGGTTCGGTCCGGTGGCGAAACCCTAAAACTCTGCACTTTTGGACTTTTGGGGTTTTACGGTTAACGGCTTTCGGAGTAAATCCTGGACTGGAGATTAAATAAAGCTTTCAGGGTCCAGGGTTTAGGACCGACCAGGGTTTGGGGTTTAGGATTTGTTTTATTGTAATTTAAGGGTTAGGGTGTTTAGGGTTTACGGTGTTTTTTAGTGTTCCTTTGAGATTTAAGGGTTAGGGTGTTTAAGGTTTGCGGTGTTTTTTAGTGTTCCTTTGAGATTTAAGGGTTAGGGTGTTTAGGGTTTACGGTGTTTTTTAGTGTTCCTTTGAGGGTTTAGGGCCCGTTTAGGGTTTACGGTTCCTTTTCGGGTTCCTTTAAGGGCTTAGCGCTTACTGTTGGCGAAGAGGAACCCGAATGGGGAACATGGAACTCAAAACGAAAAAGTCCGAAACCCTTCCAAATCCCTAAGCCCGAAACCCCAAAACCACAAAACCACAAGCCCTAATCCTCGGACAGTAAACCCCAAACTCAAACCCTTTGAGAGAACCTTAAAAAAGCGACTAAGTGGCGAGAAACTTAGCCAAGTTGCAAGACAGGAACTCCAGCGGGCGGCAAAGAAGGCGTGAGGGCGTGCTGAGCCGCGGTTCAGGGTTTCGGGTTACGGTTTGAGGGTTTCGGGTTTTTTTGAGTTTAGGGTGCTTATCGTAGAGGGTCCTTTAAGAGATTCCTTTTAGGATGTGTAACGGGTTTAGGGATCGAAGGTGTTTTTTCGTTTGAGGCTGTTAGGTTGAAGGCTTCAGTGTTTTGGGGTTTGGAGATCACCAGGCTTCGATCGAATTGCCTAGACCCCAAACCCTAAACCCCGAAACCCTAAACCCCTAAACCCTTAACCCTAAACCCTTAACCCTAGACCCTAAACCCTTAACCCTAAACCCTTAACCCTAGACTACCCTAAACCCTAAACCCCAAATCCTTATATAACCGTAAACCCTTAACCCTAAACCCTAAACCGGTCATGGGACGAGTGACCACAGCGAGGGCTGAGGTGTACCTAGAGGCGCATACCCTACCCCTTCTGTAGAACTTTAGGATACCTGGCTTTATGGTTAGGATCTGTGTATAGACAAGTAGATACCCTAAAAAGGGGTAGGGTATGAGCCGACAGGTAGGCTTTGAGATTGAGTCTATAGGACTGCAGGACAGGTTTTGGAGTGGCTCACGCCTTTAAAACAGAGCCCAAAACCCTGCAAGAAATGCTGGAATTCGGGGTGATCCTCTTGTAGGTTTTCTGTTTATCCAGAGAGCCCAATACCCCTTAATTAAAGAATATAGCTTAAATCATAATACTAAGCCCTATATAATTTACGCCATATTCCGTAATTAAGGGGTACTGGGCTCTTTATCTACATGCTTGGATATGGGTTTCGGGGCTTTGGCGGGGCGGGTAATTTCAATTTCACAGGAAGCCCATTCAGACCCTATGTGGGAGTTTCCGAAAATAGGGGACCCGAATATAGTACCCTAAATAGTAGGATCCTTATTATAAGGACCCCCAAATACAGTACCCCTAATTTTCGGAAGCTCCCATGTATCAGAAGCTGTAAGCAATCGGTTCGGAGTGTAGGCTTTCCAGAGACGCCAAAATTCCGGGAATCTTCCAGAAATTGCGCGGGCTTCCGGGATACGCATTGCAGTGTCAGGCACCAGGTTAAAACCAACTCAACAGACTAAATAAGCCTGAAAACACACCAACATATCCCACTTGTTCCATTTAAGACCACCATAAACCTTCTCAAACCGTACATGCTGGGAGTTTCCGAATATAGGGGACCTCAATATAGTACCGCCTGAATGGTGGGAAGCAAGGCACGGTTCAGCTCACTTTGGGAGCGGGCTCTCTGGCCAGGCGCTGAAAGAGGCGGCAGAGGCAGCGCGCCAGGCAGGGGTGTCAGAAAACTTAGGGCATGGCCTTTACCTCTAGGGTTGTGTGCAGGGCTCTGTGGCTTTCTGTGGCGTTGCGGTTTGAGGCTTACCCCTTAGAGCAATCATGTAGAACTTCACCCCGAGTTCCAAAAATACTGGGCACCAGATTTTGGCTTGGGTTTTCAAATTCATGTTGGTATTTCTGCAGCATCTGCCTGCTGACTTTCCAGTTTTGAAACACTCGTCATAGGTCACCATCGCCTCTAAGATCGAAATCGCGAGATTCCCCAGTCTTTCAATGTCAACTTCCGAGATCATGGCATACTATAGGTTCGTGAATATTTACCTACACTAGTAACCCTATTCTAATTATTAAGGCCCCCATATTACATCCCAGATCCCCGGGAGGATCCAAAAAGTAGATCCCTTGATGGGGGGTTCCTATAAAGTACCCTTAGTAGAAAAGGGCCCCAAATTAGAGGATCTACTTTCTAGATCCCCCCCAAACCCTAAACCCTAAACCTCACTGTGACTTGCTGCAGACGAGCCTTCTTGTGCGCCCGCATATGCACATGAACTTTTCAACTCCAGGGGAGCTTTCCCATTTCTTATGAGGCAAGCAACAACTATTGGAGTATTGCTTCAAAAAGAAAGCGCCCGTACATTCGGCTTCCTTCATGTATAATGGACAGGACATGAAAAGAGCTCTGTGTATTTCGTAACTCATAAATCAAATGCTGGAGCGATTAGGCCGCATCAGAATCGGACGCTTTACGAGCAGCGGGAAAGAAATGGCCCACGCACGCAGACGTCTTCGTAAGAGAGACAATAGTATTTTTGTTATTAGAGGAATGTTGATAAATAACACACAATAAAATGCAAAGAACACGAGGTTTTTTAGTATTGCATGAACAAAACTAGCACGCCCTCCAGCATTTCAGCTTCTCCAACACATAAACTACCATAAATCCGCGGCCGAGATTCGGCGCCAGATTTTTAAACATATCAAACCCGCGTCTTGCAGCAGCACGGTTTGCATGCACATGAGGTAAAGCACGATTGTATCGGTATGTACGGTGTTTTCTGTATATATGAGTTGTCGAGCAATGTAGAGAAACAACCTGTGGAATTGTGTGGAAGAGGCGGGTGTGGATCTGATCTTGGGGGGGGGGGGGGTGACCATATGTATATATATATATAATATATATATATATGCTGTATATATACATATAGTGTGTACATACATACATATATATATATATATACATATATATATATATATATATATATTATACATATATTATATATGTACATATGTATATGTCTGTGTATATATGTATGTACACTTATTAATATGCCCGTCAAGAAGCACAGGAGGCCAGAACCAGGTTGCGAAGTCTTAAGCCACAAGCCAAGCCAGACCGCAAAAGCCTAAGAGGGTTTAGGGGTTTAGGGTAAGGCCAAACATCTACGAGGGTTGAGGGGTTTGGGTTTGGGGCCTAGGGCAAAGCCAGCAAGCCTGAGATTGTCTAGGGGTTTAGGGTTCAGGGCAAGGCCAAAAGCCTAAGAGGGTTTAGGGCTTCAGAGTTCAGGGTAAGGCCTACAGCCCAACCTGTACTGTCGTATAGACTTTGAAAAATCCAATTCCCGAGGCAAGTAAGATTGCGAGCTGCTGGAAGGATATCGAATTAGAATACATGTCGAACACGCAGCGCTACCCTTAATTGCCGAAGTACGTCAGTCTTATTTACAAAACTATATTGTCCTACACCTAAGTACCATCAAGTACCTAATTGCCAGGCCCTTCCGACCCTTAGGGTACCGCGCCGTCGCCAGACCCCAAAAGAATAAGCAGACCGGCTAGTAGACCTTCTCAAATAATTCCTACTAAGGGATATAGGTATAGGGCTCTGTCTATTGTTTCTAAAAGGACAAGGGTGGCCGTCGCCACGTCGAACCGTCAGAGTAAGAAGACTGCAGCGGCTTATGTGAATCCGAACGCAGGCTGAAGTGGAGCGCCGCGCAGCAGCCGGCGAGGTACATGGGAACACTGCAAGAATCAAACGTAATTGTGTTCCTAGGGCTCCTTGTTCTATACTGTAAAAATTTGCTCCGCGAATTCTAGTCTAGTTTGGACGCCCCTATATACTAAATCGCTGCAGGTTGTGATAAGTCAAAATCGGTGTGTTCCGAGATATCGGCGAGCAGTTGTGCATGGATGTGCCAGTGACTGCGCCTTCTCGTTGAGGATGTTTTAAAACAAATCCCTCCCCCTGAGAGGAATTACAGTCGCCATGGAATCATGATGTCACGATGGACCTTAAACACTTAAACAAAAGAGTGCTTATCATTTGCAGCGTGGAGGTTGGTTTTAGTTAAGGCTGCGAACTTCGAACTTAACGGGTTTAGAGGGGAGGAGGTGAGGGTTTAGGGTTTATAGGGGTCTCGAGGTTTAAGGCTTAGCAGGGGGTGAGGATTGAGGGGTTTGGGGTTTTGTTTGCCTTTAGAATATTATGGAACATCCTGACAACAGGATTTCGGGGTGGATCAAACGAGCCGACCTTCGACAACAAAGTTTGGAGCTTGACAGCATCAACCCTATCTTGGGTATATGGGGGTTTCCGAAAATTAGGGGTACCTCATTTAGGGGTCCCTATAATAAGGATCCTAGTATTTGGGGTACTATATTAGGGTCCCCTATTTTCGGAAACTCCCAGATGTGTCTCAAAGGATCCATGTCATAGTACGTACGGTATGGAGGCCAACTATCTGTTACCCTAAGGGTCCATGAATCCAACTAGTATATGCTCTGGCCTTAAAGTAGTCCCTATATAAGGTGCTTTGGGGCCAAAGTATATCTATTTTGGTACATGCACCCTTAGGGTTAAGCAGCTAGTGTGTATTGGTACTTGGACCGTTCGCGTGTGCAGGCTCAACCCGGCTTGAGTTTAATTGTAGGAACCTGATTAAGAAACCCTGGGCCTATAACCCCTTAAATAGTAGGGTTCAAATGAGGAACCCTAAAAAAGGCCCAAGGTTTCTTAATCAGTTTCCTACATTAGGGTCTCAGCGCGGTTGTTCTTCGAGCTTCCGCATGGTCTAAGTTGCTGAGACCTGAAAGCCTCCGCTGGAAACAGACGGCTCATGAGGAATCTGAACCCTAAGCCCTAAACCCTTAAACCCGAAGCCCTAAATCATTAAGTATCTGAACCCTAAGATCCGAAATCCGGCTAGGCCCTGAATTTTGCAGTCCAAAGCCTTGAATCAAAAAGCCCGAGCCCAACTCAACCTTAGTAGTAGAGTGGGTAGCCTGTGTCCCTTTTGGGGGGTATGGCTCTATTCCCTATATGATCCCAAAAGTTTCCTGGTGTACGAGACAAGCACCCCGACCCCCGGGAGGATCTAGAAAGTAGATCCCCTGATTTGGGGCCCTATACTACTTAGGGTTTGGGGTTTAGGGGTTTTAGGGGTTTTAGGGGTTTAGGGTTTAGGGAGGATCTAGAAAGTAGCTCCTCTAATTTGGGGCCTTGTACTACTAAGGGTACTTTATAGGAATCGCCATTAAGGAATCCACCTTTTGGATCCTCCCGGGGGTCTGGGAGAAAGCCACCCTCCGTTTGCTTTGACAGGAGCCGCTCAAGGATGAAGAGATGAGGCCAGCTGAGGCAGGATGTTATCCCAAATAAAGGCTCCATGCTCCTTCATAGTAGATACTTAGGCCTTAACGGGTTCCCTAAATAGGTACTTGAAGGCTTAAGTATCTACTATATAGGTACATGAAGCTTATAGGGTAAGAGGGGCTACAACAGCTCTACGAAAGGGCTTGATTCGCGGGGGGACTGCAAGCGTATACAGGGGTTCTGTAGGGGTTTAGTCAACTCGACAGTTCGGTCCTAAAGGGTGACTCCGAAACGGCACAACAATGGAGACGCTGAGCCCTTGTTCACCTGGTTGACGTGACAGACTTGTCTTACCTTTGGTTCGTAGGGAATGGAGGAATAGGGTATATATTACAGTCATAACTACTATTACTACCGTTCTTCCATTCCCTACGAACCAAAGGTAAGATGTCTGTGGTCGTATGATCGTATGAAGCCCAGATTTGCACACCAGGGTCCGCCAACCCTGAAAGTCCATGTGCCCAAGTAGTATATATTTGGGTACATGGACCCTTGAACCCCAATTAAACCCTATAGAGCCCTTGTAGAACCCTTAAAGCATCCCTTAAAGGAGCCCTTAAAGGGGCAAGTTTGTTTTCCGATGATCGTGCTGCCGATGTCCGTTTACGCAGCTCGGTTCGTTGGCCCCAGATCCTCCACTCTGTTCCCAGACCCCCGGGAGGATCTAAAAAAGTAGATCCCCTAATGGGGGTTTCTATAAAGTACCCTTAGTAGTATATTATATGGCCCCAAATCCGGGGGTCTGGGTTTGCATGTTATCCGCGGTCCTTCTCCAACTCCTGGTGCTGGGTGCTTGCGGTGGCCCAGACACCGTGCCAGAGCAACACGAAGAGGCGACGGTGACGATGACCCCATCAAGCCATTGTGGAAGGCGTTGGACCTCTTGTTCTTTCCCAGCAGTGAATTGTTCCGGGACTTTCGCTCATCACGATCCGACTTCTAGCCCCCTTCGCCGTGCTCGTGCTCACGCAGCTTCGTTCGAAGCTGGTGCAGAAGCTGTTGGAGCCATGTTTTGTCCAGGCGCATGACGACATCGACATTGAAAAGCCGTGGTCCGTGCTGACGGAAGATGAGAAAGAACGGATTTCAGAAAAGCCCTTGAAATGGTTGGGAAAGCGTTACTACATCAATTTCGTCTCACGCCTGCTCTACCCTCCTCTCCGGCTCGTTTTCTTCCACGTAGCGCCCTGCCTTTTGGTTTTGCGGTGCGGCTGAAACGACCCAGACCCTCCAAAATCCCGTAATTAAGGAATATACCTTAAATCATAGTAGGGACTCTATTATAATTTAAGGTATATTCCTTAATTAAGGGATTTTGGAAGGTCTGGGTTCTTGTTGCCCCGGAGAGGAGGTTTTGAGACACTTGAAACCATGTGGGGGCGCAACTCCCCTTTTTTAGCAAAAGCCCTCTCCTGTCCTGGCTATATGATCTTCTGATCTGGGGCGGCCTCGGGTTGCAAATTACATTGTGGCAGTTTCTATTTACAAAACCAACACATTTCGATGTTTTGGCGATGTTCCTGCTCACACAGCTTATTTGGGCTACTGGCTTCATCAGCCTGAGCAGCTGCCTTCTGTGTTCAGCACCGGGATTTTGGAACCAGATGGGGGCTTTCCTGCTTCTGACTCCTGTCGCAACTATTCTATTCGTGAGATTCGTGGAGGTGTATTGTAGAACAACCTGAGAGTCAAGAAGACAGCGGCAAGAAAGGAGCCCCCCTCTGCACCAGAAGCTCATGGCAGTTGGAGTTTCAGTCCAGCCGTTCAGGTATATAAGCTTTGGGCGAGTTGTTGCGTCAAGGCTTTTGCTGGGCTGGGGTATTTCGACTGCATTACCTAATTGTAGGCAAGGTACATGGAGACTTAGGGGGTCTAGGGTTCACAGCCATCCTCGACACCGAGATGCTTTTGTGGAATCAGGAATCTGTGAGCAGACTAGATGTAGTCCAAAAACGGCACGAGCCGAGTAAACCGCCACATTTCGGGCTCCATGCATTTCTGAGCATCAGGTTGCCAGAGCCTGGACCAGAAGTACAACTGCAATTCAAGAGCTTGTGTAAAATGCATCGTCATCACTGTAGTCTCCTTAGGAATTATTTTAAGTTTTGCTCGTACTAGTTGCCAAGAGAGTATTAAACATATTATTTTTCTTATGGTTCTAACGGGGGGGTATAGATAAGTGAGTAGCGTGATCATGTTAGTAGCCATAGCCCCAACTAATTTACACAGAGTCCGACTTTCTCCGTAGGGGTTTTTGGATGGGCACGGTGGGCTATTGTGTCTCGCACCTGCATGCTTGATCGCTCTAAGGTTACAAGTATGGGCCGCTAGTATGGACCCTTAGGCCTTTTTAAGGGAGTTCTAGGCACCCTTAAGAGTCTATATAGGGTATATCGTAGGTATTTAGGGATCCCAGGGTTAAGGGCCCATACTACGGGCCCATGGTTTCAACCATTCAATCGCAACTTTACCAGTTCAAGGGTTCAAGATCCTGCCCAAGGGAGCAGGTGGCACAGCAAGTAAGGCTTATGAAGATTCCGGGGTGGCTTAAAGGACAGGAACACCTCCTTGATAGCCATCCCCCCGCTCTCCCTCTACAAAAAAAGCCAGTGTTTTTCAGTGAAAGATGAGGACATGTTGGCAATGTCACCCTAAACAGTTTTGTTGATGACCCGTATGCTCTAAACCTCGAAGCCCGATAGTCCTTTCAGCTCGAACTTCGGGATCGTGGATTAGTGCTGGCACAGAAGGTTTTTGGGACTTAGCAAGTCAGGAGCCGTAGCTACAACCACAGTTATGATTCCAGGTAGGATCTTTTAGCACTACTTGCTGCATCCTCTCACTCTTTGGGTATACAAACCGCTGAAAGTCGCCGAACCAGGCAACTACTTACCACTATTGATGATACAAATCCTTCAGTTTTTACCAAAATAGCCGCAATCAAGGAAGCTCTAACAGTAAAACTACACCGCATGATGGAAGGTAAGAATGACCAAAAGTCCGGAGAACTTAGAAACAGTATAAAACTATGGAGAGAAGACACTGAATGAAGATGTACCCCAGAACCAGCAGTAGCGCCTCAAACCTTTAAAACTATGGGAATAGTGGTATATTTACATTTACTATGGGTATTGCAGGATGTATATCTTCAACCGTAGGCTCCTCAGCGCCGGACCATAGGGATCTAAGGACTCATATATTAAGGCTTTTGGGCCCAAAGACCATACTATGTAAGGCTTTTGGGCTCTTTTGACCCCTAGGGTTATAGAATACTATTCATAATATAGATATAGTAGGACCTTAATTGTAGCCCTATTATAGATTCTTACTGTATGGGGGCCGTACCTAACTTATACATTCCGAAGCCCAGACCGGGCCTAAACTCTTCCAGGCTGAGGCTGGCTCTCTCTCTCTCTCTCTCTCTATCTGTCTGTCTGTCTGCCTGTATATACATATATATATATATGTTATACACATATATATATATATATATGATTATATATCATATCATCAGGTGTACATGCATATACATCCCACAAGTCATAATGAGGATTCTGGATATAACACCTTGCATTCTAGGTATAGGTACTTTGGACCCTTCGGGTTTAGATACACACAGGTCGAGAGAAGCAGCTGCTTACTTATATCAAACCATGATGCATAGCAAGAAGGTTTTGGGTATACATAAAGGATGCGCAGGGGATCCTTCAGCGTCAGCTAAATGATATTGACGTCTAGAGCACACGTGTACACAATCACAAGCCCTTCACAATATGAAGCCCAGTGGAGCCTAATCCTTGGACCCAAACACCAGTTGTAGTTCCTTTTTTGGTCTGGCCAGCTCTAGAGTTAGGACGCTATGCAGTGGTGGAGAAGGGAACTACAATGGAGTCTATAGATCCCGGTAGTTGTGTAAAGTCTTCAAGATCTAACCGTAAGGCTCCATGTACCTATATGTAAGGCGTTCGTAAATAGGTATTTTAGTTAAAGGGCTACAACACAAGTACATACTACATAGGTACATGGATCCTTACGGCTATATGGAGGAAACTTCTTCACAAGCCAAACATAAGGCTTTGATGCGGGTCGTAGGGACTGGTCGGACATATTCTGCAGCGGCCATGAAAGATGTGTCGCAGCTCAAACAAGCTAGCTAAAGCAGGCTTCTTTTGCAAGTGTCTAATAATCGGCTGTTCCTTCTAGGGTTGCTAGAATACGTATCCCCCATGAAAGCCCTAGTCCAATCATTAAGGCCCTACAATAATGTTATAGGTATCACTGTCACACTATTAGTGTTTGCCGGGCCCCAGACTGTCGGATCCCAGGTTCACCTAATAGACATGTCTGTAAATGGGGGGCCGTGCAGCTTGTTTGCAGTTTATTGTGCTGCCGCTGTCCGTTTCCGCAGCTCGGTTCCTGAAATCTCGGGGTTGACGCCAACTCCTCCCTGTTTGCGATGCTGGCTGCAGTCCTTCTCAAAATCTTGGTGCTGGGCGCCTGCGGAGACACCGTGCCAGAGCAACAAGAGAAGGACCTCGACAATGACAAGGACCCTATCAAGGTATTGTGGAAGGCGTTGGACCTGATCTTATTTCCCAGCAGTGAGTCGTTCCGGGACTTTCGCATCCAGTTCATCACGATCCGATTTCTAGCCCCCTTGGCCGTGCTCGTGCTCTCGCGGCTTGGTTCGAATCTGGTGCAGAAGCTGTTGGAGCCATGTTTTGTCCAGGTGCCTGACAACATCGACATTGAAAAGCCGTGGTCCGTGCTGACGGAAAAAGAGAAGCAACAGATCACAGATAATCCCTTCAAGTGGTTGGGAAAGCGCTACTACATCAACTTCATTCCGCGCCTTCTCTACCCTCCTCTCCGGCTCGCTCTAGTCCACGTGGCTCCCTGCCTTCTGGTTTTGTGGTACAGCTGGACCGAGGCCTCAGAGTCGGCGTGGCAGCTCTTCGTGAAAAGCGTCCTGACCGTGCTCTACGGGCTCTACCTCCCTGCAGTCCTGCTACTCTTCGTGTACAAAGGATGCAGCACTCTCCAGAGCAGAGGCGATAATCCAAGGACGTTCGAGTCGATGTTTTTGCTGCCCTATGTTCCATGGGGATTGTATTGTTCGGTCGAGGATCTGTGGAGTCGCGATAAGGCTCCGTTTTTCAGGACCAGCCCTTTCCTGTCGTGGCTTTACACCCTTGTGATCTGGGGCGGCCTCGGCCTCGAGTTCACGGCTATCGCCGTTCTTCCGATTTGTGCCCAAAGAGCCGTCCTTTTAGGATTGGTTCCTCCCTTGGCAGGTATGGGCTCCATCAGCCTGTTCAACTCCACAGCACCGGGCTTTTGGGACTACATGGGGGCCTTCCTGGGCCTGACTCCTCTAGGAACTCTTTTTTTACACGTGTTTGTCATGAAGTAGTTTTGTGTAGCATCATGAGAGTCACGCAGACAGCAGCAAAAAAGGAGCCCACATGTCGTGATGAACAGATCAAACACCAACAGAACCATCTTAAGTAAAGGACAAACAACAACCAAGCACAGGCCGCAGGAAACTCAATCCAAGGGCAGTACGAGCTTGTTCTGTACATCCTAGGATGTAGGACTGAGGTGCGATCATGGAGCCTTACAGCACACGGCCTTCCTGGATACCCATATGATGCAAGAGCTTAGGCCTGAAAACTCTGTGTCTGGTACTTGTGGCTATTGTGTCACGGGCTTGCGTGCTTGATCGCGATTTTGACAGTCAACGGTTCAACAACTTACGGAAAGGATCAGGGCCACAGCAAGTAAGTTCTTTACGGGTTATGCGTCGGGTTTAGGGTTTAGCAGGATTCGGGAGTTGCCCACAGGAGCAGGTCCTGAACTACTTTCCCAATCCGATAATAAGTCTTTCAGGGAAAGATCCGAGAATGTTGGCAATGTCACCCTAAACATGTAGGTTGCTGACTCTTATGCTCTGAACCCCCGAATCCTTAAACCCAGTAGTTCTTTAAGCTCGAACTTCGGGGTCTTGGCCTCGGGCAACAGTTTTAAGGGACTTAGCAGGTAAGGAGACTAGAACTACTCTGCTTTCAGGTTACACCGTTAAACACCACAGGCTACACTCTCTACTCCTTTAAGTATACAAACCTCTCGAACCCTAAACCCTAAACCTTAAAACCCAAGCTACATGGGTCGTTCTCCAAGCTTTGGGTATACATACGTATGTGTAAAACATATGTACACAGATGTAGAGAGACCGCTGTTCACCAAAATCAGGGTGTGTAAGGTTGCTAATTAGTATTTCATCATGATGCAACATCAAGAAGCTTTTGCGTATAGGTATAGGGCACATCGGGGATCCCTAACGTGGAAGCCTCAGCCAAGTGACACTGAGCTCTAATATCGAACACCAGTATACACGCCCACAAACCCAAGTTCAAGTAGAGGCTCATGGAGCCTCATATAGCGCTTGTACACACAGCGCTGACAAGGTTTATAAGCCCCTGCAAAGCCCTCCGAAACTCCTTCATTAGATGTAACTGGATCGACTTCTAAGCCCTCAGCCGTAAGACCCTGCTACTGTAAGCCCGAAGCCTTAAAGCCCCCTGAACCCCGAAACCCCCAAACCCTGAACTCCAAGCTGGAGGAAGCGGATGAGCCGGATCAGCCCATGCCAGATCCCGCTGAGGTGGGTTGCCTCGAAGAGGTTCCGTTAAGGAATGGTTTCCGTAAAGGGTTCTTCTAAGCGTTCTACAAAGGTTTAGTGCTCCATTGAAGGATTTGCTGAAGGGTTTTAGGGCTCAGGAGTTGAGGGTGTGCTATGCTTGGAGGGTCGGGGGACTTAGTAAATAGTTATTCATTAGAGTTATAAGTACCATAACCCCAATTAGGGTCCCCATTAAGGTACCTATAAGTCTACATAGTAACTACTTACTAAGTCCCCCGACCCTCCAAGTGGGGCCTGAAGAACCAGAATGAGCTTGTGGGGTATTGTAGAGTACGTTGCAAAGTAGAACCACATAGACACCTACAAGTGGCTGAGGCTTCTTCACTCGTCTACCTGTGGATCCTAGACCCTAACCCGAGTTTAGGGCTTGGGCTTTGGATTTAGGGTTTAGCACTTGGAATTTTTGGGGATTTTTGGCTTGAGGGCATTGGGGCACTTGGTTTGGATCTTGCAGTTGCTTATACTACTTGGAGGTTCATGGGTAGTTATAAGTGGGGTTGTAAATCCCCTAAGATGGGTGATATCTATAGTTATCCTACTTATAACCGTACTTATAACTACCCATGAACCTCCAAGTAGAAGAAAATGGTACCATGCACTGGTGCTAGCAGCGTGTAGAATGAACCCCAGACGTCAAGGTTTGAGCCACCGGGTAGATACGGATTTTAGGGTTTAGTGGTTACTTAGATGTAGACTTTTGGCTGCCAAGGAATCGGAGGGCGGGATTCTAAAGACTTCTAAAGACGGTTCTGTTTGTAACATGCCCCTGTGTTATACTGTTACCCCAAGGGTCCATGTACTCATACAATATATACATTGGCCTTAATGTAGTCCCTATTTGGGTATTTTGGGCCCAAGTATATGCTATATGAGTACATGGACCCTTAGGGACTGTTAGGAAATCTCATGGGGCTTTCAGTGTTTCTCACTCGGGGCTTGTAGCTCAGAGTCGCCTGTAGAACGGGTGGGTATGGTTGAATTTCAGGGGAAAAGGAGGGACCCTTAATGGGGACACCTACCGTATAATGGGCTATATAATGGCTATATAATAGCTACATTAAGGGTATATACCGAGGGGTCCTTACTAAGGGTCCCTCCTTTTCCCCTTTGATTGATTGTGGGGGCGGGTAGTAAGGGCTTTCTGAGTTAATTGCCGGATTCTGGAGCTCTCTCGTTCAGGTGCCTGTCAGGCGTCTAACAATTCCTACGCCCTAAAACCGAAGACCCAAACCGGCGACCGACGTATGGTTACCTCGAGAGCTTCTCGGAATATAGGGGGTTTAAGGGTTTCGTGTTGGTGATTTGCATGTCCTGTTGCAGTCTTAGAGCAGATTTCCTAAGCTCGCAGAGAGCGGTGCTTGTTGATCAAGGATAACAGGTTGAAGCTGGAGTAGTCTAGGACTTATTCTATCGTTACGGGGTACTGGGTTTTTGGGGAACCTTAAAGGCCATTTCATAAGGAACTGTCAAACACGATGTGGTTAGCCTGCTTGCCGATTGGGGCACGATAGTTTATTCCTGCATCTCTATGCGTGTGTCTATACATGAACAAATAGCATAGCTACGGCTGCAAAAGCTGCATTGCTTGGCAGATATCACCACACGGTTCCACTTTCTGGAAGACAGCTTCAACAAGAACATCGGCGAGTGCCACCTCAAGGTTTTCAGACGTTTGGCGCCACAAGCCGTGGATCAAGTCTATGGTCTGCAGTATGTCGACTTTAGAAACTATCCATTGGCAACGTGTGTGTTGCTGGACATTGTGTGCAATTGTGTGCAGAAAGACGGCGTGCCCGCAAGATCCCGGCGTTGCACGACTGGCTGCCCAGATGTGTATTACACATCAGACTTCGCCTAGTGCAGTGAAGTTTGGGCCCTGAGCCCTACCACCAGAATCCTTACCCCAAATCCAAAATCCGAGACCTCTGGGATCCAAATACTCAGAAACCATCAAACAGGCTTTGGCTTTTCGTGTTTGGGGTTGTGGGGCTTGCCGTTTACGATGTTTGCAGTCAGGCGTCTAAGTGAAGTCCTCAAAGCTACGCGATGGCAGGTTCTGAGTTCTGACCCCGATACTTGTGATGCATTTGTATCTGCAGGTAATCCACGGGTACACCCTACACCCAGCCACAACCCTATACTCTGTACCCTAAAACTCCCTAACACCCCTAAACATCTAACTGAAATTGAAGTTAGGCACCTTACGTTTGAGGTTTGAGATCTATTCCAGAAGTATGGGGCTGGGGAAGGCCAAGCCACCGGCTGCCACTCTCACAGAGGCCGGATTTCAGGCTTTACCATGCTTTAACTACCAGGGGCCCACATGGAGATGCTCACGTGCAGTTTGGCTAAGGTGCATCGATGATCCTTGCGGCACCATGTTGTATGCTATGTTAAAACATATTATGGCATGTCATGACGTTTCATGGCATGTTTTGATATGGTAGGTGCTGCACTGTGTGATATTATGCTATACCATGCTATGTTATGCCATGCTATACTCTGTTATGCTATGGTTGGTTCTTACGTTATGTTCTGTCATGTTATGCTATGTTTTCGAAAGAAGCATGACGAGGGTAATGTGTTGTAATGTAACAGACTGCACTGCCAAGGACAGTAATATGTGTATGCATTTGTGTGTGTGTGTGTGTGTATGTCTGTCTGATCGTATGAATGAACGGATGAATGAATGAATGTATGAATATCCGTATGCAGTGTAGTTGTAGTAGTGTACTGCAATGTAATGTATCTGTGTACGTACGTATGTATGTGCGGGTGGATGCATGCATGCATGGATACATACGTATCTCTCTCTGTCTCTCTCGCTCGCTGACTCTGACAGCCTATAGTAGAAGCCAGAAAGTTGGAACATGGCTTTAGGAGGACTAGTGCTAGCATCCCGTATACGTTACCTTCATGCCATGAGGATAATGATATTGCAACTTTCTGGCTTCTGCTATAGTTGCAAAGAGAAACTGCCCACCTGCTACTAGGCTTTCTGGCGGGGACCTTCAGCGAGGTGTGCCAGATATTGCTTGAGATGGTTTTGGCGTGTACAAACTCCAACTTTTTGGGAGTTGTTAAGCCATCCTGAGACACTTTCGGCGTACAGCGAGTCTAAGCTATGCCTGAATTACAGCGTATTGGGGAGAAATGCTGTAGGATTTCAGGGCCTTCTTGCCAGCAGTACATGGGTGGTTGTCAACATTATGGCCCCTTTTTGGCTACCCTAAATATAAGGTGCCGTATTATGATAAGGACCCAAAAAGGGACCATAATTTTGACAACCACCCACATGTCTATATGTATACGAGCCCAAAATATCTACGCGAGAGCCGCGCAGGCGGAGATGAAAGTGGTCTTTCGACCAGCGGTGTCTTGGTTTGGCACATGGCATCAGGATTTAGGTGGGGGGTCATTCCCAGAAGCTCCATAGTAGTTCCTTTTGGGGTTCATAGTTGGAACCCTATAAGGTAATCCCGAAAAGGAACTGCTATGGAGCCTTTGGGTTGGATCTTACTGTTGGAACCTGATTAAGAGGCCCTGGGCCTAGGGATAATTTGAGCTCCGTCCTTGAAGGATCTGGGCGACTTTTATCTGCGACGGTTTTCAGTGGGCTTGGGGCTGACGGTGTCGAGTTTAGGATAACTAGGATGCCCAGTAGTACCCTTATTCCCTTTTTGTAGTCCTAGGTTCCTTATAAAGTTACCCAATACCAAAAAGAGAGGCCTTTTTATTCTTAGGTTACTGGGTATCCTAGATAACCTGTCAGTGTATAGCCTTAGGCTAAGACTAAGAAAGCACTTAGGCCAGGATTCTCCTGGCTCACCTGATATCCTGAAAGCTCAATCTCTGGCTTTGCGAGGGGCGGGGGTAGGGTTTGGCAGCGGTTGAGTGTGGGGCCTCTTGTGTAGGGGTCAGGTTTTGGGGCTTAGGGTTTGGAGAGTAGGATGTACCCAGATCTTCAAAAATCCCATAAGTTAAGGAATATACCTTAAATCATAGTAGGATCTATGATTCAACGTATATTCCTTAATTTAGGGGATTTTGGAAGCTCTGGGTACGAGCGTGAAGCTGAAGCCTGAACCACAGAATCCTGAAGACACAAGCTCCCAGGGTTCCCAGACCCTCCAAAATCCCTTAATTACGGAATATACCTTAAATCATATTAGGGACTCTATTATAATTTAAGGTATATTCCTGAATTAAGGGATTTTGGAAGGTCTGGGTTCTTGGGTCCTCACGCTCGGATCCCAATCCCCAGGCCTGCTTGAGGCAAGTCTCCGAACTTTTCCTCAAAGGCTCCATGTTCCTTCATAGTAGATACTTAGGCCTTAAAGGGGTCCCTATATAGGTACTTTATTATAAGGCTTAAGTATCTACTATACAGGTACATGGAGCCTTAGGTTCTCTTGTCCTAGGAGCAAAGTCCAAGATCTTTAGGCCGTAAGCCCTAAACCCCGAAAACACTGAAGCCCCGAAGCTATTGAAGCCATGAGCCCTCACACGTTTTGTCCAAGGCCTTCAACCCCCAAGCCTTGAATCCCCAGACCTCTTATAGAACCCTTAAGAATCCCATAAAGGCATCCCTTAAGGAGGTTACCCTAAACCCTAAACTGGGTTGTGCTTTGGAATAAATTTGATTTCCCTTATTCCCTTGTAAAGGTAACCTATTCATAAACAATCTTCAAAGGGTTTAAAGCACAACCCAGTAAAGCCTCAAAGCCATGTAACGAGAAACACAGAAGCTTCGTCTCATCCCCGAGGAGTCGCCAGATGTGTTGGGCACTCAGCTACGGCGCACCACAGGTAGTACGGTTGATGATATCAATCCTGCATTACCTTAAGGACCCTAAACTATGAGAATTATGGTATATTCCTGACTATGGGTCATGCAGGATTTACATCATCAACCTTAGCAGCAATAATATAACAATCATAAGGACAAATACTAAACCCAAAGGGTCCAAGTGATGGTGCACACTAGATGGTATAGTATACACTTCGGGGGCCAAAATGCCTGCTGTGATGGTGCTTGGACCCTTTGGGAAATAACAATGATGAGCAATAAGGCAATAACAACTAATAACAGTTATCATGCCTGAAGCTGAGAACTTCGGTCTTTCGCTTTGGGGCTTTGTTTATGCTTGTGTGCTTTAGGGTTTGCAGATTTCTTGTTGGGGGGGGGGCGTACAAAATGTGGTTGCGATTATCTTGCAGGGGATGTGAGAGTTTCCGACAATTAGGGGTACCTTATTTTGGGGTCCTTGTAATCAGGATCCTACTATTTAGGGTACGATATTAGGGTCCCTTATTTGCGGAAACTCCCATGTAGCGTTTCGGGCTGATGGCCCAGGGTTTTAATTCAGCATGGAGGAAGCTTGCGTAGCCTTCGCGAAAGTCGAGGAGAGCCCAGAAGCAGTCTACATGAACGCAGATAGAGCTCATCTCAAATGTCGCGGGAACACATATATTATGTATACCAGCCCTCCTTACTTACAGTAGCCTGTGCAACCGGCTGTTTTGGAGATTACTGCTCCCAAACTTGAATCCTGGAAGGCTAAGTACATCGAAGCTTGCATCATGCATAGAGGCCTGCATAATATAGGCGGGCAGCAGTTACCCTTCTCCAACAAGCTTCTGCACCATCGTTCAATGCCCCTGTCTCACTTAGAGCCCGTCGACAGAAACTACCGGTAACTACCGCAAACCCCGATCAGAAAACGCCTACCGTAGAACGAAACTCTAGGCACCCAAACCCTCCACCCCTAAATCCCAAGCATGACAAAGCCAAAGTCTACACCTCTTGCTTTGACCTCAAACCACCAAGGAGCGACTGGGTGCTTGCCAAGTGCTTGAATGACTTGGCGCTACCGGAGAAAGCCGAGGGATTCGACAATGCCCCTGGGCTTTGGATTTAGCGGGGTTACGGGTAAAGGGTTTAGGGGTGTTTACAGGGTTTAGGGGTGTTTACGGGTAAGTTGAGGGTTCAGGATAAGATACCCCTCCCGTAATTGGATTTTCGAGGGATCCGGAAAAGTGCTTTCCCGATAAAGCATACATGGGTGTAGCAGGAAACGCCAACAAAGCCCTACATAAGTTTGAGAATGCAGGGACATAGGAACATTCCCCACAGCTAGAATAGCAAGCCCTCTACACAGTTTAAGGTGAACTCTAAACTCGAGGGCTTAGGGGAACGGAACCTAGGACCCGGAATCCCACACCAGCGAGTCCCACCACCGCCACCACCCAATATATATCAATTAATATAGACATCATATCTTTCATACTATGTAACTAGTATTTATGTTCTGTATGACAGATAATAGACAACATACTATGCCGCCACCACCAGCACCACCGCCGCCACCGCCACATCGAAGTTTACCTGAAGGATTCGGGGACTCAATGAATAGGGCCATATGTAACGGAACGAGACTTAAGTACTTACAACCTTGATTCGGGTATGTATAACCTGACTTACTAAGTCCCACGATCCCTGGAGTAACGACCCTGAATCCTTGTGAAGCCTACTTGCAGGCAGTTTATTTACAAGGCCTTCCATGGGTGTTTGCATGTTGGGTGCTTGGGGTATGAGGTTTACTTTAAAATCCACAACAAACAATCTTACAAAGAGATCTTGAACCATTGTGAACCCTAAACCCAAAACATCTGAAACCTGGAACCTCGAGACAGAGCCCTGTACCTATATCCCTTAGTAGGAATTATTTAAGAAGGTCTACTAGCCGCCTAAACCCTAAACCCAAACCCTAAACCCCTAAGCCCTACCAGGAGCGAAACCTGGACCCTCTGGGACCGAAGCCCTCAGCCTGCCTGCGGGTTTACTTCGGGGTACTTAGAACTGATTTTTAGTTTTTGGTTATTATAATCCCTAAGGAACAGCTACTTAGAAATATTTTTAATATTTTTGGTTATTATAATCCCTAAGAAACAGCTAAAATTGCAATTGTTGCTAGGGTTCTAAGTTCAGTATAGTTTAGGGTGTCGGGGTAGGATATGCCAAGGATCAATGGACCAGGTAAATAGGGTTACAGCTTCAAAAATCCAATCCCCATGAAAGCCTACTCACAAGCCTCTAACCAAAACCCTGCATCCCTATAGATTATAGATGCCCATGAACTATGACTATGAATCCTTACTAAACCTTCAACCCTCAACCCTAAACCCATGAACCCTAAACCCTAAACCCTAAACCCTAAACCCTAAACCCTAAACCTTCAACCCTCAACCCTAAACCCATGAACCCTAAACCCTAAACCCTAAACCCTAAACCCTAAACCCTAAAGCCTCATACTCCTTGACTTGGGGAGTGTCGAGACTCTCTGGGCAGAGTTTGATTCCCGAGAAAGTTCCAGGTGACCTACTCCTGGTCTGCGCGGGGGAAGGCAGAGGCTTACTTCAAGGCCCCAAGGGGCCCCAAGGGGCTATCTCCTTAAGTAGAGTTCAGGGTGTAGGGTTTACTGTAGGTAGGGTTTGGAGTTTACTGCATGTAAGGTCGAGGGTTTCGGGTTGAAGTGCGGTTTCGTGGCTGCCAGGCCAAAAACCTGGCGCAGGTTAATATGTACTACAGGTCAGAGCTGTATTGGACACTGAGTCAGTTCTTTGTTGAGCTTACATGATGTACTGTTATGTAAGATGTCCATAACCCCTTAAAACCGGCTCAACGTTAAGATTATTTTCTTGTACTGGGTTTGCACACTTCGGTTGGAAAGCCATTGTGGGGGGTTAAAGTTCAAGTTCTACGGTTACGCGGGTGGGAGTTGCCCTGACGTATGTTAGCAGGAGGCCTTGCAGTGTCAAAGTACTCGGTACCTACATACCTCATGGCGGTGGCCTGTGGAACTCCGCCTTATGAAATGTCAGCAGCCGCACGATCTGGGTAAAGGGGCTTACCTGTTTCTTTCGATCCCTCAACCAAAGGCTCCATGTACCCATTTAGTATATATATATATATATATACTGAGGCCTTAAAGTATACCTCGAACTTGAAGCCTAAGTACAGAGCACCCATAATGGGAACCCCTTTAAGGCTTCAAAATATGTACAAACAAGGTAAGTACGTGGGAGCCTTAGGGTAAACTTATGCAGATGGCCTGGTTCCCCCCCCACCCTATCGGGCTTCTTTCCGAAACCCTGAGCCTTGAGCCTGTATTTTAGGGTTATACTTGAATCATCTTATGGGTCCTCTAGCCTTTAATGACTTGAAGTGTATTCCTGATTTAAGGGCTCTTGCACGGTCTGGGCTGAAGCTCCTACCTGTAGTAGTCTCCGCTTTTCTGGTTAAGCCAGGTCCTATAAGGTAACCCAAAAAATCAGCTATAATGTAGACTTCAGGTAAAGCCTAAACCTCAATCACAAATCCTCAAAAACTCTTACCACGAGAAGTGAACAGAGGCGTCAGCAACAGTGTGCCTTGTCTTCATGCACCCTGTCTCTTTCTGGTCTATCATACCAGAGTCCATGTTAGCTCTAATCACCTAGGCGCAAGGGCCAGCCACAAGGCCTGCCGACAATGAAACCTTGGACCAAACAACCACCAGCGTGGTTTCTGAGGGCGCTATATTAGAAGCATAATGGAGCATTACCCAAAGCCTTATTCTAATTAGTAAGGCCCATATAGTTCCCTTGAAGCTGACTTTTCCGGAGTCGGATGAAGCCGTAAACGCTAAATTCAACATGGGAGCCATCAACAAAAACTTCGAAGCCTTTACCAAACCCCTGCCCTTTACCAAACTCCTGCTGCCAGCCTCCTCCGCCCTGGACCCTAAACCCTTAAATCCTAATCTTTCCACCTTCAAAGGCTGCACGCTATGGTAGAAGCCAAAAGTTGGAAACCCAATAGCCTCAGTCCTTAAGAGTAATGCAAAGGGAATCCAGCACTATTTGTCCTTAATCCGGTTTCCAATTTTTTGGGGTTTACCATATCGGAGCCGGCCAGGAGTGGAAGCTTACGAAGAAGCTCACCACACGCGTCGACGATCTCGTTGTGGGCGAGTGGTTCGGGCCTCAGCTGTTTCTTCCCTCAGGAGTTCCTTGAGTAACCCTAAGGCTCTGAGGACTCATAGTTTAAGGCTATTGGGCCCAAAGACCATACTAAAGAAGGCTTTTGTGCTATTTTGAGCCTTGGGGTTAAGAGTTCCTTGACCAAGGATTGCAACCACGCACCCGGGGCCCTGCGAAATCCAAGAAACTACACCCTGAACCCTCATTCCTAAACTTACCTTTGGTTAGTAGGGAATGGAGGAATGGTAGCAATAGTAGTTATAATTGTACCCCATTCCTCCATTCCCTACTAACCAAAGCTACTATTTGCTTAAGAAACCCCAAAAAAATATAAATAATAATCCCTATATTACCTCCATAAGGAATATACTTTTTATTTTTTCAGTGTTCTTAAGCAAATAGTAGAAAGGTAAGTAAACCCAGACCCTGAACTCCTCAACCCCTCAGCACTCAGCTGCTTCCACAACTTGTCTTCCAAAGCCAGAGCCTGGTTCCCTTCACTTAGAGATTTAAGTTTTTCGGCTTTGGGATTTAAGGGTTTAGGTCCTGGAGATTTAAGGGTTTAGGGTTTAGGGATTTATTGGTCTAGGGCTTAGGCATTCAAGAGCTTAACCGCTAGGATCATGGGACTTAGCAAGTGGGGGATTTGCTGGAGCAGCCTTGGTTCGATTCCTATAAACCCCCTGCTGCAGTACTTAAGGGACCCCTATAAACCCTACTTATAACTATAACTATAACTACCCATGAACCTCCAAGTAGCACCCTGTAATGTTTTTCAGCCCCGTGATCTTCCATGTATTCTGGAACCCTAAATCCCTAAACCAACGGTTGATGATATAAATCCTGCATTACCCGTAATAATAAGGAATATACCATAATTCCCATAGCTTAGGGTCCTGAAGGTCATGCAGGATTAATATCATCAACCGGAGCAAACCAAGTAAACCCCAAAGCCTGAACCGTAAAGATAAGACTTAGAAGCTGCCCACCCTGTAATAGTGGCATAATAGGAATATAATAGGGCCCTAATATCATCCTTATATATCCTTATACTCACTATTACAGGGTGGGGGCAGCTTCTAAGATAAGACCCACAAAACCCCTCTAAACTCCGACCATGAGAGACCCTTTGAACTCCAAACCCGACATGGGAGTTTCCGAAAATTAGGGGGTACCTTTAAAGGGATCCTTTAAGGGTTCCTTAAAGGGATCTATAAGGGTTCTATACAGGGTTTAGGGTTTAGGGTTTGGGAGTTTCCGATTTTTTTTGCGGGGTACCTTATTTGGGGCCCTTACAAGTAGGATCCTAGTATTTCGGGTACTGTATTCCGGTCCCTCATTTTCAGAAACTCACAAGTACAGAAAACCCATAAAGTTGAAACTGGGATTAAGGCCAGGTAGTGCTGGGATTCCGGGTACATTACTCTTAAGGATTGAGGCCAATGGGTTTCCAACTTTTGGGCTGATACTGTACACTTTGCTGAGTGATTGTGCTGACCAAATGTTTGGGGTTTTAGGTTTCGAATTCGAATTAGGTTACGGTGTAGGGGCTTCCTAGTCATGAACCCTAGGACTCCAAGCATGCCGACAGCACACCTACTTGGGGTGTAAAGTCTATAAATCGCGTCTAGTTTTGGCTATTTTGGAGTTTCAGGGTAAGGGTGTATATCAAGCCCGAAACCCTAAATCGATGTATTTGGTAGCTCTCAGAGCCTCGAAGTGGCCAAGGCTGAACACGAAACTGGACGCATGGAAGGTGCGAAGCGTTAAGGGATCCTTTCCGGGTACCTTCAAAGCGGCTCGTTCAAGGGTTCTTTTAGGATTCCTTTAAAGGGGCTGTTTTAAGGGTCTTGTGAGGGTCCCTTGCAGGGCTTCTTTTAAGGGTTCCTTAAGGCCTCGTTTGAGGGATCCGCCAGGGTTTAGCCTTTAAGGCTTTTTCTACGTGCCGCTGATTTTCGGTGTCGTTCTATTCACACAGTTACACAAGTTTGAGGCTGTGGTTGGTCCTTTTGCTATCAACCCCTGAACCGCAAACAGTTTACGGTTAAGGCCATGTCGACTGAGTTCCCAGAGGGCCCATATATACCACCATCATGATGGCATTCGGCACCAGAAGACCCTCCTTATTATGGTTCGGGGGGACCTACTTCCATAATAGTAGCACAATGTAGAGATCTTAATTAGAATAGGTTTGGGAGGGTATATTGTTTCAAGAATACTATTAAGGAACCCCCAGAACGTTATTAAGGACCCTACATGATCTGGACGCTCTTGGGTTTAAAACGATGGATCTCCTCGGCCCTGGCGTCGCGGTATAGAGCTCAGGATGTAGGATCTTAGGTTCTAGAGTCTAGGTTTTTCGGTTCGATGGTTCAGGGCGTTAAAGGTTCAGGTGTAGAAAGTGTCGGCTTATTTTGTTGTTGTCTTTTCTTTAATGTTTTCCTGTGTTTTCGTTAGTTGAGAGTACTAAGCTTTCGAGGTTAGGGTCTAAGCTCTGTGGGGTTGACTTGGTTGAAGTTCATTTTCTTTCTGTAGGCCATGGATGTTTGTCGCCAGCCTCTTAAGTCTTTCGGGGTGGGATGAACCCCATGCAGTCCCAACAGGTTCTCCTTTGTTGATACTGCGCCACCTAACCGTCAAACCTAGATCTAGTTCAGGGATCAGGGGCACGAGATATTTAACCGCAAATATCCGATTTGGTTAAGGACCTACTTACTTAAAACTTACTTTGAGGGAATCATTCTGAAGAACCCTGAAAAGATACTGGTAAGTGATGTAAGGTACAGGTATGATTTAAGTTTAAGGCATCAGACCCTGCAATATTGTCGTGGGTGCAAGGTGCGTGGTTTCGATTTCCCGACACTCATGTGATGAATGTAGAAACCCTAAACCCTAAACCCCTAAACCCTTGCAGCCTGCATGGGCGCAGGAGATTCTCAGCACCTGGCGACAGAGGCAGTCGATCTGGAAGGCAGTGGCTACCTTTGCAACGCTACAACCCAGAATGTTTATAGCGCAAACCCCGCACCTCGCACCTCTAGGCCCAAAACCTCTACACCCCCGCGGGACCCCAAAGCCTCACGTTCCCTCCTGACACTACCCTAATGGAACCGTTTAAAGGATCCAAAAACCGTAAGCCCTTTCTAGTTTCGGCTGAGGGTTACTTGGATCGTCGCTGTCGGTTATAAGGGTTTACAAGACTTGGAGGACTTATGCTATGTGGGCCAAAGGACTTGTTATATCAAGTATATATACTTGACAAGTCTGATAACATTGCTTAACAAGTCTAGTTTGTGTGGAGTCTAATTGTCTCTTGTTTAGGAGGCATAAGTGCGAGGGCTTTTGTGTTTATTAAGTCGTCTAAATGAATATGCCACTTAATATTTGCCGGGAGAGAGTTATGGATAAGTGGTGTAACAGTTTTAGGTGACTTAGATACAAGTCATCTCCCATCACTTGTTAATAAACACACCACTCATGGCAAGTCGTATAACTACACTTATCGTAAGTCTCGTAGGGGACTTACAGTCGACATAGCTAGCTGCGGTCGGGTCCGGCGCTTGCTTACTTCCCGATAAATTGGTGCATTGCAACTTTTTTGAATAAACTAAGCATTGCCACGTTATTTTCTACCTGTAATAAACATGCGCTGCAGCTTTATCGTTTAAAAGAACTTGCACGTGGACAGTTTCTGTTTCAATATAAACTTTCTTGACCGGGGAGAGCATGAGCCAATAACGGCCAAGACTTACTTATAGGACTTGCCCTTATAACTCACTACGAACACTTACTAATTAAGTGGACTCATGTAACCGGCTTATCGCCAGTTACACAAGTCCTATAACTGCTTATGTATAAGTGCCCTAAACAACTGTTTCCACTAAAGACTTATCTAAGTCTCCTCTATACTTACAAGCCGCCCCGACCATCCAAGTAAGGTTCAGGGCTTGCGAACAGGGTAATCAGTTATGACCCTATATATGTACAGAGTATAGTCATTACAAAGGCTGCTAGTTACATCAACAGACGAAGCCTAAGACCCCCCAAACAATCAAACTTCAAAGTCCTAAAAACCCAACAGCCGTGAAATCGCAAGAAGCCTCTAGGCTTTGGCTTGAAAATTCCAATCTACCGTCGAGTCTGAGTGACAGAGCAGCGAATCTTCTGTAACTTTTTTGGGAGACAAGAGTCCCGACATTCTCCCAAGGCTTACCCTTTAGTTACTATGGTGACCCGGGGATACTGGACAAGTAAGTATACTAGGACCCTGCAACAGGGTCGCTTCTGCGAGGCTAGGAAGTACAAGTCGTTAAGCGAACCCTGGTCTCTAAGTTTGGAGCTTGGTGGTTAAACGCCCGAAGCCAAACAACCCGGATTTCGCCGCCGCTTTGAGCCGCGGTTCAGGGTGGCAAAGAACAGCTGCGAGTGGTGGGAGAGGAGAATTCAAAGGGAGAAGAAGCGGCTGCAGAATGCCCGTCTGAATCCGCAGAGGATCAGAGAGGGCACAAGCAAGAAGTGCAGAGAAGCAAGCTACAGCTGCTCTCAGTGCAGTGCGAAGGTCAATCGGGCGAATTGACAACCGCCGCATATGTGGTCATCGGTTCACCGTCGCTGCAGGTGTCGTTACAGACCAAGAATGCCGAGAAACCAGCCAGCAATACGGCTGCAGCTGCCCTCATTGTGTTGCGAAGGTCACGTCAACGACCCGAGACGGGCGAATTGACAACCGACGCATGTGTGGTCATCGGTTTGCCGTGGCTGACGGTTTCCTTGCCGGCCACTAGTTACCCTTGACCCTAAACCTGCACCCCCCTCCGCCGAAAGAAACACACACACACAGACACACACACACACACCGTAAATGTCAAGCCCAAAAGCCCGTGACCCTACGTGCCACAACACTACTTGGAGGTTCATGGTTGGTGATGAATGAGGTTATAGGTCCCCTAACCAAGGTTATAAGTATGCTTATCCTACTTACAACCCTGCTTACAACTACCCATGAACCTCCAGTAAGGTCCTTACAAAAGCAGGCAAGCTCAGCCCTGGTTTGCCTGAAGACGGCCTTAACCAGGGTCCAAAGATACTAGCATTGTAGAAATAGGCCCCAAAACACCATTTTGATCATGGTTTCGGGGATCTATGTCCAAAATAGTGGCAATGTATATGACCCTTTTGGTTATACACACGTCACAGAGCGACACTATAAGCCCCTGTAAGCCCCCTCTGTAGAACCCTTATTATACAGTTGCTCTTATTGGGTGAGCACTTATTGCAGAACCCGGATATAGTGCCGATCACTGTTTCCCCACCTATTTTTCACAACGATCAATAATAGGGTTTCGGGGTTCAGAGTTTAGGGTTTTAGGCTTTTAGGGCTTATAAGTAGAGAAATCATGATAGGAACCCGCTTCCTTTCCTCTTGGGCCCCGAGAGATCCAGGCCGGCAGTGCCAAGAAGGAGAAGGCTCAGGACCTTCGAGCTCAGGGAAGTTTGCTGGTTTAGGGTTTAGGGGTTTAGGGTTTAGGGGTTTAGGGTTTAGGGTTTAGGGGTTTAGGGTTTAGGGTGTTTTTTGGGACGGAGGGCTGTTCATCTCTGTTTCTCCAGGACTCCATGCCGTGCAACACATTGCAACACCCCATGCGCTAAACCTTAAACCCTAGGTTTAGGGTTTAGGATTCATGAGCCATTAGAAAACTTGCTGAGCCCCGATCCCTGGTTTGTATTACATAGGCAAATACGATCCCCTGGGCCATCTACACCTTACACCCGAAGCCCCAAACACCGAAACCTAGAGGAACCTTCAGCAACCTCAAAAGGAACCCTTCAGGAGCCCTTCAGGCAACCATTGAAGAACCCTTAAACATCAAGCCGTAAACCCTAAACTTTAAATCCAAGAAGCCTTGTGCTGCAAGAACCCTTAAGGGAACCCCTAACGGATGCCTGAACGGAATCCTGTGAGGAAACACTTCAGTCAAAACCTGCACCTGAAATTTCTCAATGTCTAAAGCCCGGAAGCTTCAAATAACTTAAATCCCTGAAGAGCGAAATCATCATAAGCAACCCTAACCCTGGAGTTTCTCAGAGGAACCAAGGAACCCTTAAAGGAAGCCTTAAAGGAGCCCTTAAAGGAAGCCTTAAAGGAAGCCTTAAGGGAACCCTTAAAGGAACCCTTAAAGGAACTATTAAAAGAACCCAGAGAACCCTTAAAGGAACCCTTAAAGGAAGCCTTCAAGGAGCCCTTGAAGGAACCCTTAAAGGAAGCCTTAAGGGAACCGCGAGATGTTCAACCTGTATGGGGTCAAACGCCCGAAAACCTACCGGATTGTGGATTTCACACCGGGGCCGGGGATGGCAGCACTGCAAGCGGTCAGAAAGGAATGGGCCTTCCTACGTGCTCGGCTAGTAAAAGCCAAGAAGAAGCGCCAGAATGCAGTGCTCAACCCTCTGCGTCAAGAGGGAGGCTTCCATACTTGGCGTTTTGCTTGCCCTCGCAGTCAGACGCCTTGCGTCAGACAGTGACATTTCAGATCATGCTGGAGGTCGTCAGAGGTGTGAGCAATGGCTTCACACGTCGTGTGCTCAGCCTCGTCAGATCCTTGGATGGAGGCCACAGCTCCAATGGAGATGGCTGCATCGACGGCAGCAACAGTAAGGCGGACGAATTGCAGGAAAGTCAGTGGTCTGCGAGAGCCTTGGCGTTTCAGGTTCAGGGTCGACGGTTCAACATTTAAAACGCTGGTTTCTGGGGTCTTACTGTAACTACTGGGTTTTGCAGTTTGACTTTTTTGTTAAGAGTTGCACGAGGGCATCCAGTATAGCACCGTTTCGGACGTGAGGTTTTAGAGGCTCGACTAGGTTGGAGGGGTTAATGTTGGAAGCTGATTAAGAAACACTGGGCCTTTAACACCCAAATAATAGGGTTAATACAAGGAACCCTAATAAATCAAGGCCCAAGGTTTCGTAATCAGGTTCCTACGTTACCCTGCGGAAGGGTCTTGCAAAGCGAGGTGTAGGAACCCTTAAAGGAACCTTTAAGGGAACCTTTCAAGGAAGCCTTAAAGGAAGCCCTTAAAGGAACCCTTAAACGAAGCTTTAAGGGAACCCTTGAGGGAACGTGTACAGAAACCCACAATGGAACCCCATCGGTTTCTTCAGGAGGAGCCCGAACCCGAGGTTCCTGAAGTGCCCGTGTCTGAGGCCGGTCGAAGCTGAGCTCTTTCAAGGGAAATGGGGGTTTCCCAAAATTAGGGGTACCTTATTTGGAGGTCCTTGTAGTATGGATCCTACTATTTAGGGAACTATATTAGGCCCCAAAAAAGGACATAAGCATAAGCATTTTGTAGCGATATCCCAGCCTTAGGGCTTCATTATAAGGGGGTTTATATGGGATATCCCTATCCTAATTTTTGGGGGCCCTATTCAAGGGAAAGGGCTTGGGGTTTGGATGTTTAGGATTGTGGCTTGAGGGTTTAGGGCTGACGGTTTTGGGTTGAAGGTTTGGGGATTTAGGGCATAGGGGTTTTGGCTTTTGGGCATTAGGGGGTTGCAGGGTTTAAGGCTGAGGGTTTCGGGATATAAGTGGAGCTTCATGGGTAGTTACAAGTGGGGGTTTGTAAGTGATCTGATGACAGTTATGAGTATGGTTGTCTGACTTATATTCGCTAACTACCCATGAACCTCCAAGTAGGGTTTCGGGATTCAGGGGCGTACAGGGTCTAGGGCTTGGAGAATTCGGCTAGAGTTGAGGGTGTAGCATGTAGATTTTTGGGGCTTAGGGTTTCGGAGTTACGGGATTTAAGGGTGTTGGGTTTAGGGCTGTTTAGGGTCTAGGGCCCAAGTGCGCTTCATTACTCAACTTATTGGCCGTTCTTCCAGGGCTGTTTAGGGTCAAGGGTTTAAGGGTTTGGGTTTGAGGTTTAGGGGCCGTCTGGAAACGAGCAACTCCTTGGTGCGAGCTTCTCGCGTCCTCCTGTGAGCAGGTTGCGGTTGCATTGCCTGAGATTGACGGCCACTTTCCGCTCACTTCCATTAAGTTTGTGTGAGGCTTCGTTGCAGGGCCTCGAGGCAGTGCAGCTCCTGAAAAGAAGCGGATGCCCCCGAACGCAGAGTGACGTTCTATCATAAGAGCGTTCGCGGGCTCCAGGAAACACGGGTTCTGGGCATGTCAGCCCTGCTGGAAATACAGATCCGCGGCAAAGATACCTCAACACCCCAAAGCCCCAAACGCCAGGTGCCTCAAGATCCGTGACATCCTTGACCCATAGCCCCAAACCCCACGTAAGGTACTTCCAAAACTCAGCCTACTCGTTGTCCCTGAGCCGCTAAGTACGGTACCCAGAGGGTTCATAAATACTACCATTATGGAGTTAGGTCCGCAAAACCATAGTAGAGATGGTCTTTTGGTTGGGACCTTATTCCATAATGGTAGTATATATGGACCCTCTGGGTAGGCCCTAAATTCCTAAACCCCTAAATCACAAACTTGAACCACTAAATAGCACACGCCCTTAAAGCCCTAAACCGCTAAGTACGGTATGTCTGTACAGTACAGACAGAACCCCAAACCCGTAAACCCTGAGTCCAGAATCCTAAACCTTAAAACTCTACTTGTGGATATGCTGCCAAGGCCTACTAAGTTGTAAGTATGCTGTAACGCCTAATAGCCTGACCTTGAGGGTCCAAGTGCCAAATAATCATATACTTACCCAAATACTAGCCTACCTAACTGCTATCCTAAGCCCGAGCAGTTACCTAAGTACTGGGTCCTTTGGACCCTCTGGGTAAGCCCAAGCCTCTCCAGCCCTAAACCCCCTACCTGAACCCCCAAAGTAGGTAAAATCATGGCCCAGCACCTATGAAAAGGCCATTATTCTACATGCTTTGGGGGTCCAGGTAATCACCACAAGCCCTGAGCCAGAATCTCTGATTTCCAGGCCACCGTGGAGGAGGTGAAACCCGCGGAACCGAAGGCATCCTACTTAAACAGAGTTAAGGATTTATGCGGTTAGAAGGGGCCCCCACCCTGTAATAGCGGAATAATGGGAATGTAATAGGGCCCTAATATAATCCTTAATAGTCACTATTACAGGGTGGGGGCAGCTTCTAATTTATGGGGTTTAGGGGTTTAGGATTCTCGTGGTTTTTGGGTGCTGCTCGACGTCTGCATAGGGCTTCACAAGTGTTTTACGTGGTTCCCTAAGGGTCCATGTACCCAAATAGTATATACCTTGGCCCCAAAGTACCTATATAGGGATTACTTTGCGGCCAAAGTATATCCTTTTGGGGTACATGGACCCTTAGGGGTTCTGTAGCCACCATGGTTCTTGTCGGGGCGTGGTATCGTTTTGAATGTCGGGTTTGGAGTTCGCAAGGGTCTGTCACTGTCGGAGTTCAGAGGCGTTTTGTGGGTCTTATCTTTCGGGTTTAGGGTTTTATGCTGATACAGAGGAATCCCAAAGGAATGGTTGCAGTCGGCAGCATGGCGCCCTGCACCAACCAATGCGGTACCCGTAGGAGCCCCTTAGAGGCGACTCAGCTGGTGGGGCTAGCAGTAAGGTAATTTAATACCCTGAGGCTCTAAGGACTCATATAGGGTTCCTTTAGAGGGATCTATAACGGGGGTTCCTTTAAAGGGACCTATAGGGTTTAAGGCTCTAAGGACTCATATATTAAGGCTTTTGGGCCCAAAGACCATACTAGATAAGGCTTTTGGGCTTTTCGAGCCTTAGGGATAGGTAGAGCTGATGTTTCGCTTACTCGCAACCCGGGCCAAAATACATGGGTGGTTGTCAAAATCATGGTCCCTATTTGGGTCCCTCTTGTAGTATGGCACCTCTTCTTTGGGTACCCAAACAGGGGCCATGATTTTGACAACCCCCCACACGTAAGCCTACGTTCTCAGTCCCGCCCAGAGAACCCAATAGCCCTTAATTAAGGAATAATTATGGCTTAAACCATAATATGAAGCCCCATATCATTTAAGCCAGATTCCTTAATTAAGGGGTATTGGGCTCTCTGGGCGTGATGCCCCGAGTACGGGCTTCGATCATTCCCACTTGCGCACAGGACGAGCCGACGACGACTGGTGTGGCTGACGAGGAGCGTTAGTCAAAGGGGAAAAGGAGGGACGCTTAATGGGGACCCCCGCCCTATAATGGGCTATTTAATGGGTATATAATAGCTATATTAAGGGTATATATGTAGGGTCCTTATTAAGGGTCCCTCCTTTGAGTTAGGGTTAGGGTTTACTTAAATTGGGGTTAGTGGTTTCGGGCTTACAGGGTGCTTAGAGGTTTTGAGGGTTTCAGTCAAAGTTTAGTCAGTGCCGTTAAGGAGTTTAGTTTTTCTTGTTTTTGGAAAGGGGGGGTTAGGGTTTTGCATTTTCGCATCCCTACACGGGCTACTGGGAAGATGGGGGCTGATGAAGGCTTTCTTAAGGGGGGAACTGAAACTCTGTATATACAGGTAGATATCATGCATGGTCGCTATTCAAATTCGGAGTGCTTATTGACTGAGGCACCATGTCCTTTCGCGTCTAACAGCAATCTTGAGATGAAGGAGCTCAACAGATGATTTTGGACGCCCTAAGCCTAAAACCTTCAACTCAAAGGGGAAAAGAGGGACCCTTAACGGGGACCCTTACCCTATAATGGGCTATTTAATGGGTATATACTAGCCATATTAAGGGTCTATACCTAGGGGTCCTTACTAAGGGTCCCTCCTTTTCCCCGTTGATTAACCAAAAACATAGACCTTAGAACTTACACTGGGGGTGTATACTCTCGAGTCTATGATTTGCTGAGAGTCCCTGAACTGTACAGCAGTGAAGAGTGCGTGGCCTCTTCTGGGCGCGCCTTACTTGGAGGTTCATGGGTAGCTGTAGGTACTATGGGCATCCTACCTATACATAACACTATTGACTATACCTTCAAAATCCTAAACCCTAAACCTTGCAAATCTAAGTACTTGGCCGCAGACCTCGATGATCGCATTCCTCAGGCAGCGGTGGTCCTATGTTTCAAGACCACCACCCTAAACCTCCAAACCCCTAAACCCTAAACCCCTAATCTCCTAAACTCCGAAACCCCCAAGCCCCTAAACCTCTGAACCCCTGAAACTCTAAACCTCTAAACCCCTAAACCCTAAACCCCTAAACACCGAAACCCCTGAACCCTAAGCTCCAGAGCCGGATCTGGCCGGATCCCGAGGTCGTTCCCAGCCTCTACGACTCCTAAATCCAACATCATCAGACTTTCCAAAACCCCTTAATCAAGGAATATATATATATATATATATATATATATACTTTAAATCATATTAGGGATCCTACTATGATGTAAGGTATATTTCTTAATTAAGGGATTTTTGATGGTCTGGGTCCTCAGGCTCTTCCTGGGAGACCCGTGGCGCCAAAAACCCTACCCTAAAACCTTATACCAACCAGGACCCTCCTTGTGCCCTCAAATAGGGGGTATATGGCACCAAATAAGGGGCATTTAGGGTCTAATAGAGGGTAAATGGACGGTCTAGGAAAGCCGAAATCCTACATAATGTAGGGGCCTTAGTACTTAGAATAGGTTTCTGGGGGCTCCTTCTTAGAGTTATGGATGATAGTATAGTACAGCCCAAAGCCCGAAAGTCTATGTAAGTGTGAGGACTTCGATGTCTTCGGTGTTGCCGATGTCCTGGATGTGGGCAATGGTGAGCCGTGCATGACCCAGCCCAGTTCTTTTTGCAGTTTCACGAGATCTTGGAGGTTTAGAGCACTTCGGGTGATAATGTAGGAGCCTGATTAAGAAACCTTGGGCCTTTATTAGGGTTCCGTCCGTATATGAATCCCACTATATTGGGGATTTTAGGCCCCGGGTTTCTTAATCAGCTTCCTACATTACTATAGCACCCTGTCCCTTATAGATCCCTTATACTAACCCTTATAGACCCCTTTAAAGGAACCCTAAGTCATTAGATTGCATTTCAGGGCTGATTTTGGCAGACAAGGCCGATCCGTTCACTCCGAAGCCTAGGTTTGCAACTAGTTCCCCTAGTATTAGTATTAGTATTTAGTATTCGTATTAGTATTAGTATTAGTATCAATTATGAGCCTTAGCATTAGTACTAGCTCCCAAAGCTCAACCCGTCTACTACTGCAGGCGGAGGAGCAGGGGACTTAGAAAGTAAGGGGATTGGCACTGTGGTTGCTTTACTTGCAGCCTTGCTGACTAAGTCGCTTGATCCTTACCGTCATGAGTGCTTAATTACACAGTCGAAGCTTGACTAACTTGGAAAGTATATCGGGGAAGGGCTTGAAGGGTTTTTGAGATCAGATGTAGACGGCTACATACCTGTATATATATATATATATTTATATTTGTATTTCATATTTATATGTATGTGTGTGTCACAAACCTAAGCCCGGTGCATAGAACTTATTTCAAGACAAGCCTCATTCCAAAGACCCAACACTTACCACACGCCTCATCAATTCTACCTTGGCAGCCCCAAACACTTCTTTTCCGAATTATACAAGTCCATCTTGCCACCGAAACCTGTGTTCTCAGGTAGATCTCCGGGTTCCCACCGGTTTACTGCTTGCATTTTGCGCCGTCCCGACTCCGATGCTTGCTTTGCTCAAAGATGGCACAGTGTGGAGGAGGAAGTACGTAAGGTGGAGGATTGTAGAGTGCAGGATTCTTAGGCCGTTTAGAGGAGGACGATTTGCGGTGGTAGGGCTGTTAGGTAGGTGCGTCTTCTGTGTTTATCTTCTTATGCTTGGTGATTGTGGGCCGTCTGAGGGGTACTTAAGGAATCAGTGTACCTAGTAAGTAAGATTAAGCAAATCAAAATAGAACTACGAGCATAGATGATTGTCTCCAGACTCTTAGTACCAAGTCCCGGGATCAAAGCGCTCTTATTGAATCTGATTCGTACCGCTTGGTGTTCTGTTGCTCACGGCCTGCCATCGTTCAGGGTTTAGGTCCAGGTGTTAGGGTGCTGCGAGGTGTACAGTAGTATGTCTCTTCATCTCTCTGTGGCCCTGATGAGCGGTCGATCTGCTGACATCATAGCAACCAGGGAGACCACGCTGGCAGAGTTAAGCAAGCAAGCGCAGGACATGCTGCAAGTTCGAGGGGTCTTGATGCACAGCGGTCAGGTGATGAGTTTGGCATCAACAGTCGGAGAGGCCGGTCTGGAAACCGGCGACATCTTGACTTTGCACATGAGGTCTGTCACAGTTGCTGCTACAATCCGATCCTTTGCAGCCGTTTTGGCAGATGGATCCGTGGTGAGCTGGGGCGATCCCGAAACTGGTGGTGACAGCAGTGCCGTGGAGGGCGAGCTGAAGAGTGTGCAGGTCATGAAAACGAATTTGTTTGCGTTTGCCGCGATCGTGTCGGATGGTACCGTCGTGACCGGAGGACATCCCAAATTTGGTGGGGACAGCAGTTCCGTTCGTGAGCAGCTTAACCATGTGCAGTACGTCCAGGCCACCCAGGCTGCATTTGTGGCTGTCCTGGCAGATGGATCTGTCACGACTTGGGGAGAACCCATCGCTGGTGGTGACAGCAGCGCTGTTGCGGGCCGGCTTAAGAACGTGCAGCGCATCCAGGCCAATGATAGAGCCTTTGCTGCCATTTTGGCTGATGGATCTGTCGTGACTTGGGGTGATCCCGATTATGGTGCCGACAGCAGTGCAGTTGGAGGCCAGCTGAGGAATGTGCAGCACATCCAGAATACTTTCGGAGCCTTCGCTGCTATCAAGACAGATGGATCCGTCGTGACATGGGGTTTCTCTGGTATGGGTGGCAACAGCAGTGCAGTCCAAGACCAGCTGCGGAATGTGCAGCATGTGCAGGCCACGAAACGAGCGTTTGCTGCCATTTTGGCAGATGGATCGGTCGTGACATGGGGCGAAGATGTCAAGGGTGGTGACAGCACTGATGTCCTTCACCGGTTGAGGAGTGTACGTGCTATCCAGGCCACATTCTTTGCTTTTGCTGCCATCTTGGCGGATGGATCAGTGGTGACTTGGGGCGATCCCTATGCTGGTGGCGACAGCAGTTCTGTGCATGAGCAGCTAAGACATGTGAAGTACATCCAGTCCAATAACGATGCCTTCGCCGCCATTTTGGCAGATGGATCTGTCGTAAGCTGGGGGGCGCCGAGGTCTGGCGGCGATTGCAGTGCTGTCTGCGAGCAGCTGAAGGATGTGGAGCAAATCCAGGCCACCGACTGCGCCTTTGCAGCTATCCGCGCAGATGGATCCGTCGTGACCTGGGGCGAGCCCGACACCGGTGGTGACAGCCGTGCAGTCGAGAAGCACCTCCGGAATGTTCAGCATATTCAGGCCACGTGCTCTGCCTTTGCTGCTGTCTTGGCCAACGGATCCATCGTGACCTGGGGAAGATCTGACGAAGGCGGTGACAGTAGTGATATCCAGTCACGCCTTCCTTCCATGTCTCCGGCATGAGAAAACTGGTCAATGTTTGGGGTGGGTTGCACGTCTTCATATTAGCCCCGCCAAGGTGGCAGGGATGTCGAGGATCATGCTACCATGGAGCCGGTCATGGAATTTGGGCTTGAGTCCAAGGGTAAAAGGAGGGGCCCTTAATAAGGACCCCTAGGTGTATACCCTTAATATAGCTATTATATACCCATTATATAGCCCCATTATAGGGTAGGGGTCCCCATTAAGGGTCCCTCCTTTTCCCTTTTGATTGAGGGTAGGAGCTAAAGTTGTGTCCGGCTTAGGGTTCCAGATTTAGGCTACCTTTTTGGGGTTTAGGGTTTAGGGGTTTAGGGTTTAGGGTTTAGGGGAAGTAGCAAGTGCGGCTAGAACAGGAACAACGGGTCGAACTAGCTTACATATCAAGTCATAGTTGAGGTACTTGTAAACTTATAACCCTTCCACGCTGTTTACTTCAAGATAAGAGGACGATATGTGGGTCTTGCAAGGTACATCGGTTCTACTTTCAACCCTGCTTACACCCTGGTCATCAGGATTTGCTGAGGGTAGACGCCCCTGGTTCTTTGCTAAGGCATGGGCTTGTTCAAGAACCCTGGACCTCTGCCTACATCCCAATCCCTGAACCCATTACTCCCGGGCGCTTATTGGGGAATGGGGGATTGGATTGTGGGGACTACTATTGGGGATTATATAGGGCCTACTACAAGGATCCACTCCCTAAGCACCAGACAGATAATCTGAAAGTACAGCTGCTTTCGAACCCTTCTCAAGGCTTTGCAGCCAGTTCTGCATTCCAAGTTCCAAAACCCCGAACCCGAGATCTCAAACCCTGAAGAAGCTTTTTGGAGCCCTTACAGACCCTCTATAGAACAATTAAAAACAGATCTTAGAGGACCCTCATCGAGCCTTTCAGGGGCCCCTAAGGAACCCATCTAGAACTTCATGGAATGACGCCAAGGCTCTGCAGCCAGTTCTCCTGGGAAGATTGGATCCTCCTCAGCCTGCGCGTGGAGCTGTATCTCATGGTCCACTCCTTTCGGAAGGACCTCCAGGTTTTAGGGTTTAGGTTTTAGGAAGGGTTTAGGGGTTGGGGGTTACGGATAATGGTTGTAGCTTATGGACCACCTTTTTTTTGTGAGGACCTTGGGGAAGGGCTGCGTCCAGGCAAAAGAGGAGCCTCTAGGGTGTTCCTAAGCATTTATTAGTGTAGGGAGTGGTACCTCATGGTCCACTCCTTTCTCAAGGACTGTCAGGGATCAGTTGGTGTTTATGGTAGCTTGAAGCGCGTGGCTGGTAGGCGTTTCTAAACGGGGCAAACGGTGCTTAGAACCCGAGCCTCATCCCTCCTGATCCTCTTAGGAAGCTTCGAAAATGAAAAAACTTAAGGTTCCTGTCCTAAAGCTTAGGTAAATCCCACCGAATTAGAACCCGAGCCTGAGCCCTCCGAGTAGACTAAAGCCCTGGACAGCCTCGAACGGTTTCGATTCCTGTCCTTAGTCCCAAAGTCCAAACCCCCTAGGTAAATCAAATCGCCAAAACAGCCTACCCCTTGGCTCCCTTGAACCCCGCAATCAAAAGGTTTAGTTTAGGGTTTAAGGTTCCTTTAAGCTTGCCAAAAAGTGTTTTGGGGAATAACCCGGGGGTGCTACAAGACTTGAAGTGCCAAATCCGGGAAGGAGGCCTAGCCACGAATCTCTGACGTTCAACAGCCCCGATCCGCAATCGTTTTGACACCGGCTATAGCACTTACCAACCGTCAAACCCCGAAACCCCAAGCACTACCCTCAACCCAAAACCTCACGTCGTAAAGCTGGGTCAGGCGGCTTCGTAATTTAAGTTGAGTGTTATCGGCAACCATATCCCTAGAGTTTAGGGTTTCTGAACCCTACTGACTAAGCCACCCCTACCTTCAAGAGAAAAGCCTAGCAAGCCTTTAATGAAGCCTTCAAGCTCCTTTTGCAACCCTAAAGCCCTAAACCCTAAACCCTAAACCCTAAACCGTAACTCTACTTGCTACAACCCCGTCGAAGAGGATTGCACCGACCCCGACCGTCCGGGAATCCATGTGGATAACGTCCCCTTCTACTACAACAGGCTGTGTTGTAGCCGGTGCAGGGGTGGATTTTCAGGGTGTAAGGTGCTGGGGTTATTCGCTTTTGGAGTTGCATGTTTTTCTGTTTTAGCGGCGGGTCAGTGTTTGGGGGTCCTGATGGCCTTCGGGTATTGAAGAGTATTCGGGGCTTCGTGCTTTGTTCATGCCTTAGGAGCAAGGCAGCAGGCACAGGCGAGTCAAGCTGCATCACGGAGAACGATTCGGAAGAGCACTGCATTGAGACCATCTGCAGATGCCGGGGCTGTACCAGAAACAATGAACAATCCTAATCCATAAATCAATTCGGTACCTGCCGATAAACTCGACAAACCCTAAGCTGCTACCACCACTGCCAGAAATAACACACTAGGCATCGTTCCTAGGGAGCAGTTTCAATTTGGTTGCACGTGCACGCAGAACACTTTACTTCGGACATTATATGAAGCCTGGCTTCCCCAAGACTGCTTTAACCTGCCAGAACGTACTTGCACACTTTCTTGTGTAATTATAGGGCCCCAACGTCAGAAGATTCAAATCAAGTAGGTTCGGGTTGGATACGGTAGCCTTGAAAACTCTTCCTTTTCGTCCTCAGCCTGCAGTTAAGGGTATAGGGTTCAGGAGGTTTCTGGGTTTAGGGGTTAAGGTTTAGGGATTCGGGTTTAGGGCCTAGGGTTTAGGGTCTAAGGTTTAGGGATTAGGGAAGGGGTGTAGGCTAAAGAACTCATAGCTCCAAGCAGTATGGAGTGCGCCTGAGTAGTCACCACCCCGTCCCTCGGAAGGACGATAGCAAGGATAGGTGGACTTTGGATTACAAATATGTCTGCCCGGACCGTCCAGAAGAGGAATCCCAAAATTAAGGAGGTCCTTTTTAAAGAACTCAGTATTATAGGGTACCAACCTAGGAAATCTATTTTTGCAGCCTCCCGAGGTCTGGGTGCAAGAATAGGGTGTGATAGTCTGCGGCTTGTGGTGAACTGTGCGTCAAATTGGCAGGTATTTCAGGAAGACGTTCGCGGCAGCAGCCCCAGATGCCGTTCATGTCTTCTAGCACACACGTATAGGATGTAATCTAGTATCTGCTCAGCCGGCTTCTTGGAAAGTTTGAGGGCCACCGCGGAAGCCCAACTCCCTACAAAACTAATATAATTACCCAAAATCCTGGCAGGATCCGAAAAGTAGATTTTGTAATTTGGGTCCCTACCCTACTTGGAACCCAGTAGATCCTCGAATTCGGGACCCTGTCCCACGACAGGGTACCTTGTGCGGTTGATGACATGAATCCTGCATTACAGCTAACAAGGAAGATACCATAATTCCTCTGGTTCAGGGTCCCTTAGCTGAACGTCATGCACGATTTATATCATCAACTGTAGGAAGTTCTTGAGCAATATCCCGTTCCACCACCGGTCGGTTCTGGGCAAGCCCGCCCAGACCTTCCAAAATCCCTTAATTAAGGAATATACCTTAACTCATATTCGGGATCCTACTATGATTTAATGTATATTCCTTAAATAAGGGATTTTGGAAGGTCATCATAATTGGGATCCTACTGTAATTTGAAGAGTATATTCCTGAATGAAGGGATTTTGGAAGGTCTAGGCGTGAAACCAAGCTACCGAAACCACCAGCTCCACCTTCAGCCGGCTGCCGACTCTGGCGTTTTATCTTTGTGGTCGGAATAAGGGAGTTTTTTCCAAAAATGGGGGGGGTACCTTCTTTTGGGGTCCCTTTAGTAAGGATCCTATTGTTTAGAGTACTATACTAGGGTCCCCAATTTTTGGAAACTCCATAATTTCGTACTGATCTCCCCTGATGTGCTTTTCTACGAGTGGTACCTATGTAGAGATTCAGGGTTTAGGGTTTACGGATTAGGGAATCCTAAACTTGAGCCCTACACCGCCTACACCCCAGACCCGATAAGTTGCCCAGCAACGCTCTTCCAGAAATTAAGGCCCCTAGTCTTGGACTCTTATATAATTGTATAGTTGTCAAGATTAGGGTCCCTTTTTGGGTACCCTAAATAAGAGGTGCCGTACTACAATAGGGACCCCAAAAAGGGACCATAATTTTGACAACCACCCATATCCCAGAGGGTCCACATACAGTACTATTATGGAACTAGGTCCCCCAAAAACCATAATGGGGATGGTCTTTTAGGGCCTAATTCCATAATAGTAGTGTATATGGACCCTCTGGGTATGGAGCCGTTTAAGGAACCCTGTTCTGGCAAGTAAAAGGCCAAACTTCAGGCCAAAGCATCCGGCTGAAGGTCACGGTTTAGAATGTTCAGGACTTTAGGGATAAAGGCTTCGGTTTTTAGGATTTCGGGGTTTGAGGTTCAGGACTCAGAGTTTCGAGTTTAAGACTTCAGGTAGGGTTTAGTTTAGGGTTTAGGGGTTTTTAGGGCTTAGGGTTTTAGGGTTACGGTTTCGGGTTTAGGGATCTCAGGGCGGGTTTAGGATACAAGACTTCCGGGTTGAGGAATTCAGGAATTAGTGCGGGCGGTGCATCCGCAGCCCAGGCGAACCACTACGGCTTCGAAGCGAACGAGAAGGTGATCGATCTTGTCAAGGCCATTTTAGCTTAGGTTTGAGGGTTTAGGGCTTAGGGCTGTTCGGGGTTGAGGTTTGAGGGTTTAGCGTCCGGAGTGTTGAATGCACTTGCTCTGAGATCGTATATGATGATATACGGGGCTTCTACCCCAAAAAATGTGCTCCCCAATTCCTCAACTTCTCGACCAGGGTACGAATCGCAACGCTTGCGTTTACGAATAGGAATCTGCAGGGCTTGCAGATTCTTAAGGCCGTGTGCCCGACAAGCAATTCTTATACTGTATCGACTGGGGCTTTAGGCTCAGTTACCCACTTGGATCTTTAATGTTATGTGACGTACAAGGCTCACGCCCTTACGAGGAAGACGCATCTTCTTCAACCATCATCCTGCTAGCATGTCCACAAAACTCTATAGCAACCCCCAGAACCCGCCTTACTGACCGTAGTTCTAGAGCAACGGTCAGTGACATAAATCCTGCACTACCCATAATAAGGAAATATACCGTAGCTACCATAGTTCAGGGTCCTTAAGGTAGTGCAGGATTTATATCAACCGAAGGAGGACTCTAGACCCCTTTAGCCGCAGCAAGGGTCAGGATGTGGGGATTTAGGTTCGATGTTTTGGACTCTGGGGGTTTAGGCTCCAGCGGTTCGGCTTAGGATTCGGGATGATTTAGGGAATGTTAGGGACACAGTGACCTCGATGCTAGGTAGGCCTGACAAAACCCAGAAGCTAAACCCTAAAACCCTAAACCCTCAAACCCCAAACCCTAAACTCCTAAACCCCCTAAACCCCTAAACCCTACAACCCCAAACCTCAAAAACCCCTAAACCCTAAAACCCCAAGCCCTTAAACCCTAAACCTTGGACTCGGGCGCTAGCTTACACCCCCAACAGACCTCCGGATCCTCCATATTAGAGGACTTGTAACCCCACTTATAACTACCCATGAACCTCCAAGTATACTGTAGATAGGCCAAAGAACCCACCTCTATCCTTCAAGCAAGACATTGAAACAGGACTGTGGGTGTATGTTTATAATAGACATATGACAGCATCATGCATTGAACCTGCATCCCGAGCATGCACTTGCCTTGCAGAACTCATCACCACCTCGAACCCAAGCGTTCTAGGGTTTAGGGTTTAGGGCTTTGCGCTCTTATTGTTTTTCTTTTTTGCGCTCAACGAAACCCATTATAACTTATGGCTCAGACTCAAGACTAACTTGAACTAGGGGGTTTGCAGGCATCCCGCAACATCCCCCCATTGTAGGGCAATGGGTTCAACAACGGCTTGTTTTAAGAGACCTACCATGACGAAATCCTGAACCGCCGGATCCAAAACCGTAAAGGGTCTGGGTACAGGACACGGTGTCCCTGGGCGAGAGGAACATGTTGACCCCAGAGCTCGGCGAGGCAATTCCTGGCCCATGGTTTTTTGTACAGGATTTCGTGTCCTGATGGAGCAAGCTTCATGATGGTTTCAGGTTTATTGTGCGTTTCATCTTGCGCTTTTTGGTGGCTCAAGAGTTGTAATCGTGCTTACAATGCTTCAACGGCTGAAGCAGGTTGTTCGGGTTTAAAGTCTTGGATACAAGGGTTTGTTCTTGAGGTGTTCCAGGGCTTTGCATCCGTAGCGGCCAGTTGCTTTACAACATGCAGTATCTCGCCAAGTACGTTTTGGATACTATTTTGGGGCTTACCTATAGACTGCTTGAAACCCTTCGGCAAATCGCTAAGATTCGATCCTACCAGCCCTACCAGTTGGTCTAGCGATGCTGAAGCTTCGTAGTCTCTCCCAACTCCTAAGTTGCAAAACTCTGACCCTACATCCGAATACCTAATTTCTAGATGGATTGAATCATAGGTCTTCGGCTGTACATTTCTTGGCTCATGTGGGCCACTAGGTTAGGGCTTGAGGTTTGTGGAGCTCGGGGTTGCTTAGGACCCAGGATGTTTATGGGGCTTCAACCCAAGCTCTATGTAAACCCTAAACCAGAACTAGGGCTCGTAATGATTGGAATGGGCCCCTGGGGTTTATTAGAGTGTCGTTGTATAGCCCTAAATCCTGAAGAACCTGAGTAAGTCTGCACTAGTCTAGAATATAGGAACGGAAGGGAAATGCGGTCTAAATATTGAACCTCAAACAAGTTAAGATCAAGGGTTCGATTTGCCGATATTTGCATATTAACATATATTTGGTCCAGATCCGCTGAAGTAGTAAGAAAATCATTAGTCGAACTGGACATCCAGGCAAACAGCATCATTCATGAGTTCATGTAATGCAAATCGACGGGTGAACGAAGCTTTCACGGCATGTTTCCGGATCCTAGAGTGTACAAACATTTGACATACGTGCTCATTGCACCGGTCTAGTAGGCGAATACTGCTGATAACTGAGAACGCAGATGATGATGACGGCCTTGCTAGCTGCTACGCAACCAATCATGGTGATACGCATTATGGTGACAGCCTTGGTGAAAAGCGTCAGTTCGTGTTAAATCAAGCTGTGACGTGGGACAAGGACTTTGGCTATGTGATATAAGAATATTTACGTGAGGCAAGTACCCTTAAATGCAGGAATCCGTGGGCTTGGGGAGGAGGGGGGGCACGTAGCAGGTATACTGATGGTTGCATAGTTGTTTGTATAATATAGTATTATATATATATATATGTATGTATGTATGTATGTATGTATCTATGTATGTATGTTCATATTATATATATATATATATATATATATATATTTATATACATGTTCAGCAAGATATTTTGTGGAAAGCAGGCTTGGACTGTTTCATGATGAAATATGTCCTGATGTATATTCCCATCTCATGTCACTTCACACCAAGTCAAGAAACACACCCTGCCATAGGTGCCGTATTTGGCCATGTCAAACCGTTTAGAACACGCCATATCATGTCATGTAACATCACCTACAGCTCATATACCGCTTGATTTCATTTCATATCATACCATCTCGCATTCTTGGAACAGACTATACTAGTTCGTAGCATATTGCATCATGCTAGTTACAAAAAGCAGGCGGCGGCCCTTTACGGTACAAGATGCTTTGTCATCTTAGCAAAGCCACATGATACTATCTGATGTTATCTGTATTGCATTCTGTGTGTTGTATCAAAGTCACATTTGTAACTGTTGGAAAATCCATAGTGTGATAATGCTAGAGCCTAGACTTAGTAGCTGGGTGGATACACTTTATACTTTTGGGGATAATACTACCCACTATAAAAGGAAAAGTGTACACATTTGGGGGCTTATGAATTCAGCAACTAAGTATAGTTAAGGTGAAGCCCCAACAGGAGCTGGATAACTTCGACCTCTTCTTGAAGCTGACAGAAGAGGGCCGCCGAGAGCGGGAGCTGATGCTCGGCTTGGCTTTTTGTTTCTTGGAGTTGGGGTTTGGGGCTTAAAGGGAACTCCAGAAAGTTGGAATATGGTTTCATGGTAGGATACCCTATAATCTACCATAGAAGGGTTAGGATAATCATATTCCAACTGTCTGGCTTTTACCTTATTGTCTTGTTTAAGGTTTAGGGTTTATGGCTGGGCTTCTTTTTGCTGGGGTTGAAGGTTTGGGGCGTTTCTTATTTTAGGGTGTTAAGGTCTGGGCGTTTAAACTCTTAGCGGTTTAGGGGTTCAAGGATGTTGAGGGTTTGGGGTGTATTGTCTGTTTCAGGTGTTTAAGGTCTAGGGGCCTAGGGGCTTAGGGCCTGTACTTGGGGTTCAAGGGCTTGGCTTCTTTTAGCTGGGGTTGAAGGTTTGGGGTGTTTGTCATTTTAGGGTGTTAAGGTTTAGGTGTTTAAACGTCCAGCGGTTTAGGGGTTCAAGGATGATGACGGTTCGGGGTGTATCAAACGTAGGATGCCCCAGGAACCCTTAAGGCCAGAATAAGGGGTCATTTAAGTGTTCCTTTAACGGAGAAGAGGGTTCTATGAGCCTTGAGGGGTTATGTAGTAGGTGCTTTGAGGCCAAAAGTATATACTAGAATGCCCAGTAGTACCCTTTTTCCCTTTTTGTAGTCCTAGGTTCCCTATAAAGTTACCCAATACCAAACAGGAGCCCTTTATTCCTAGGTTGCTGGGCATCCTAGAAAATGTCCCAAGCCATCCGAAGCCCGTCTAAAGCCCTGAAACGACCGTTATAGAACCCTTCAGAAAAAGATTTGTATGGAACCTTTCTAGGATCTTATTATAGAACTTCTCCTTTAAAGGGATCTATAGGGGATTCCTTTTGCTATAAGCCCAAAGAGTTCAACTTTTGGGGGTTTGCTGTAGACGCTTGGTATCTACTTTTGAGCAGCTCATAGTCTGTATCGAAAGTGCCTTGGGAAAGTGCTATGTGATGCCCGGACTCTGTACTTCTATCAGGGCACCTTTGAAGAAGTAAGGTTCTAAGTTCATTCAAGGGGGGTTAGCTTCAGTTGCCTCACCACGACCCTGAAATGTGGTACTTCTTTTGCTATCACAACGAGAACCTAGAAAAGGTTACTACGTCTATAAGGGTCTAGGTATACTGTTCAGCTTACTTGCCACGCCCCTATCTCATCGATTAGACCGTGAGCTCAGGAACATTGACCTGGGTGTGCACCTGCCACGCTTGCGGAGGTTTAGATGTCCACGCTTCTGGCTCGGGGGGCCCCAGGCTTTAAGGTCATAGAAGTGATGATGAAATTCCTGCACTACCTTAGGTACTCTAAGCTATGGGAATTATATCATATTCCTTACTATGGGTAATGCAAGGTTTATTACATCAACAAAGAAGTGTAGAAGTCTATGGATGTACTTGTCGATCACAATACAGTAAACCTCATAAGGTTGGAAACCGGATTAAGGCCACATAGTGCTGGAATTCCCCATGGTTCAGGGTATCACCAGTCAAAACAGGGGGCGGGTGGCTCCTTAGGCGTATTGAAAGCGTTTGGTCTTACTCGGAGCCATCACATCGAGCACCTGGCATGCAAAACCAACCGGCACGTTGATCGGCCGTCGAACACGGATACCACACCTAAATCGTAGAAGTCCTATATTGATGTTGAAGATTTTAAGGGTCAAGGATTTAGGGTGTCAGGGTTTAAGTTTGGGTGTTCCTTAGGACAGGGCTTTTTGATTCTGCTCAAACAAACACCAGGATGCCCAGTAGCACCCTTACTCCCTTTTTGTAGTCCTAGGTTCCTTATAGAGGTACCCAATAATTACCAAAAAGGGTGCCTTTTATTCCTATGTAGGTTACTGGGCATCCTAGAATACAGGAAGATGAGGCGATCCTCAAGTTCAACCAAGCAGTTCTCATGGCCGCGCGCCGAGCATGCGCATGAGTGCATTCAGCGAGGCTTCCCAAAGAGCCCCTAATCCCCCTCAATTAAGGAATATGGGTATTATGATTTCAGCTATATTCCTTAATTAAGGGGTATTGGGTCTCTGGCTTCCCAAAAAGGTCACGGCCAGGAATTTGGGGGTATATCAAAATTGGGGGGTCTAAGTAGAAAGGTTCCTAAAAGGTGGGTTTTGGGTTGTATGGATTTAGGGGGCATCTTTAAGTATTGAGTTGGTGATCGAAACGTTTAGGTATTCGGTGTTCGTGTGCATTGGGAGGCTGGCGCATATTCGAATTCAGCTCTTCAGGGACTGGGGATTTGCTGTTTTGGTTCAGGGTCACATGCAGAAGCATTGCACGATGTTCCAGTTTGGGCAAGCATGGTGGCGCAGCCCAGCAAGGGGCAACCGTGTGTAGAGTGTGGAATCATCAAGAAGAGGAAGCAGATGCTGGTGTCCGAGCAGCATGAGCGCATGAAGATCTGCGTGGATTGCGTGGCTTCGCAGCGGATTGCCGCAGGGCAAAACGTTGACATGGACGAGCTCAAAAAGGAGGCGAGGCAGCAAGCCTTAATGCTAGCACCATATTCGGGAAATGCACAGCTGGCAAGATTGAGAAAAAACGTCTCATTACATTACAGCCCCTACAGAGCTCTACCCGAGTTCATCTAGTTACTGAGATTCCCCCAGGGAATCGAGAAGCCAAGAAGGCTTTCAGGGTTTCCCTTCAAGGAGCGTAGTTCCGTTTCTAGTACAGAGTAGCAGATCGAGGGTTCTTCCTTATCATGACTCGATAGTCTCCTTAGGATTTTTTCGTTCATACAAAACCCAAGAGAGTATTATACCCCAAAACCCTTTTCTGATTATTAAGGTCCCATATTACTTTCTTAATCCTCCGGGGGCCTTTGGGCATCCCGGGAATCGTTAGTCCCAGCTACTGGAGAGGTCGGAATGACTACAGTAAACCCCATAAAGTTCGAAACCGGATGAAGGCCAAATAGTGCTGGGATTCCCCACACGGTACTCTTAAGGACTGAGGCTACTGGGTCTCCAACTATTGGGCTTCTACTGTAGCAAGATTTTTCCTTTCTAGCATGGTTGACACAATGTGTCCCGAAGCCTTCTTCTAACTATGAAGCCCTAAAGGAAACTTCAGAAGGTTGGAATATGGATCAATGGTAGGATCCCCTATAATTTACCTTAAAGGGGTTACGATAATGATATTCCAACTTTCTGGCTTCTACTGTAAACCCAAAGCCTTAAACCTGAAGCCTGAAGCCTCTGCTAGCAGATCCACCCCCGAAGTCTTGAACTTCAGTTTTGTTCAAGCGAAAAAAACGGGGTTCTTTGGGGTGTTTGAGCGATTCCATGGGGGATATGTGATACACGGTGCATGGACATTTTCGAAGCTCCCATAAGGGAAATACACGGCCAACAAAAGGCCTTATTATAGATCAACCTCCCGTAACGATCGATTCCGGTGGCACCTTGCGCACTTCCTTCGGGGATGGCTAGTCTCGGCCATTGACATCAGTATGTTGCGGACCCACCAGCGCCCGGGGCCTGCGACCAGCCCCAGAACGGTCCCACCAACAGGTCCGCACCATGCACAGTCTCGTGGCGGATCGTCCCAATATGTTCTACGATCTCACTCGCATCGGGGACATTCACTTCTATAGCCTCTTCGAGATCATCTTTGATGCCCATGTCATTCCACAAATATGTAAGTAGGCGTATAAACCTCAATCCTCGGATCTAAATAATCACAGCTCGTAATAGCCATACACACGCCTTAAAGCTATGATCCCTCGGGATTTGGGGTTCAGGCGTCAGGGGGTTTCGGCATTAGGGTTTAGGATGGTTCAGGCATTAGGGTTCAGGCTTCTCGAGTTTAGCGGTTAATCAACCAAGTTGAAGAACATATCGCAGATGCAGAAGTCCCTTTCACACTCTCTGGATAGGGCTTGCGTGTGAAAAGCAAACCCGAAGCCCCAAAGTCCAAAGCTAAAACCCTACAAGGCCCTGCGCTCTTGACCCCAAGATTTAGAAAAACTCTAGGCCTTAAACCTCGGGGTACAGGTTGTCTTGCAATCTCACATGTATTGTTGCAGTATTTCAATGAAGCAGCCTTCAAGACTTTTTTGTACTGACCGCGCGTAGTTGTTTTGAGCCCTCATGTGAATTCTGCCCTGTGCCGAGTCGCAACTGCCAATCCCTGGTGGCTCGCAGAACAACAAAGGTGGGGGCCCTCCATTGCTGTAGCTTTCTAGAGGGCGACTAGTCCCTCCCTATAGCCGAAGTACCTGCCTTTTTAGGACTCTTTATTATGTTCTTATGATTGCTATATATAGTGTTCTTTTAGATTGTAGATCTTTTCGGCGACATGTTAACCCACCAGTATCGGTCTCATTGGGTTGTTTTGTCTTTTGGGATGCTTCGGTTCTTCGAGCTGAATGTTTACAAGTGTAAGATGGTGGAACAGACGCAGGTGCCTGAACTTTTATAAGCAGCCATAGCTCGTCGTGCGGCCTTTAGGTAGCGTTTAGGGTTTTAGGGTTTTAAAGTCTTTTTGGAAGGCAGCATACGGGCTGAACTGCACTAACTGTCCCGCTTTCAAGCATTACTTGTCGGGCCCCCGAAAACAAGGCATGCAGTACAAGCCATGACTATCAGTCCCTAAACCTTAGTCGCCCCAGTCAGCCGTAAAACCCTTTACACAAACCTTGATCTCTTGTGCCTGAAGCAGTCGGTCAACCCTTAACCAGAGGGTTTCTTGGCGGACGAGTAGTGCTGCGGTTACGGGTGTTAGCTGGGCCGGGTCTGTAATTCAATAGAACTCTGCTTTGCTGTCATTTTCCTCGCTAAACCAGAAATAAAGCTCGCCAAGCCCCGAACATTCGCTAAGCCCCAGGCCCCAGGCTCCAATTCTGAGAGCCCCAACCCCTAAACCTAACTACGGAAATGATCTTCCTGAGGTCTCCTCTAAACTCTAAACTCTAAACCGTAAACCCTAAACCCTAAACCCTTCTCGTGTCTACTAAGCCCTAACACCCACGCCGCGAGGCTCTGTTCCAGAAGTCTGGGCTTCCAGGCTATGAACCCAAGCCCTTTGTCTGCCCCAGGCTACCAAAAGGGCAAGGAGAAAGGCTACCAAGATCAGAAGGCCGCGAGAGAGTGGGGCTTTCGGGGCGTAGAGCATGTTAATGTGTATAGACTTCTGATTCATACAACCTCTTTCCCATCATAGGGATGATGGTTGGGGTAGTAGTAGGGATTCGAAGATTAGGGTTACTAAAGGAAGGACATTCCAAATCAGGCCCAAACCTCAAAGCCCAAAGCATCACCCAACAGCCCGCAACTGCGAGAGCCACAACGATCGATGTCCCCACATTCTACTTGTGGATCCAATCACAAAGAAAAAACAGTTGGTTATGATTTCCCCGAGTTTTACTTAGGTGCTGTGCAGGCCTTGGGGAGGCTAGGGAAACCAGCCCCTAAGAAAAAGCTATGCCTCCATAGACAGTAGGTAGGTCGAGCCACGCGGAACTAAGCACAATTAACCCGCAATGCACTTGCATACTTGGGCCGCGATCCAGAACAGAATTGAGACACGAAGATGCCCTGATCCCCGCAGCCAATTGCCACAGTAAAGGCACAGCCTCTGCGCTGTAGAAGCCGTTGAACAAATCTTTAAACACCCTAACCTAAATCCTAGGCCAAAACCATAAACGCTAGACGTACACGTCAACTCAATTTAAAACAACCTAAACCTAAATCCTGAGTCCCTAAACTCTGCGCCATTCTCGCACAGGAGCCCCCTAGACAGGGCACACCCCAAATCTCTAGGACCGTGCAAAGCCCTAAAATCCGACACACCTAAACGCAAGTGGAGTCTTTTTGCAATCGTAACCTTACCGTAAGGGTCCATTTACCCGAACTAGCGATCCTTTAAGGGCTCCTTTAAGGGATGCTTTAAGGGTTCGATAAGGGATCTTTAGGGTTTAGGGTTTAAGGGTCCGTGTACCCAAGCAGTATACACTTTGGCCTTAACGTAGTCCCTATATAGGTACTTTGGGGCCAAAGTATTTACTATTTGGGTACATCGACCCTTAGGATTTTAGGGTTCTAAACACAAAACTGGGCTGTGTTGAGGATTTTACAAGGAAGGGAGAGGAAGTGCAATGGGGATGAGAGATAAAGCCCTCCAGCCCTGGAGTCGAAATAGAGCCGCTCTAAACCCTAAGATTCCCTCACAGAACCCTTCTAGCTCGGGACCCAAAAGCACATAAGCATAAGCATTTTATGGGGATATCCCTACCTTATCGGCCTTCCTTTTAAGGGGGTTTATATGGGATTTCCCTATCCTCATTTTTGCTTATGTCCTTTTTTCGGGCCCTACCTACAGCCTTTCTTATACGTTTTAAATGCCGCACTCCAAAACTCCAATCCCGAACCCTTAAATAAATCCTAAACCCCAAACCTCAGCTTTTAACCCAACATCCCTAAATCCCCCTAAACCCTTACTTCCCTAAACCCCAAAACTCTCAACTTTAAAATCCCAAAACACTTCTAACGTATGAAGCGCCATAGCCCGAAGCTCTTAACCCGGATTAAATCCCCGAACCCGACATCCTAAAAGCTTTAAACATCCCTAACTTTCCCCCCCCCAAACCTTTACTCGCCTAAAATTTTTCGAATCCTAAACTCTAAACCTTAAAGTCCCGAAACATCCCCAATTCATGAAGCCCCAAAGCCCGAAGCCCCCTTCGCACTTTGAGGGCGGCAAGGGCAAGCCTGGAGGTTGGCCCATGCAGGCGACCACTTTGGGGGTTCCTTTCAGCATAATGGTAGAGTAGGTAACCTTTAACCTTTTTTGGGTAGTCCCTATATAATCCCTACATAACGAAAAGATTAACCCTTAGTTCCCAATGATAGCCGACTAGTAGGTTCTTCCCTTAAGGGATCAGGAGGCAGGGGCTCTTTTAAGGTTTCTTTTAGGGTTCTTTTAAAGGGGTTCTTCTGAGGTTCCTTGAAGGGGCTCTTTTAAGGGTAATTTCAGGGTTCCTTTAAAGGGGTTCCGGGTTTAGGGTTTATAGGGGTTGTCACAAGGGTTCTACACCAGAGTTCTATAATGGGGTTCCTAGACTCTAAAACAGGGTTTCTTCAAGGGTTCGATAATGGAGTTCTAGAATCGGGTTCCTCAAAAGATGTATTTGTTTGTGTTTGGTCTTCGGGTTTAGAGTTTAGGGTATAGGCAAAGAGGTTCCTCTAAGGGTTCTTCAACAGGAGTTCCTAAATAGGGCTCCTTTTTAAGGGTTCTATAATCGTGCTCCTTTCCTATGATACGGCTCTATATCAGCATGCCTTCAAGGGGCTCTTTTCAGGGTTGTTTTAGGGTTTCTTGTGAGGATGTGAGGGTGAGGATTTAGGTTTTGCGTTGAAGTTTAGGGCTTTGGATTTAGGCTTTACGCATGTGGATTTTGCGCTTCGTGCCTTGGGTTTAGCCTGTTAGGTTTTCTGTGAAAGTCATCTATAGGGTTGTAGGGCTGTTGGGTACTTCCTTGCAGTTTGCATTTTTACTTTGGGTTTCTGTTGCAGGGATCTCCCAACACATTTGTTGCTACCTTCTTAAGGGGATGTGGCAGGGATGCACAAGTCCGGATTCTACGGCTCACAGGGCTCAAAATTGATGTGATCTGGGCTACGGGTTTAGACGGCTTATGGTGTTTATAGGGTTTCATGATGTATGCTGTCTGGCTTTCAACATTTGGAAGGTCGGAGGTAGGGTTGTCCTTTGCAGAGATCCCTGAATGAAGAACAACCAAATCGGCTAGTCTAGTTGTTCAAGCCCCCAGAGTAGGCGGATAATGTAGGGGCCTGATAAGAAACCCTGGGCCTATAACCCCCCCCAAAATAGTAGGATTCATATAAGGAACGCTCATAAAGGCCCCAGGTTTCTTAACCAGGTTCCTACATCACTCGCCAAAGCCAGGGCTACGATGGAAAGGGCTTTGGCTGGGGTGGCGGCGGCAAAGGCCGTCAAGGATGAAAAGGATGTTTCAAGGGGTTTAGGCTTCAGCGTTCAGGATAGGGTGTGTCGGTTTCTTGTCTTTGAGGCTTGCAATCTCCCAGCAAAGAATGGGTAGGTAATTTCAGGTACTTCGTGCGCTTGAATGGTTCATTGAAGACAGGGGCTAGTACATGCATGCGTGTTCAAGATGCTTGCATTGTCCTGGGTGTGAGGGTGTGAAAGGGCCCAAGCAATATGGGGTTTACGGCGAAGGGTTTGGGGCTCCTGTGGGCTCCTTACAATACATACTATATCTCTGCTACAACATACGCCCCGGCAAATCTTGTTCGAAAGGGTAAAGGACTCTATATACTGGCCCTTACATACGCTAAACCCTAATGTAACCCTGCAAAGGGACCCCGTAAAGGAACCCGATCCTGACGATTAAGGCTCCTGTAGTTGCTAAGTCTGGCTTATGGTGGAGGCCCTAAACCCTAAACCGTGGTGATCATGATGAGAGCTTTCTCAGGTTTAGGTTGTAGCAGTCTTGGGTTTCGGGGTTGAGGGTTCAGGGTGTTTTTTGCTGCGAGTGGGTAGATTTCTAGGACATTTTTGTGGCGGCTGTTTTTTGCGGTTTTTGTTTTGGAAACATAGCCTCGCCACAGACCCTAGCCCCAGACTCTCAACCCACATAACAGCCACAGGCAAGCACGCAAACCAACTTCAGGGGTCCACCTCTACGCTCGCATTGCTCTTCGATTCTAGACCAGGGATTAGTAAGACCCCTCCAGTATATAGGGTTTGACGTAAGTAACTCGAGATCCTGTTAATGATTCGGAGCCATGAATCGGTGGTCTACAATATTTAGCATGTGTTAGTTTCAGAGATTCTGTAATCTAGTCGCGGGGATGCTAAAGGAAGGGCATCAACATTTTGTCCTAGTAGTTGAGTGAGTCTCTGCTGCCAGCTGTAGTAATAAAGGGGCTTTAATACTTACCGATAGTATTCTGGGGATAATCACCGTATAATGGGCCCCCAAACCCTATTCTAATTAATAAAGACCCTATAGTAGTGCCCTAGAGCTTGGTGTCGGGCGCACTATCGCACGGTGGAGGTGTTCAGACATGCTTTATTCCTCGCGTCTCAACGTTGCAACTGCGTGTGGTGCCAACACGCGCGAGCTGCAGAAGAAGTACGACGAGCCCTAATGAACCTATAGTCTCCTTAGGAATTATCTTTAATTTTTGTTCATATAAAACCCAAGAGAATATTAACCATAGAGCCCTAAGGCTCCAAAGAGGGTCTTGGGCTTTGTGGGCGAGGGTTTGGGCTTTGGGGGCCAAGGTTTGGGATCTCACTACGAGGGTCCGGGAGCATTAGGGAGTTTTTTGATTATGGTTCTAGGGGGGAGGCGGATGTCTAGCCAGCGGGCCTGGGGAGCAGCTGGACTGTTTCTCTGGATTCAGGGGCCTCGGCCCATGATCAAGCACGCCGGCCACTTGCAGCGATGCATGACAGACAAAATTCGATATATATATATATATATATATATATACAGATAGATATTGAGTTTTCTGTAAACATATTTACATATGTGCATATATATATATATATATACTGATTGTTTCTTTATATAGATGTGTGTAAACATGAAACATGCATATAACTCGGTAGATAGATAGACAGATCCGACGTTTCACCGTGGGAGATCATATCACGCGTTATTTTGAAATCCAGTGCTTGGGACTCGAGGATTAGGGGATCCAAAAAGCACATAAGCATCCCTAAACCTTAAACCCAGCAGCCCTCTGCCTCAAAGCCTTAAATCCTAAACCCCTAAACCAAACCCCCTGGACCCAAGAACCCCAAACCCCTAAACCCTAAACCCTAAACGCTATACTTCCAAACCCTAAACCTTACTTGGAGGTTCATGTGTAGTCATAATTGGGGTTATAAGTCCCCTAATATGAGTTATAAGTATGGTTATTCTACTTATAACCCTACTATGAATCGCCAAGTAGTCCGCAGGCTGCATGGGTCCTATGGGCCAAATGGGTCCGGGCGGAGGCTGCTACTTGGACTCAGAGAGGCTAAAAGTTTCGGCGCGAAGGGCTTGGGTTGGTAGGGTTCAGGGCTCAGGGTTTAGGGTACAGGGATAAGGGTTTATAGGGTTTAGGGTTAAGGGTTTAGGGTTGGGGTGAAGGGTTGGGGGGTAGGGGGAAATAGGATCGCTGCAAGGGCTATATTGAGTTTTAAAAACACAGCAACACGGCTTATTCGTATGTTAGAAGCGCCTCGGGTCGAAGCTTCAGGGTTTAGTGATGTGGGTTTGATGTTGTCAAAGCTGTGTGCTTCTGAGTTGCTAGATACGAAATGGTATCGATGCATGCTAAGTCTGCTCCAGGCGTCGAGCCGGTAATGAGTATGTTTGCACGTCTGTCTGTCTGCCTGTCTGTCGGTCGGTCGGGTTGTCTGCCTGCCTGTCTGTCTGCCTCTGTCTGTCTGTCTGTCTGTCTTTCTGTCTGTCTTTCTGTCTGCCT